CTTTCAATAATTTAAGGCAAGTGAGTCAGTGTTTTTATTGTTCCTAACTCAGAAAGTTGCTTTTTTTATCCAATACAATGTAATTACTAAGTTCTTATTGGGATTGTCTTTGATATTAAGCTTAATTTTTTTTTCTGGCTTAATTAGTAAATGTTTATAATGCCCCATATTTTACAATAATAGATTTTTTAGAAATATTGTGTCCAGCTGATTGAGTCTAAAAAAAATTTTTTTTTGTAAAATAATAAGAGGATATTTTTTCGTTTGCGTGAATTATGGAATATATTTTCACGAAACATGATAAAATGCCACATATTTTCACGAGCCGGTACGGCGAGTGAAAATATGTGGCATTTTATCATGTTGAGTGAAAATATATACCATATTTAACGAAAAACGAAAAAATATCCTTTTTATTTAATTTCATTATCAAAGAAAATGGTAACGAATCCCCTTGCTTGCTACCAACTGCGATTGTACAGCGCGCAGTAATTTATGCGTATGCACGCGCTGTTTGGCGCTACATTGTGACGTCATGTAAACAACTCTTTAAACGTCTGTACAGCGTTAATTACTGAATTAAAGATATTGGTGTTCGAATTAATTTTCTTAGTTAGACCATTTTCTTTCATGCTAGATAGTTTTCAAAACAAAATTCAAGAAAAAGTTGTTTTGTATTTATCAGATTTTTCAAACAAAACGCCGAAAGAAGTCCCTTAAAATAAATATGAGTTTTGACTCCGCCCACTTTCATATTTATATTTCATATTTATTTTTAAAAAATATGAAATATATTTGACTGATATAGCACCATATTTCATGGGTAAAATTAAATAATGGGTCATAACATGTAAGATAGAGGGCTGCTTCAAGCTTCATACTGGAGGCTTTTAATATGTCACTGCAATTTTCTAAAATAGTTATTTTACTTCATGTACAAAGTGTCAAATGTTTGTTTTCTATTTTGTGCTTCAAATTTCTTTTTTATCAATTTGATACATTTAAGAAATTACATTATCATTTAATGCCCATCTAAGTCAGATCACAAATTTTTGTCTTTTAGCAAAGTTATTTTTTTTTTGTCCATATCCTCCAAAATATATCAACTTATTATTTCAGAATTATTTTTACATCTTTTATTGGCAATAATATATACATTCACTTTTATATATTTTATTGTTTCATGACATTATGAAAGTAAAAGGTCAGACTGTCAAATGAGTACAAATCATATTAAAGTACCGGTAAGGTATGCACATTATTTTGAGTAGAAATTCGTGTTGCCCATTATTTTGAGTGACAAAGAAATATTACAGCCTGTACACTTAACATTTGGTTAGTGTGTGTGCGCGTCAAATTTTCTCCACATTTAACAGTTGAGATGTCCTTACTTATGACTTATAAAAACCTGTTCCTATATTGTCTGTTATGTTTCAGTTTTTACTGTACGTCTGACAGTTTCTTTTGAGAGTGTTTGCAATTTCTCATATAACAACACATTACAATGTTGAAAGCAAAAATAATTTTTTGGGTCAAATTACATGGAAACATGCAGATATCTTAATACAATAGAATTACACTCTTGTTCTGAAATATTGTACACTTTTTGTATAGTCAGCAAAGTGACAATGTTGGGTATAAATGTTGTTGTTTAGCTTTTTATAAATACACCATATTAATATGATCTAAGAATTAAATGGAAATAATTTTTATTTATTATGACAAATATGATTGCTATTTAAATAAATTAATAGATATTTTTACCATGTTTCATACATACCTAGATTACATACCTACCAGGGGCCATAACTCTTTTTTGCATCCTTAAAAACTATTATCAAACTGAAAACTGAAACTGTTTCAAGTTATCCTGTTCAATAGAGAATACTAACAGTTGAGTGACCTTATTATGATATTACAAAAATCTGTATGTTAAACAAAAGATGAAATGTTAAATTGTTTGTTAAGGTCATGGGATAAAACAAGGGGATGACAGCTCTCCATGCATATTGTATTGACTATGTACTGAGTGAATGGTGAGTGAAGCATGATGGCAGAGTATAGGGGTTATTGTCAGTAAAGCAGATATTGTGACTAGGCAATATTTTTACATATGCTTGTAATGAACTTAATCTATATTGTCTTGCTTAGCATTTAAAAAATAAATCAACTATCTTACAAAAACTTGAGAAAAAAAATGAGGACAGATAGTATTAATGTTTTATGTTATAATTTTTTCCCACATTTTTTCTAAAAATCATGGATGGATATTCTCTTCAAACTTGAAATACTTGTTAACTGTGAAGGGGAGGTAATTATGACAAGCAGGCTTTCAAGATTATAACCCCTTTTCTACTTTGATTTAGTGGTGTGTGCTGCTCCTTTGAACTTATTGACATATATTAAGTCTATCATATCAGTTAACTTGTTTGTTTTGTGTCAAAATAATTGGCCTTTTATAATTTATGTATGCAAATATATTTTTTGCGATCTATATTTCATTTAGAAACAATTACTTATAATTGATTTACTATAACTTAATTCATTCTTAACAATTATACCCTTATTTGAAACTTTTTTAAACAAATGCATAATAATAATAATAATAATGAGTCTAAAAGTCTGCTGGCTAAATATATTTCATTTGTGAAACATACTCAGAATATGAATAATTAAACATGTTAAGATACAATTTGTTTATATACTTTTGGCAGGACTAAGCCATCAATATAAAATATAATGTAACAGATGCCCATCTTTATTGTAAAATTTAATATCTTGCAGTTTTAGTTTTAGTTTAGACTAATTAATTTTGTTTTAGACTTTGCTGGAAGGTATAAGCTTAAAGAAACCTTCTGAAATTGGTTCCTGGAACCAACTAATACTAAGCAATTAGTGTAAAGTTTCTTGCTCACAGAAACAACAGCTTGCCCCTGACAGGGTTTGAAACCACTTGGCATCGCCGCCATGCATGGATCATCATCAATTCGGTTTGATTGAGCTAGTTCATGGATGGTAGTGGTAAGTGCAAGATACCACCCACATCCCAAACAAATTAAGCAGAATTCAACTTTTAACCATGAAAATTTAATGGTGAAATTTTGAAATTAGAAAACATTGGCAGATGTGTTCATCCTTGTCATCCTTGCTGCCTGTCCTTATTGTACTGATTATCTTTTGGTATATTCATGTTATTTATAGTCCATAAAATAAATAATAATCTATAGTCCATAAAATTAATAATTTGACTACAGTCCATAAAAATTAATAATGGCTTGTTCAAATTCACATTAGGCCAACAGTTTAATACAAACAGATTTTTATCATGCTATGTTTTTGTTAGTGGCGTTTAAACAATCCACTTCTATCATACAGTATGTACATTTCAGGAAGTATAGATATGTTAAAGATATGTATCTTTATGTATGTTATTGTGAAATATGTCCTATACATCATCTTATATTATTGATAATTATCATTTCCCTTCATATATGTATGAGTTGCAACATGTATAATAATTTCCTTGTATCTCCGTATGTCCGTGTGATCTGGATATATCACACTGGTCTAAATTTCAACAGCTTGATGTGATTTAAGGGTCGTAATTCCTTCTTTATTTAATATGAGTTACAACCTTATCGCTTGGTGAAAGGGTCGTAATTCCAACTTTATTTAATATGAGTTACAACCCTTTTGCACCAAGCGCTCACAATTTTGTTTACTTCTATCATCTTTTACTTTATTCTGGATATATGTTTTTCTTATAAAAAAGTTCAATATATTAGATAATCAAACGGTAGTTGACATTTAAGAAGAACAAAAGGAAGTGCATACAGGGACATGAAACATTGTGTATTTGTTTGAAATTTTCCTTCAAAGCTCACACAATGGAAAGGAAGGTATTGTTTGATTGGCTGTTAGACTGTTTAGACTATCATTTATTAAAGGGAAAAAAATAAATGGTGATCTTTTTGATAGCTCTTGTATAATTATTAAGTGTACATGTACATGAGTACAATTTGTAGAGAATGGAAACCAGTTATACTTTACCAAAATGAAGTATTTACATTTGGATAAATGTCTATTTTCAGTTGTTATTTCATCATGAAAGTCTGTAGATTCTGTGAAAATAATTAGACTGAATTATCAAGTAATTACATGTATCAAGTAAAAAACTATGTAATGAACATCAATAAAATTGAACTTGTGAACTTGTACAGTATTAATACATAAGTAAAGAGGCCCAGCTAATTTTCATATTTTTTGAGAAAGTTTAATATTTTTAGTTCTTGTCGCACGTAAGTGTGTCAACTCTCAAACTTTACTTTTGGAGAAAGACCCCATGTTCCTCTATACCCAAATTTCTTTGAGATATTTGTGGGCATCCGAGTAAAACAGCAAAACTTTTGTAAGCTAGCAGGATAGATAGTACAAGCTCTTTAAAGAAACTTCCCAGTCAGGGTTTGAACCCACAATAGCAGGGAAGGCCATGTGATTTTAAGTTCGGAGTTGGCCATTGTGATACCCAAACTGTTAAATTGTATAATAGACATAACAAATGGAAAGCAAAAGAGCAAAACATTTTTACCAAATTCTGAATACTATACAATAACATGTCCATCAGTCTGAAAACAAAGAAATAGAGAATTTTAAAGGGCATTCTGTGAACAAGGCATTTTAGAATTAAAATGTCATGGATTTCGGTACAACAATGTAAAAGTGCTTATTCACCTCTATAGTTATAGTATTACACACTTCATTAGTTTTAAGATTGGTAATACTTAGCGTGTAAATTGTCAAGTACCAGTCTTAAGTAGTCAATAAAAGCGATATTAAAGACGGGAGGGTGTTAAGACAGGATATTATCCTATTATGAGTTTTATATATATACGTCAAACCACATTTTATACTTATTTCTTAGCTTATTCGCGTATCGAAGTGATGAACAAGTGTGATAATAAATGAGCCATTTAATTTTCGCAAGTATAAATTGACTGTTAAATTTTTAGCTTACATAATTTGTGTTGTCATGTTTACTTAAAAGTTCAATAACTTATTTTGAATTTATTTTATGAAATTATCGTATACGCAGTTGTTCGAAACCTCTGTTTTAATCAACATTTTATGCAAATTCTGCACAATAAAAATCATGTAATGTAGTTTGTGAATGGCGAATTAATACCTCACACATTTGATTAATGTTATATATCGTGTCGGCTTGATATGCAAATACGCATTTTCTTGAAATGTCATGTGTAAATGATAATAAATTCATTTGGATCTGCTTTAACTATTGTGTTATAAATCAAGAGACATCTCTCTTGTATACTGGGTTATGAATTTTGTGACATAATGTTTAATTGTCTAACTATTAACTGTAAAGGATAAATGTACAAACAAAAAATGTAAGTTGTTTTAATTTTGAAATCTATTGTTTCTTGTGTTTTTATAAAGTTAATTAATTAAAGTTTTTATTGATTTAAAGTGTAAATGTCATAATTAATATGAGTGTATATTGCACATATGATGATACATTTCTAAATGTATTGACATTTATTGTATGATCTTGAGTGCAAGAATTCACTCATATTATTATTATGAGTATTAAGGGTTGATCATATGAGTGTCAGTATTAAGGGTTGATCATATGAGTGTCAGTATTAAGGGTTGATCATATGAGTGTCAGTATTAAGGGTTGATCATATGAGTGTCAGTATTAAGGGTTGGTCATATGAGTGTCAGTATGAAGGGTTGATCATATGAGTGTCAGTATTAAGGGTTGGTCATATGAGTGTCAGTATTAAGGGTTGATCATATGAGTGTCAGTATTAAGGGTTGATCATATGAGTGTCAGTATTAAGGGTTGATCATATGAGTGTCAGTATTAAGGGTTGGACATGAGTGTCAGTATTAAGGGTTGATCATATGAGTGTCAGTATTAAGGGTTGATCATATGAGTGTCAGTATTAAGGGTTGATCATATGAGTGTCAGTATTAAGGGTTGATCATATGAGTGTCAGTATTAAGGGTTGATCATATGAGTGTCAGTATTAAGGGTTGGTCATGAATGTCAGTATTAATTAAGGATTGATCATGAGTGTCAGAATTAAATGTTGACTTTGAGTGTCTGAGTATTAACGGTTGGACATGAATATCAGTATTAACGGTTTGTCTTGAGTGTCTGATCATGAACGTCAGATGTTCATGTTAGCTGTAGTTTATGATCCTGAATGTTAGTTTTAACTTAAGAATGTCAGAGTTTGGAGTTTTAGTTCAGGGAATATGAGAGGTATATTTATGTGTGTAAGGGTTAATTCTTATTTATATCAGAAGTTCTTTTAGTGTAAGGGCCTAATGTCAGAGGTATTTAATGTAAGGCTTAATTTGTATGAATATCAGAGTTTTTATTTTGTCATAAGGACTAATTGAAGAATGTCAGAGGTATTTAATGTGTATGGGTTAGTTTGTGTGAATATCAGAGGTGTTCTGTTGATGAGTTTAAACATAAGAATGTCAGAGGAATATATTTAGCTTCTGAATATCAACAAATTAGTTTTTTACCACCAAGGGTAGTTTATGCATGCCAGGGGTTGCTTTATTTTCCTGCTGGAAAGAACTTTTCTACTTGTTTTCATGTCATAATTATAAATATTGAAATAACCTTTTCAGCTTTAATTCCTTATTAAACCTATTAAATCAATGCTTTTAAAAGGTATACATTGAGAAAGATTGCTAATTATAAAAATTACTTTTTGACTCGGGGGGGGGGGGGGGAAAGTAACATGCAGAGCATTTACAGGATTATCCTGTAACCTGCTGAATTTGTGAAATGGATTTGTCTGGACAGTCCATTTAAAGTGTAAGGGATTTCAGTATCAAATTACAACTGTATATGGGGGCGTCTGTGGCCGAGTGGTTAAGGTTGTTGACTTCAAACCACTTGCCCCTCACCGCTGTGGGTTCGAATCCCGACAGGGACTTTGGATTCTTTCATGTGAGAAAGCTATCCAACTAGCTTAGAGAACGTCGGTTAGGTTCTACTCAGGTGCCCGTTTGTGCCAGAAATAATGCACGGAAGGGCACCTGAGGTCTTCCTCCACCAGTAAAGCTGGAACATTGCGATATAAAAAAAAAAATGTTTATAGAGCCTGGTCAGACTGCATGGATGTGCAAGCTGGTATAGCTCTATACTGAGGGCAAAGACCAGACACTTCTGGTTCCGGTAGGGTTAATAATATGGTTAATATATTCCATTACATATGTATTAAAATAGTTTTTAGCTTAACATAACTTATGTAATAATATATATTTTGAGTCGTATCTTTACATTATCATATAAATCATGCGTGAATAACTTTGTTTTTACCATTAAATTTTGTTCTCTAATAAATGTTTTAGAAAAAAAATCATGAAAATATGAATGCAATTACTGTTGAACTAGAATAAGTTAAACGATTTGAAAGTTGATATTTTGATGAAAATATCATTCACCAAATGAGCCGCGTCATGACAAAACCAACATAATGGGTTTGCGACCAGCATGGATCCAGACCAGCCTGCGCATCCGCGCAGTCTGATCAGGATCCATGCTGTTCGCTTACAAACCCTATTACAAGTAGAGAAACTTAAATAGCGACCAGCATTGATGCGCAGGCTGGTCTGGATCCATGCTGGCAGCAAACGCACTATGTTGGTTTTGTCGTGACGCAGCTCAAATGTTTTTATTACATGTCTATATGCTGAACATTGTGTAGTGTTTGAAAGCTTTATTTGACTGAATATTTCAATTTATTTCCAAATCTACAGGTATTTTGTTTTTTATGTCAAAGCATTTTGCAAGTGTTTCTTCATTAATTTGTACAATATATCTTGGTCTTGGTAACTGACCAAGTGTGTGATAAATAGATACCATATTTGTTTGTTTAAGCATATTCCCAATTATAAAAAATAAATATATTTAGAATACAGTAACATGTAAATGTTTTGATGTAAATCAGAAACAATGACTATGAGGTGGTGGTGTTGGTTAGTTTTCACTCTGACTCAAGGCAGTACTTAGCCACACTGAATTCACCAGAATACAGTTCAGCCATTGCAATTCATTCCTGGGCAGGTTGTCAAGCAGTTTACCACTACTTTTTAAGTTGCCTTCACTTTCTCAAGGAACTGAAACTTCTGTACTTAACTGAGCAGAGTTACAGTGCGAATGACTGTAGAATAGATTTCATGATCAATCACAACAAAAGTGACCTGCACCATCTGGGAATTGAACCCGGGTTGCCCGATTCACAGTCCAACGCTTTACCTTAGTATTGAGCTAACCGGACGGTTACAGTGACTATGAATGGTTCAAACACGCTGTGTTGATATCCCCCTGCTGACACTCAGCAACTGATTTTGTCCATGGTCTGCACTATTTGCTATTTACACAGTACATGTTTTCAAGTTTTCCTTATAAATAATGGTTTTGTCCAAATTGAAAGATGGAAAAGTCCATTTAAGATATTAAGAATGGAAAGAGCTAAAGGCAGACTTGAGGCCGTAGTTTCACATAATAAGATACTTACGGTATACTGTCCTTATTCTACGGTCATGTATGTATAATTGAACAGGAAGATTATTATGAACGGCCATTAATGTGAAATTTAAGTTTGATAAAGGATTTATGAATGAGTTAAATACACAACATCTCAAATGATGATTGACATACTTTTTCTGAAGTTACAGTCCTGTGTTACTCATTTGAGGAAGCTATATATCCAGCTTGCTTACATTAGGCTGGTGTCAAGACAGCTCACCTGAACCTGCTTGAGCCTGAAATAATGCTCAAGAGCCGGGCACCTGAACTTTTCCTCTACATACCAACAATCAAGTTTGGGTTAGTCTCCACATGAGCTACATAACAACCTTCCACCCACCCCCTACCTCCCCCAATAAAATTTAAAAAAAAAATATATAAAAAAAGTCTGGCTATTTGGCTGCTTTAAACTTTAGTATTTTGGTCATACATTGTCTTTGTCCATACAATGTCTTAAATGATACAATGTTAAATGTCTTAAATGAGCTTGACCATCTTTCATGTACTGGCTGATTTTCACTTAGTCTGCTAGAATGGATTTATTCATCAGGAAAAAAATTTGATTCCATTTTTTGTCAACCCCTCTTCTGCTTTTCCTCACCCTGTATTTATTTTTTTTGCTCTAATACTCACTGGAAATTTAACTTCCTCTTCCTAATTTTATTTTCGTGTAATTTTATCATCAGCTATCCATGTGTTACTGCCAATACTTCAACTTTCCTTTCCTTGACTATCATTCCAACATACTTGGTTTGTTTTGTTTTGTTTGTCTGGGGTTTACGTCACATAGACACAGTATAGGTCATATCACGACGTTCCAGCTTTACTGGTGGAGGAAGACCTCAGGTGCCTTTCGTGCATTATTTCAGACACAAACGGGCACCTGAGTAGAACCACCGACGTTCCGTAAGCTAGCTGGATAGCTTCCTCAAATGAAAGAATCCAAAGTCCCTGTCGGGATTCGAACCCACAGCGGTGAGGGGCAAGTAACATACTTGGTGCATTCAGAATGAATCCACTAGAAACAATTGGTTGCTTATTAATACCATAGTTTTGGCATATCATTGGTTACCAACAAAACTTGTCAATAGTATTACAAGTAATTTGCAGACAGACTTAAATGTTATGGTTGTGTTGATAAGTCTTGCATTTTACCAAAATAAAAACAAACAAAAAAAAATACATGTAAATTGCCAACAAGTACATAAAGTGAGGATACGTCAACTGGGGTAAATCTTACTAACTTTGAATGTATTAACAGTACCTATTCTTAAATTCCGACTTGTCTGAATTTAATTATTTTGCAACTTGCATCATAATTTTTTAATTGCTGGGCAAGTTGCATGTTTTCCATTAAATTAGTCAATAAATAATTGATAGGCATACATTATTTCAGTCATTTCTGAATCATAGGAAATAGTTGGCAACCTGTTGTATAGGATCTTGGATAGTTTTGGCTGTATGTATTATTTAAATGTCATTTTAAAAGAATACACCATTTGCATTGTTCAGATGTTGACAATATATTGAAAGTTTTTAAGTCAGATCAAATTTGTAACTTGAATATAGGATTATTCTTTTAGAAGTAAGTCTCAGTATTTAGTAAATTTAAATATATTTTGATACACTTTTTTAATCATTTTTTGGGGTGGGGGGGGGGGGGTTATTATTGCTTTTTAAGTCGCACCAACACAGTATAGGTTATGTGGCGGTTTTCCAGCTTAACTGGTGGAGGAAAACATCAGGTGCCCCCTGTGCATTATTTCAGACACTAACAGGCACCAACATTCCGTAGACTTGCTAGATAGCTTTCTCGAAGACACTTGCGCGGCCTGAACCCACTGAGGTGAGAGGCAAGTGGTTTGAAGTCACCAATCATAACCACTCGGCCATGGACGCCCAGTTATCATCATGTAAGACGGAGGCAATTTAAAACAATTTGAAGAAATTGAAAAAACATTATTTAATGCATCTGCCTGTGTCAAGTTCATAACTCTGATGTACCAATTGAAGTGGTTATTTCTCTATTGTTAATTAATGAATTGTTATGGTAGTGTGGTCATCCTCATAAATCTTCTAAATTAAGATGTCACCCACATTAAACACTCCTTGTATTTATAATATAGGTCAAACAATGTGATAGTTTAGCATTGTAGTTTAGCATCGTTGATACTTTTAATTTAAATAAGTGCTTTTTCTAGGAATTTTATTATTGTTTTGTTTGTTATTTTTGCTGTTACATAAGTGTTTTGTTGATGACTTCATTTATGAATCAAGTGAGGCAGTAAGTGATCAAGAGGTTAAGTGTAACATTTTGATAGACAGATAAGAATAATATTTAATACAGGTGGTTTGTTAAAATTTGACTACAGTATCTTAAACTTTTCGTTTTCATAATGTCTCAATGGTTAAGGTTTGTACAGACTTCAAATCTCTTGCCCCTCACTGTGGTGGGTTTAAATCCAATGTAGGGTCTTATTATACCCATTAGGGCCATCTGATATCCAATAGGGCCTTCTGATACCAATTAGGGCCCTGTGATATCCATTAGGGCCTTCTGATACCAATTAAGGCCTTCTGATGCCAATTAGGGCCTTCTGATATCAATTAGGGCCTTCTGATATCAATTAGGGCATTAAGGACTTTTGATATTTACATGCGAGGAAGCTATTCAGATATCCATTAGGGCCTTTTGATACCAATAGGGCCTTCTGATATCCATTACGGCATTAAGAACTTTTGATATTTACATGCGAGGAAGCTTTTCAGCTATTACTTAAGGAAGATTGAAGTGCTTAAAATAATGTGTGAAGGTGCATCCCCAAGTTCTTTCTGAACTTGCAAAGCTGGAAAGCAACCATATGATCATTACAGTATCTTTGTGGCTTGAAACCCTGGCAACAAATCAAAATTAGCGTCAAATTACATTTGGTAAATTTTCATCAGTTATGGTAAATCATTATCTGTTCATCAATTCAAACATTTACATATTAGGGAAGTTTTAAATATTTCAAAATTGACATATATATCATAAATATTTTTTTTATGATGTAAATACTGTTTGATCGGCGATAATATTGTCTGTTATGTAAAAAAGTGTTGTAAGAAATATTTGCTAAATTATAATGACTGAACTTGCGTCATGACACGTCCCAGCGACCATATCTGATCGAAAAATATTTGTACTTTTTTACGCTGACTTTATATTGAATACATCAACTGTCGGGTACAAGAAGAAATTAGCAAGTGAAATGCTCACCATGAATGAAATTAAAATCCATTTCAAGGTGCGCATTGTTAATTAGTTTTATATGTGTAATTTGCTTGTGGTTTTTGCAAGGTTATTATAATAAACTTGTATAAAATATCCTCCCTTGTACCCTGTGACACACAATGTAAATTGTTTGATCGGCTGATAATATGTGTCTGTTATGTAAAAAAAGTGTATGAGATGAAAAAAGTATTTGCTAAATTTTGACCTGAACATGGTCCATGACAGCCTGCCATGCGCCATCTGATCGAAAATATTTGTCTTGTTACGCTGACTAATATGATACATAACTTCGTGTACAGAAGAAATTAGCAGAATTAACCGTGAATACATTTCAGTGGCATTGTAATAAGCTAACGTGCAATGCTGCGGATTTGCAAGGTTTTAGTAAACTTGTAAGATTCCACCCTTCGTCGTACATTAGCACACTATGTTGATGTTTATATGGTGTTGACTCTTAAGGCGTCATATGAGCAATTAACCCAACCAGTGTTGATTTAAAGGCCTATCATATGCCTCATAAACACTATCATTTTTATGTCTTAAAAACTTTTTTATGTATCTGGTAGCAGTTTCCAAAAATTACTTATTTGCCATATTATCAAAGATGAACATAATCGTTTGCTGGCAATTGATATAATTAAAGTATCATAATATGTCAAAATACTTACTTTGTTTTCATTTTGCTACCTTGCTTTACGTCACATTACTGCATGTTTAGGGCAGCTTTCTTAATTTGTTAAACATGTAATATGCTATCCATTATTAAAACATTTTTAGACACAATTTTGATATTTCTAACTAATTTAAAGATACGGATATCTGAGGCATAATGTGCCTTTCAAATTTGGAGAACGTTTACAATTATAATTATGGAAATGACTTAAACCCAACCCTTAAAAAAGACATCTACATTTTAGCAAATAGATTTTCTTCTTGCATTTGCGGCCCTTACAATAATTAATTTTCCTGAAACTTCAGAAAATAAACACAAGATTCAAATGTGAATGATCTGATGCAAAAAAGCACAATATTCTTCGGAAAAAAATTCTTTAATCTGTAAGATATACATCTCTATATTGACAGACTTCAATCTCCAGCAACACAACACAAGCTTTCTGTTTTCTTTGCTTCCTATGTTATTTATGTATTTTGGTATGTTTCAATTTGAAGAATAAACAGTTTGTTTAACCTGAAAAGTGATTACTTTCCCTGTATTCTTCAGAGTATATGACGTTTTTAGTTTGATTTGCAGTAAATCTTAAACTGGTTTTTCAGTCATTACGTACATTATTCTAAGAAATGTGTCTGCCCTAGTTTTTCATTGAATCAGTGATTTAATTCTTGTTCAATATTTCCTTATTTATTGTTACAGTATAGATCCTAAATTTATTGTACACTTGTAAATAGAATTCTTAATTAAATGTTTAAATCTTGAACAAAGGAAATTGAATTTTCGAGTGGTTTACAAGCTTCTTTATTAGTGCATGTAACTAACATGTTCAATGGTTTAGTGTGATGTGAAGGGCTTTATTTATGTGTTAAATTCAATTTGAAATTACATTTCTTTGAAAAATTAATATTTACTTGAACTACTTAGAAATTAACTTCCAGTTCAGTCAGTTTAGTTTTTCTTGCAGATGAAAATGTGACTGAGAAATAACACTGTGTTTAAAGTTTATATGTGCTCTTTTTTTAAAATAACTTGAATAGTGGTTTTAAAATTTTTTATAGGCTTAATATCTTTATAATATCTGTAAAGGAAATTATTTGTATATAAACTTTACAAAAATGTATACTAAGGTTATCTAACTTTTAGAGTTTACAATACCATGATATGTATTGTAATGTATGCATTTTACCTGAAATAAAAATAAACTGGGTACGTGTTTTATATTATACAATAATAATAATAATAATAATAATACATGTAATAATAATGATACACATGTATTTATTATTAAAGCAAATGTTTTACTTTATGCCTAAAAATTTCATGTATTTCATGCAAGTAAGACGCAAAAAAAAAAAAAAAAAGAGAAAATAAACAAAAAATTTATTTCATTTTATAGGAGGACATTTAATGAATGGTGACAAGTTCCACCGATTCGCTAAATGTAACAGCCTGGAACCAGTATCAGACGATGGTAATGATATTTCTATTATAACCATTGGCGACAATGTCTACATAAACGGGGAGGCAGTGAATGGTCACGTGGAAACTAATATGGCCAGTAGCAACGACGCAATGGATAAAAATAATGATCGCATGAACAATAACGAGAAAGGGCGGTTTCTGTTTAAGAAACAGACCAGCAAGGAAGGGTATGGACTGGCCGCCATAATGAGGGGCGAGTCCCTGGATGAGAAAAGGAAGAAGTTGCGATCAGCGAGTAAGATGTCAACATTGTTTGAGGAATACTCGCTGTCAAAAATAAGGGTATGTATTATAAATAATAACTTGTGTCATTGAAAATTATTTTTGCTTTCTTTTTAAATAGTCACTTACCAGTAGTACCAGTCCTGAGAGCAAGGTCAAGCAACACCTCCATACGTATATTCTGACCAAACTCATGGGTGCTTTCATTTAGCCCTTTGGTACACTAACAGCATATATGGATAATACCAAATTCAGTGTAGATCAAGTCATTTATTCAAATTCATGAATGCAAATTATTGTTTCAGTTTTGAAAAAGAATAATTATAAAATCCTAATGAACGAAATAATTATTATGAGAAAATGGCACAATTATGCACAAATACATTGCTTAAAGGATAAAACCCTACTTAAAATAGCAGAATAATTTTTATTTTTATTTTATTCCTGTTATGTACAATATGCATTTAGTGTTAAATAACTTTCTCTTTTGAGAATCTACCATAAGATTATGTAAAGAACATTTTACCTTTTGTTAGTTTTTAAAAAAACATATTTCATTAGATATAACTTTACACCCTTCATAACTGTTTCGGAAATAAAATGATAAAGAGCGCTAAAATAACGAAATGCTAGAATTTTATACAATTCTTTTACTTTTTCTTTTCAAAAATATGACATTGTCAGTTGAAATTCTATGCTTTTCTGTAGCATTGGACAGATTGGATTCAATAAAACTTCTGCTATATATTTTATTGATCTTCTTCAATTATTCATAGAGGACTGACACTTGTTGTTAAATCTATGCCTAGGAGATTCCTATTTGCCCAATCTAAATGTGATTGAAATAAGATGATACATAGATTTTGACACTTTTAGTTCATTCGATAATTAATTATTCGAAAACAAATTGTTAGATAGTTACATGATGAATGGCAAAATAAATTGACAGCAACTTGAATAAAATTTTGATGTTTTACCTCAGCCTAGAAATGATTGAAATGCTTGAAAGTTTTCTGTTTTGTTGCCAAAAAAACATTTTTGTCATGTTGCCATCAAAACATTTGATTTTTGATAAATCAGATATCAAAACAATTTGAAATTTATGATATTGACAAGCAATTGTGTTGATGTTATAGAGTTACTTTAAACACCAAATTTTATTACTATGGTAATGAGAACATCTATTTTAATTATTAGCTCGATGTTTCAAAGAATATAGTGAGAGTTGTTTTACTCAACCCAGCATTGGCATCATCATCACACTTTGTTGCAATTTGGTATATTCCAAACTACTAGAGAATAGGTTGAAACTTCACACACTTGTTCTCTATGATTATCTCCCGTGATGGTCCATAACTTTGATTTTACTCTTTACAGACTTACGCCCCTTTCCTTACTTCTTGCTGTAAGAACTGAGAAATGTCAAGCGCACTGATGTCTGATAAGCAGTAAAATAGGAAAATATGAGCCGCGTTCATGACAAAACCAACATAATGGTTTGCGACCAGCATGGATCCAGACCAGCCTGCGCGTCCGCCAATCTGATCAGGATCCATGCTGTTCGCGTACAAACCCTATAACAAGTAGAGAAACTGATAGCGAACAGCATGGATCCTGATCAGACTGCGCGGACGCGCAGGCTGGTCTGGATCCATGCTGGTCGCAAACCCATTATGTTGGTTTTGTCGTGACACGGCTCATATGATATTTTGTTAGTCAGTGTACATTTTGTTATTTTCAGGCATCATTCAAGGAGCTTGAGATAGAGGACATGTATCAGAAGTACTGTCTACAGATGCGTAGATCCCTCGTTCTCGTTCTACTAGTCATTATAACATGTATCCTCGTATCCCTGCTTATACTTCATCTAGCTGAAGAGAAGGTAATATCATCTTTATTTTCACCCGGGCTGTTAAAGCCGCCTTCAGCTTAACATGTTATTTTTAAATGAATCGTTTCATATAATTGTCGAATCAAATGAATTAAGGTGAAAAATGAAATTTGCCGATGATAACATACATAACAATAAGAAAACCCTTCAATTCCTCTAATCTACTGGTCCACTGTATATTTAAATTAGTAAAGTGAAAGAATCGTTTCTCGGTCTTCTATTTTTAGAAACGTTCGTCACTTACAAATTGTTGACGACATGTCAGTGTCACTGTTTTGTTCTCTGAATATGGAGTATTGAACAGAATCTGATTCCTCTTAACAGAAATTACATTAGAATAATATTTACACAGTCAATGTGGATAATATGTTTTAATGTCCGCAGTCATAACTTTCCAAATGGCAATTACAGGTACATCAATATAACTAATTTGTTGATAATAACTGTTGAGTTCAACTTTCCTAAATGTCATGATATTGTACTGTTGAATGGAAATGAATGAACTGATTCGTTTTTTAGCAGCAGTACACTTTTGGCTCGATTGTTCATCTTGGCTTCAGTGTTAAATGCGTCTACATAACACTTTGGTTAAAGTTTTGCATTTTGAACAGTAAAACAAAACATAATACTCACTGAAATTACAAGTGCATGATCATATAACATTTGCCCTTAAAAATATTTTAAATAGACTTGTTTCCGTCGGGGAAAATTCAAGAAAAAACCATTCTTTCTTTTTTTGGGGGGAAATTGGGAAATTAAAAAAAGGGCCTGACGGGAATAATTGTCCAGCTGATCTTGGTTGCATTTTGTAAACAATATATAACATAATTTTGCTCCCAAATTCAGGCGGGTGGCCCAAAGGGGCCCAATTTAAATTATTTTATTATAATTTTTTTGTAATCGGAAAGTACAATTCTATTTTCTTTGGGATTTTTTTTTTTTAAAAGGGGGCATTGGGGGAAAAATTTTCCTTTTAAAATTTCCCCCACCCCAAAATAAACCCCCCCCCCCCCCCCAATTTTTGACTGGGAAAAAAATCTCCCTCACAATTTGCTTGAAATCAAGGGTTTAAAATTTCTTTAATTTTCCAAATTCCCTTCAGATCCATTTTTTTTAAAGTAAACACAAAAATATATCATATTAACTTTTAAACTTTAAAACTTTTTAACATTATTACGAAAACTTGTTAAACACCTACATATTTACTATAATTTTTGCACGCCCGGCAAACTGTCGCTCCACTTCAAAATTGCGGTGTACGGTAAAACGAGCGAACGGCATTTCCGAGATTAGAGCGGAAAGGCCGATTTAAACGGCCTAATTGTTAAGTATGATTTTATGTTTTTTGTCTTGTTATTTATTAAGTTGTATTTTTTTCGAAAAAACGGAAAATGTTTAGTTCCGGTGTAGGATTGATTTAGGCTTCCAATGATCAAGAGCTGTTACAAAAACGAAAATTATATTTTTTAAGCCCGGGAGAACTTTTCTCCCTGACGAAGCGAACGATGATTGTTAGAATATTGAACTTCCAAACCATAGAAAATGCCATACCTTTCGGATTTTCTTGAAAAAATTGTATTAGTAAATTATGCAAACACCGTAATAAGAACTTTGTCCTTCGTGCAAAGATAAATTACTACCTGAAGGATTTCTTTTCTAAATTTGTAAATCGATATTTTTCGAAGTAGTGGAGGCGAAAAGGGGGCGAGAAGATGGAGCAAAAGGTTCGATGTTTGAGGCGGAAAAGGCCCGATAACTAATTTGATCGTATTAGGAAAGGAGGCGTAGTCAATGATTTTTTTAAAAAATAGCAAAAGCTATAGGAAGTTAAAGTAGACCATGAATCAATAAGTGTGTTAGAGACCGAGGATATATTAAAATACCTTTTAAAGAGAAATTAATAAAGTGTGATATCCTTTCACACGAAAATATAGCGTAAAAATGTAGAATCGCGAAGAGTGTCACCATGGCTGCCGTGTAGCATTCCATTATTTAAATGTTCGAAATTTTGGATGATGCCCCGACCATTGATCATACACATGTATGCATGGCAAATACAAGGGGATGCCCACTTATTTCGAGGTCAATCATGATTTTTGACAGCGGTTATTTACATTTAAAAAAAAACGTGTGTTTCCGTGCCAAATTTGGCGACAAAGTCGAATATTTTAGTTCTATACCGCGGGTCCGGGCGAAACAAATGTTTTCCTGGAGCGGGCCCCAACGTGTAACTCGATTGTTTACGCCAAAAAATGTTATGTTTTTCGAAAAGTTAGATATTCAAGGTGCAGAAAGAAAACAAAATTATGCAATGCATGGAACACGATTAAATTAAATGGCATCAAATACTACCCGGAAGTTCAGATCACAATGAAATTTCTTGTAATTTAATAGCTCTAACGCGTAACTGTTTCTGAGCAAAACAAACAAAAAGGTCACGGTTTTCATGAATTTGTAAGGTGGGGAATCGGATACATGAAAATGGTTGACAAGGTGGAAACACAGTCGTTATAAGGATATAACACGTGTTCCAGTTTATTTCAAGATACTTCCTCCCTTATTTAGCATTCATTGGGTTTCCTCTCAAAGTGAGGCAGAACTCAGTCGGGTGTACGGACTAAAATTATCCAATAATATAATAGACCTAAGTTATAGTAGAAATTTTTCTATTACCTTTCAAGAAAAGACGAAAATAATAAACTAAACAACAATGCTTAAAATAAGGGAGGAAGTGAAGGCAGAACTCAGTCGGTGTACGGATTAAATTATTCAAATAATATAATATAGACCTAGTTTTATAAAGTAGAAATTTCTATTTACACTTTCAACGAAAAAGTTAATAAACTAAACAACACCATCCCTAAATAAGGGAGGAAAGTATGTTTGAAACATAACTGAAATACACAGTGTTAAATATCCTTATAAACGACTGACACATTGTCAAAACGCATTTTCATAAAGCGATTCCTCTCACTCTTACAAATTCATGAAAACGTGGCTTATTTGTGTTTTTGGCTCAGAAAGCAGAGTACGTTAGAGGCTATTAAATTACAGGAAAGTCATTGTGAACTGAACTTTGGTAGTGTAGTGTGATCCCATTTGAATTAATGTGTTCCATGGCATGTGCAATCGAGTTACAACGTACAGTTTCTGGCTGCTCGAGTTAAACATTTGTTCGCGTAGAAATAAAAATATTCGATTTTGTTGCATTTGCACGGACACACGTTTTTTTAAATGTACATAACCGTGTCAAAAATCATGATTGACCTCGAATAAGTGGCATCCTGTATTATGCCATGCATACATGTGTATGATTCAATGGTCGGGCCTCATCCAAAATTCGAACATAAATAAAGGAATCTACACGGAAGCCATAGGTGACACCTTCGCGATTACATTTATTACGCTATAGTCGTTGAAAGGATATCACACTTTTATTAGTTGTCTTCAAAAGGTATATATATCTCGGTCTTAACACTTGATCAATGTCTATTTTAACTTCTATAGCTTTTATATGTAAAAAATCATAGACTACGCTCCTCCTAATACGTCAAATTAATATCGCCTTGCGCTCAACATCGAACCTTTTGCCTCCATCTCTTGCCCTTTCGCTCCACTACTTACGAAAAATATCGGTTTACAAATTTAAGAAATCCTTCAGGAGTAATTTATTTTGCACGAAGGACAAGTTCTTATTACGGGTCGATAATTTACTAATACATTTTTTCAAGAAATCCGAAAGGTATGGCATTTCTATGGTTGGGAAGTTCATTATTCTACAAATCATCGTTCGCTTCGTCAGGGAGAAAAGTTCTCTCGGGCTTAATATAATTTTCTTTTTGTCACAGCTTAGATCATTGGAAGCCTAAATCAATCCTACACGGAACCACATTTTCCGTTTTTCGAAAAAATACAACTTAAATGAATAACAAGACAAAAACATAAACAATACTTACAATTAGGCGTTTAAATCGGCCTTCCGCTCTATCTCGGAAATGCCGTTCGCTCGTTTTACCGTACACCACAATTTTGAAGTGGAGCGACAGTTTGCCGGGCGTGTTTTGGGCTTAGGAAAAACTGTGTTTTTCAAAAACTATGTTTTAATCAACTCTCCCCAATCCTCCCCTTTTGGAAAAAGTTACACCCCTTGGAGTGTTTAATAGGAATTTTACGGTAGTTACAAATTCAAAAAAAAAATAAGTATTGATAAATATGTGTATTGGTATACCTTTGGCCCCTGTGAGGATTTTATGACAAAAACAAACATTTTGTTTTGATATTTATTTATAATTCATAGGTCGTAGATCAATCATGTCTCTAACCATCAGTTGCTGATAAGCTTATCAATTAGTGTTTGATAATTGAGTAGTAATTGTTTTCATAAACGCATGAAAAGTCTAATTGTTTCAGATGTCATTAATTCATATCCTTCTAGTTTTAGTTTTTTAATTGACTTTTTCCTTTGAAAATGAAGGCACGATTTACATCAGCTATATTACTTCTGTCATAATGGGAATCAAAATTTGTTTGTGTTTGTGTTTTATTTATGGTCACCATTTGTGATGAAATATAGGCAAACCCTCCTGGGGAAAAGATTGTTTGTTATGCCAAGAACCATCAAGGTTTTTGTTGTATGATGTGAACAAAAATATTTAGGTAGACAATTTCTCAACAAATTGGGAAAATAAGACCAGTTCTTAACAAAGTGGAAAAATGACATCAGTTCTTGACAAAGTGGAAAAATAAGATCAGTTCTTGACAAAGTTGAAAAATAAGACCAGTTCTTGACAAAGTGGAAAAATAAGACCAGTTCTTGACAAAGTGGAAAAATAAAATAAGTTCTCAACAAAGAGGAAAAATAAGACCATTTAATCTCAACAAAGTGAAGAAGGAAGTCAGCTTCCAAATACATGTACTTGTATAACATTCTGACCAATCACAACATTTTTTTTACCTCTAAAGCAATATGTTAGAACTACTTTCAATCCGTATGAAGTCCAAGATGAATATATGAGTAATAGTCAAAGAGTTCCAATTGCATTCTGACTGCAATTTTTTTCTATAACCTTGAATTCAATGACATCAACAATACAAATCAATTCAAATATGTAAATTCAAATGTAAATAATTGATTTTAAAACATAACCAAGTAAGCAACAACAAAAAATATGCAAACAAAACAAATGACAAAAGTGGTTCATAGATTCTCAATGTTGTGGTCATGAATGGGTCACCTGTTAATTGTTATACAATTTATCATATGTGAAATATCATAAAGCTTATTTAGTTTAATTGGTAACTATGTCAATAGTCCTGCAATTTCCAAAGTATGTTGATAAAGGGGAGTTTTTGTGGTTTGGTTTTTAGTTGACACTATTACTGTAAAGGTCATAAAAATAATAGAAGAATAATTCACAGGAAATGGGTATTCTTATTTATTATATTAATAATTTACAAATTATGATGTTTACAGCTTCATATATAAATTATAATGATTTCAGTATTTCTTTTAGAAAAAACACAACAACTTTAAGGTAACATGTAAAATTGTATTTAAATGAACATAATTTCATAATCACTGAAACATGATGTTTAATTTTAATGATTATAATAAGTAAAACTGTTTTATCAAGTGATTCTTTATTTTATACCAGTATATCTTAGTGTATTACTGTATATATTTAGTTGAGTAAGTGAAGAAAAGAAAAGAATGTAATACAGTAACTGCATAAACTAAATATGACATAATTTATGTCTTTTTTATTATAATAGAATAGCACTGAATTTTCTTACTTGAAATAATGAATAAAAGGTTTATATGTCAAATGTCATGTAAAATTACTGCATACAAAACACACATATTTTAACTGTTTACATTTTCAATTGTAACCTTAGGTGTTAGTTCATCTGTATGACAAAGTTTTGCACCTTTAATGCATTATGAATTATAATATGAGCCGCATCACAACAATACCAACATAATGGGTTTGCGACCAGCATGGATCCAGACCAGCCTGCGCATCCGCGCAGTCTGATCAGGATCCATGCTGTTCGCTATCAGTTTCTCTACTTGTTATAGGGTCTGTAAGCGAACAGCATTGATCCTGATCAGACTGCACGGATGCGCAGGCTGGTCTGGATCAATGCTGGTCGCAAACCCATTATGTTGGTTCTGTCGTGACACGGCTCATATAAATTTTACCCGACATATATTATAAGATGACTAAGATGACTATCATTATGTTAAGAGTTACAATACTCACTGCTATTAAAGCTTTAGATGTTATTAACCAAATCATAGTAGTTAAAGAGTTATTGCCCTGTCATTCCCAAATCATAGCAGTTAAAGAGTTATTGCCCTGTCATTCCCAAATCACAGCAGATAAAGAGTTATTGCCCTGTCATTCCCAAATCACAGCAGTTAAAGAATTATTGCCCTGTCATTCCCAAATCACAGCAGTTAAAGAGTTATTGCCCTGTCATTCCCAAATCACAGCTGTTAAAGAGTTATTGCCCTGTCATTCCCAAATCACAGCAGTTAAAGAGTTATTGCCCTGTCATTCCCAAATCATAGCAGTTAAAGAGTTATTGCCCTGTCATTCCCAAATCACAGCCGTTAAAGAGTTATTGCCCTGTCATTCCCAAATCACAGCAGTTAAAGAGTTATTGCCCTGTCATTCCCAAATCATAGCAGTTAAAGAGTTATTAACCTTTAAAGTCATAAAAAGCCATATTATATCAAGAAATATTTTTATTATACTTGTAAATGTTTAACATTATTTTGTTGCTATAATTGTACTGGTTGATTCCAGAAAGAGTTTAACATAGAATATCTCTGTCATTAAACATACATGAATATTGTGCGTAAACAGAATAAATTTTTCTGGAACAAAATATTATACTGCTATTTTAAGTAGTAATTAGCAATAATTTCCTATAGAAACATATTTCTTTAATTACAGTATTTTTGAATGATCTTTTTTCAAACTTCAAACAATAATTTTGTTAACAAGACAGCCTATAAAATTATATCAGATTTACACACTTTAAGGCTGCCAAAGGAGTGAGTAAGGGGGACATATTCTGGTGTGGTAAAAAACAAAAATTCTAGTTTCTGTAGATGACTTGGGTTTACTACGTCATAACTTTTCTATTTTTTACTCTCCTATACGAGGAATGTCCAAACAGTTTGTTTGTTTTGTTTGTTTTGGGTTTTACGTCACATCGACACAGCATAGGTCATATCGCGACGTTCCAGCTTTACTGATGGAGAAAGACCTCAGGTGCACTTCCGTGCATTATTTCAGGCACGAACGAGAACTTGAGTAGAACTACCGACGTTCCGTAAGCTAGCTTCCTCACATGAAAAAATCCAAAGTCCTGTCGTTATTCAAACCCACAGCGGTGAGGGGCAAGTGGTTTGAAGTCAACGACTTTAACCACTCGGCCACGGGCGCCCCTCCAAACAGTTCGTAGACAAGTCTATAAGATAATAATAAGCGGTCATATCAATATGATATTTTGCTAAAGTATGTAATTACTATTAATAAAAAAGAACTCACTAATATTTGTAAAATGCCCATCACCATGGCAACATGATTGACAGTATATGTATTTACAATAAAACTTTTTAATACTGTAGAAAATGGCCACATATATCTTTAGCAATGTTCACACAAGGTCAGAATCTTATGAGGTTATTTTAGGAAACTTAGAATAGAAGAAAAAAGATAAGGTTTCTTCCTGGTTGTAGGATAACAGCTGGGGTTCTATTTATGGTAAATTTAAAGTGGAATCTTTGGAAATGAAAAAATAAACCATTGAGTAAACAGTTCATGATTTCATGTATTTTATAGGAAATAATAATGATAATGTCATTGAATGGGCAGTCAGAAGGCAGCAATTACCATGTTACATTTTTTTTCTTTTGGTTGAATTTGAATAATTTGTATTTAACTGGGGAATAACTTTTATTCTTTGTTTTTTTAATAGTTTGCATTCTGGTATTATCTAGAAATAAAAAAATATGATTATTATATCTGTTTTGATATATTTTTCATACAATGTACATAACAGAAAATGGGTAAAGCTTAATTTCAAGTTCAAAAGCAATTTTCCCAGAACATAATTAATATTTCATTTGAAACTAAAAAAAAACTTGACCAGTTACTTACTATTGTTAACACTTTGAATTCTTAAATCTTTGTTGCAACAATGCCTTGTCTAATGAATTACCACTGTTTTATTGTCAGCCCAGTCTACATATAAATGCATAATGTTAACTTAAAGTTCTTAATTTTTGGACTCTAATATAAATTTCCCTCATTTTATGTGTATGTACCTTATTTTGATGTCAGTGCCTCTCATTTTGATGCCTATGTTATTTTATTATGATATCATGACCGTGTCCCTATTTTTTGTGTGTATGTTCCTAATTTTGTGTCAGTGTCCCTAATTTTGATGTCAGTGTCCCTCATTTTGATGTCAATGTCTCTATTTTTGAGGTGAGTTTCCCTCATTTAAACAATGGACTAATCCAATCTTAAAAATAAGTTGAAAATTCATATTTGTTAAAATTAAAGACAAAGTTATTGATTTTCTTCTTTCATTACAAGTGTTTTAAGTTGAACTCCTCACTAATTATTTCTGTATCAGGCCTTTCTATAAAAAGAATATGTTATTTTTGTTCCTCAAGTCAAAGACACAATACATGTACCTCATAAACAATACCTTTCAAATGTTTGTTTGATTTGTATGATTTTCTATATCATTATATTGCCATAATGTTAATATGAAAACAATCCAAGAAGTAACGGATATATTTATTATAGTTAAGATTTATATGGTATTTTGCAACAGGAAAGTTAAGGACGGATGAATTATCAAGTTATAAATCTAAACTGAACTTTTCTCTTCTGTTTGCTTATTATAAGAGATAACAATCTATAATAAATCATACAAGTAGGAATTGTTTAACTAAGTGAATTAATGAATGAATCATCAGTTTCTATGTATAAAGTTTACATTGTGATTCAATTTTATGTTTTCATGTATGCAGTTTAATTATACTCATACATCTTGTCTTTATGCACAATGTAAAGTTTAACATTTACTGCTGCTAAATTTTGTATAAAATTTGGACTTTGCCTGAGATGGTCGGTTGTAACTTAAATGGGGTTAGTGATCAAAATATTACTCGAATGTAAAATAGCATCTTCTGACTTCCAAAGCTATGCAGGTTGGCCTGACTTTAGTGCAGTATGGGCTGATTTTGTGCTAGTTGGCCTGAATTTTTGTGCAAGTTGGCCTGAATTTTGTGCAAGTTGGCCTGATTTTTATGGAGGTTGGCCTGAATTTTGTGCAGATTGGTCTAAATTTTGTGCTAGTTGGCCTGAATTTTGTGCAGGTTGCCTGTCTTAGTTCAGGTTGGCCTGCCTTTGTGCAAGTTGGCCTGCCTTTGTCCAGGTTGGCCTTACTTTTTGCTTGTTGGCCTGATTTTGTACAGACTTTAAGGCAAGTCAGTATTGCACTTTGCAAGATTTAAACATTTTTTTCTACCAAATACAGTTCTATAAGCTTGTGTATTGTATAAGTAATAAATTAGGCAAGACTTGCCTTGAAGTTTAAGTTAATCAGTCATTTACTGCCTTAGAAGTACAGGGTCCTCCATAGGGTCCTCTTGTTTTCTTTCACAAAATATCCCATGCTGAATGTTTGTTGTTGATAACTTTAACAATAAGATTGCTTATCTTGTATATTTCAGATCGTCATAGATGGTTCACTAGAAGCAGCATTTATGGTTTTATGTGGCGGCCTGTTTGTAACTTGTCTATTCTTTCCCCTAGTCATCATACAGAAGTTCTATAGAAAAGCTCCGAGTGTAATATCTGCCGGAATATGGGCCGATATGTTACTAATTATAAACATCTATATGAGCGTGATGCAAAAAACTTCGGCAAGCGATGATTTACCAGCGGTGTTTTTTGTGATTATAGTGCTATATACAATGTTACCATTGCCGAAGAAGGTCTCGGTAGTGTGTGGTGTTTTAAGTATGACAATTCAGATTCTTATGGCAGGATTAATGGCTGATTTAAACAGAGAAAATCTCGTTTTTCAGGTAAGAACATGTACAATGTACAATATTTCCTGGTTACAAATAAAAGCCTTTTTTGAGATGGTACAAGTACCAAAATTTCCCACATACAATTAATAACATATAAAGGTGACCTTGACAGTGGGTTTTTCCCATCTTAACTCTGTTACAAGCAAACCATTACCACTTAAGCTTCCCAGTGCTCAAACGTTATCAATTTAATTGAGTTGTTAACACATTGTGCTTGTATAGGTATCTGTAAAAGAATGTTTGCACCCAAGAATTTGATGGGTATCCGTGTCTGAAAGCTTGAGGTCGTTGACTACAAACCACTTGCCTCTCATCGCTGTAGGTTTGAGCCTCCAAAGCGTTGTTGGATTCCACTTGTGAGAAAGCTATCTAGCTAGCTGTTTGTGCCTGAAATAATGTACAGAAGAGCATCTGAAGTCTTCCGCCACTAGTAATTAAAGCTTGAAAGTCGCCATTTGGGAAAAACACACAAATTGTAAATTTTCAACTAATCATGATCATGTTTATTTATAACCTTTCATTCACCTATTATAATGAAATTATACATGTCTTTTCTGGGATAATAATTCCCCCAAACAAACTAGACTTACCTGTAAGTTGACGTTGGGTTGGAATTCTATGTAGTCATATAACAACTGGAGGGATCAAATGAGATGTGCATAGACCGTATCGATATTCCTCAGTCTTCAAAGCGATAACAGAAAAGTTATGTCCCAGAACGGGATCAAAAAGTAACATTTTCCTTAGGTATTAATATATGTAACTGTAACATTAAATGTTTTTCTGGGTGGAGTGGGAGGGCATTTGATCCCTCCAGTTGTTATATGACTACATAGAATTCCAACCCAACGTCAACTTACAGGTAAGTCTAGTTTGTTTGGGGGAATTCTATTACGTCATACAACTTCCGTGCTCAAATGAGACTTCAACACAAGAGGACATAACTTTTATGGGCTACGAGTCACTTACTATAACACATGTAAATGTTTCAACAGTAATGTACGTATATTTTTTACCTGTATCTGACATGTTACTGTAATACTGCGGACTGGAAGGATACCTCTGTTTCCAGTGGCTTCTCATAAAACTGAGCAAATGTCCTCTCTGTTGCCCATCCAGCAACTTTCATGATCTCATTCAGCGGAACTCCACTCTGCTTTGCCTTGGAGGTTACTGCTCCCCTAGCACTATGTGTTTTATATTTATCAACGTCAATACCTGCATCTCTCATTACACATTTTATCCACCTACTGATAGTTGTCGAGACAACAAACTTGTATGGTTTAATGTAACTTATGAATAACCTTTTTTCTTCTCCACGTAAATGTTTAGTACGCGATATGTATTCTTCTAATGTACTATATACACACAACCTCCTATCTGGAGTATACTTCTTGCAATTTACAACAGGGTTACGTTTACCCTTACGACATTGTTTCAAAAGCCCACAATAATACAAAATAAAGGAATTCTCATCCTTTTTCATACCTTCTAAAGTTAATAAACTTACAGAGTGAGAACGACTTGCCTGAGTCAAAACAATAAGTGTTGCTAACTTATAGCTTAACATTTTCAATGTCAAATTATTCACTGGTGGCAGCGTCTTCAGGTGACTCAGAAGTTTTGAAACATCCCACGTTTCTGTATACTTTGATCTTGTAGGTCTTAAGTTATACACACCAGTCATGTATCTCACAACTAACGGGTGTGAGCCAACATTATACCCTTCATGTGATTCACAAAGCATTGACAATGCACTCCTTGCTGAATTCAAAGTTTCATAACTATAACCCTTATTAAAAAGTTCTGTAAGAAATTCTATCACAAAGTCTATAGAGGTTTGAAATATATTACTTTGCCTTTCACGACAGAAAAGAACCCATTTGTTAATGTAACATGAATATTGCTTCTTAGTGGAGCGTCTCCATGACGCCATGATGATTTTGACAGACTTTTCCGAAAGTTCTCTGCTTTCGAATGATTTCCTGATATATGACATGCCATCAAATGTAGTTTGTTTACAAGAGGGTGAATTTTGTTCAAGCCCGGAATTCGTAGTGTGTTGCGACTTACTTTGATGATTAGTGGGATGTCTATTAACATTTCCAAAACTGCTGTGTACCAGTTCTGAGTTACCCAAACAGGCGCCACCAGGACCATCTCTGCTTCGTCTAGCAGTACCTTCTGCACCAGACGACCAATCAGACTGAAAGGAGGAAAAGCATAAATAAATTTTCCTTTCCAGTTTAATGAAAAAGCATCTACAGCTTCTGCTTCCGGGTCTGGTTTCCAAGAGACATATCTTGGCAACTGTTTGTTTAACCTGGAAGCAAATAAATCTACTTCCGGCTGCCCAAATATGTCTGCCAATTTTGAAAACAACCCATCATTTAGCATCCATTCAGTATTGTCATTAAATTTTCTCGAACTAGCATCAGCCTCATTGTCTATTCCAGGAACATGCGTTGCTGAAAGCCATATATTTCTTTCACAACACCACAACCAGATTTGTCTAGCAAGACTGTTTAAATTCTGTATTTTTCCTCCCATGTTCTTAATATAGGAGATTGCACATGTATTGTCTGATCTTATCTGAACATGGCTATTAGTTGTGGTTTTGCAAAAGGATTTTAATGCATAGCTTACAGCAAGCAGTTCCAGGAAATTGATATGGTTTTGGGCCTCCTGGTCACTCCATCGACCACCAGTTTCTAAATTTTCACACACTGATCCCCAGCCTTGGATCGAGGCATCGCAAGTGATAACAATGCTTGGGTTTCCATGAGAAATTCTCCGCTTTTGTTGAGAAAGATTATCAATCCACCATTGTAATTCAACTTTAATTGATTCAGTTACCATCATGGTGGACTCATAATCTCCTCTATTTTCTTTTAAAGCAATGATTTTTTCCCTCTCTGTATCACGATAATACAAAGGAGCAAACTCAACTGCAGAGAAAGTGGAAACCAGGAGACCCAAAACTCTAGCAACTTCCCTAATCTTTGCATGATTACGGTTTTGCAGATCTACACATGCTTGGACAATTCCATTTACTTTTTCTACCGGCAAAGTTACAATCATTTCTTTAGAATCAATATCGTTACCGAGAAAGGTAATTTTTTGAATGGGTTCAAGTACTGATTTTTTATCATGTATCATAAAGCCAACATCAGTCATTAAATTGACAGTGTCGGACACATTTTCTCGACATTCTGAGATTGTGTCTGCCATTAACAATGAGTCATCTATGTACCCAGAATTCTTATGTCCAAGCATGCGTAGAGATGCATAAACTGGCTTCATGAGCCTAGTAAACTGTTTTGGCGCACAAGAAATACCATTTGGAAGAGCTTCGTACTGGTAGATTTTACCTGACTTCTGAAATCTTAGCTTAATTTTGTGTTCTGTTGCAATTGGAACAGAATAGTAGGCATGACGCAAATCAATTGATGCAAAATAACAGCCAGGTTTGACTAATTTTAATACAGATTCAAATGTGTCCATTTTAAAATGATGATATTCAATAAATTCATTTAATTCTTTCAAATTTAAAATCATTCTATATTCACCATTCTTTTTAGGACGTATGAAAATTGGAGAAATATATTCCTCAGGATGATGTTCAACTTCTGTAATAACACCCATTTTTAATAATTTTTCTATTTCTTTATCTACAATGTTATCTTCTTCGGGTGTGAAATGATTTATGTAAGAAAAAGTTTTAATGGGATTAACACCCTCTTTAAATTCAATGTGACAATGTTGAACAATGTCCAACACTGAATCATCACTGGTTATTTTTCTCCAATTTTCAATAAAATCCTTCAATCTACCAGCTTTAAAAGTACTAACCTGCTCTACTTCTTGGGCGCCATCCTGGCATTTTTTGAAGCTGCCGATATGTCCGGCCGACCACGACCTCTACCACGGAACCCTCGTCTGTAGTAAGGATGAGGGCGTCTGCTAACATAGCCACGATAGTTGCCCCGAGGGAATCCTCGACCAAGACTACGACCAATCTTGTTCAGGTCATTGATCTCCTTCACATTCTTGTTGACGTCTGTATCGTCACCATATAAGTTATCAGTGAATGGAAGAGATGCTGAAGCCAAATAATGGTACTTCGGATCAAGATCCGACTTATGGAGTTCTTTCCGGCGAATATTTATCAATTTATTAGCCTGTCCGAGCAACGCAATAGAGTTTGAACTCCAGTCCATATCACAAGGGTCTAAAGAGTCAGCATTTTTGTCAATAAGCTTGACAAGGTTGGATGTGGCTTTGACGATCAAATCTTGAATTATCTGCATTCGGTTGTCGTCGGCCTGTGTATGCATTTTCAGTAGTCTCCAGATTCCCTGGTTGACTCTGGTTTTAACCAACGCCTCACAATTCTGTGGCCTGTGTATGTCCTTCACTATATCTGACAGTTTATCTTCCGTCAAACCACTTCTAAACGACATGTTAACAAAATGTGCTAGGTCATCATTGACTTCACTATCAACAGCGTCTTCTTGCTGGAATTTGTTCACTAATGAACTAAATATACCTCCCCCAGAATTTTTCTTAGCACTTGAAGGAATGGATGCTTGTTCAGATATACAAGCATCATCATCATCATATTGTTCTTGGCATTCATAGTCATTGTACTCATTATATTCACTGTAATCTTGATCAGTCAACTGTTCAGTGAAGGACTGTAATTTTTGTTCTTGTTTTTCCAAGCGTGTGGCTTGTGCATTGAGATTTGCATTCATTTCCTTTAATATCAGTAACACTTCTTTCGTTACCCCACCCTCCTTGGTGGGCAACTGTTTCGTAGTTTGTTTACCGCTACTGCTGCTAGTAGCAGCCTTGTCACTTGAAATTAACATGGAAGAATGACTAGACGAACTAGATGTGGTAGTAACTGGGGTTGTTTCATTTTGTTGGGAGACTTTTATTGTCTTTTTCCCCGTGTTTTTTAACTGGACTTCTTTATCTGCCATTTTGCTGAACACGCGACTTCGTAAAGCAACTCTACTAACGCACGTGGGTATGTCGTAAAATGTATTGTCGTAAAAAATACAACAAAGGCAAATAAACAATATTTGCGAACAAATATTATAAAATTGTATCAAATTGTTACTAATAACAATAAAATAATAAGATTATTGCTACGAATAGCAATAATTTGTAAGACTGACTAGAACAACAATTGTCTAAATTGTGAACGAACGAATCCGTCACGGAAAACGGTCAGCTACTGTAGAAATACGACTGCACTCTACGAGTAGCAAAAACGCACTGAGGAATATCGATACGGTCTATGCACATCTCATTTGAGCACGGAAGTTGTATGACGTAATAGAATTAACATTCAACTGATGATATATATATATATATATATATATCCTTATATAGCCATTCAATAGAAAGATCACACAAGATCTTGTTAGCATTTGTATTTTATGCTGTATATGAGCCGTGTCACGACAAAACCAACATAATAGGTTTGCGACCAGCATGGATCCAGAACAGCCTGCGCATCCGCGCAGTCTGATCAGGATCCATCCTGTTCGCTTATCAACTCTATTACAAGTAGAGAAACTGATAGCGAACGCATGGATCCTGATCAGACTGCGCGGATGCGCAGGCTGGTCTGGATCCATGCTGGTCGCAAACCCATTATGTTGGTTTTGTCGTGACGCGGCTCATATTATATTTATCAACTGAATTAAGATATCACAGCTGCTGTCTTTACAGATGAAAGAATCTGTCAAATTAGAATTACACGTGTCACACCTTTGTCGAATTAATGCAATTAATGAGACATACAAATAGGAGCTTTCACTTGATTTACTTTCGAAAGAAATATCACATCTTCCCATTTTTGTTTCACTTGTAATTTGATCTCAGTGTTTACATAAATATATTTTTAATAGAACCTCCTGATTGTTGTTTAATTAAGAGAGATCGTGGCAGTGAGTTCACAAGTTTAACTTTTCATGCTACATCATGTCTAAAATGATTTGCCAGGTGCCAGTTTGGCTCATCTGTATTGAAGATGAAATTACAGAACAGCATGTGCTGAGCATATAGAGAAAATTATTTAAAAAATCCCAATATCATGTTCCAAACGGCAGTGTTGAAAAGACCAAGATTTGTGTTGTGTCTATAGTGTGTTGCTTTTAAAGAGTTTAGAATTGCTCTACACACGTTGAAATTTACATGTATATTTATAGGAAGAATGCATTTGCATACATTTTTCAGCGTTTATATTTTGGTCTTATGGCTCCAAAAATAGGATAATAACAGTCCTATGGCCCTGCGCACTATAGAGCTAGACCATCTTGTTAAACTGGGGAGTTTGTCCACACTCTATACTCTCTATATATTTATGATTTAACAAATTTATATTCCTTTTTGTATTTTTCAGTTGTTTTCAAATTTAGTGCTATTACTGGGTGCAAATTTGATTGGCATCTATCACAAGTATTTAACGGACATCACTCATAGACATACATTCCTGGAGGCCAGAAAATCTATAGAGTCAATGGTGAAACTTGAGAAAGAAAAGAAAGAACAGGTAAGGATAAGGAGTTCTCCAACAGAAACTGCTTTATTGAGTTGGTTGATTGAATTTTATTTGACTGCATTTTATATTGAAACAGTTAGGTTTTACAGAATCATATTTAATAACTTCTTGGTGGTGGTGTTGGTAGTTTTCACTCCAGATCACGGCAAAAAGCAATACTATATTTACCAGAGCTCAGTTCAGTCAACACATTGTTTCCCAGGGCAGGCTGTCAAGCAGTTTACTACTTTACTTTCACAAGGAACTAATGACTTACATACCTGCCTGAGCAGAGGTACAGTGCATATGACCATAGAAATGAAAGTGATCTGCACTGTCCGAGAGAATCGAACCTGGATTGCCAAATTCACAGTCAAATGCTCTACATATTGAGCTTACCAGACGACTGTTGAATAACTTTTTGTTTTAAGACATGTCTTAAAAGTTATATTCATGGTATTACTCTTTTGAGGATTTTAAAAAATATAATTAACCAGAGCACAAGATTTTTTAACACAGTCCTCAAATTATGTACCTAAAAATCCATCTGCACCAACTAGAAACATGTTTTTACAAAATTGCTGAAGGGAGCACGCTCCCCAACAAAAAATGGTTGTAACATGACTGTGGCTTTAAATATACATGATAGAAAATAATAAATAATAATAGATCTCTGTTTATATTAATGTGTAGGAGGAGTTATTGACAAGCTGTATTCCGAAAGATTTGATGAACTCCATGAAGGAGGACCTTACACGGAAGATGATGAGTAAAGTACCGAAAATTACACCATTCCACGATCTTTATGTAAAACATCATAGTAACGTCAGGTAAATTATTTTATCATCTTTGTTTTCCTGTTTGTTCACCCGTTTTCAGCGGGACTTTTAAAATAATGTGGCTATATCACATTCGCCATTGTTTCGATCGCCGAGGAAGATGGCGTAATATATTCAATGCAACTTCATATTTCTTAAAAAGTGTTGGAGCACCACACTCAATACCGTATTTCTAGTATATACAGGTCAAGGGTGCTTGATTGATTAAATGCTAAAATCTGGCCTTTTTCATCTGCCGAAATGCTCTCTAAGATGTTTTATTCATCTGTTCACACTGATTTATATACAAAATAATTAAAAAATCTAAGAATCAATAATAAAAAAAGTGATATTTTTCTATTTTGTGATCTTGATTTCTGCAAGCATCTAGAGGTACTGCTTCAACAGTTTAGTGAGTTAAGCCCTTACTGTTGGTCACAGTCTAAAACTTATAACTCCTGCGCAGTTTTTTGACTGAATTTTACCCCTTTTTGATTATCAAGCACTTAGTAATGGTAGTTTTCATATTTTCTCTTTTTTCTTAAATGAAAGTTTTTATATAGATTGATACATACACGAATAGATTATGTAATAAATATAATCAAGCCTAAGATTTTAATACTGTATCAAACATAATGTATGGTCGCAGTAGTGTACAAGCAAATCTCAAAGAAAAAAACAAAATAAAATCATATTGTTAATTTTGCAATATCATACCAAAAATATATTGAGAAGTGACATTTGAATCAATTTATAAAGGTTTTTGTACTCTTTATGTAAATAATATGGTTGCAAATCATCCTAATATGACATAACATGTCTTGTTAACTTGCTTTTTTTTGTAATTCTGGAATTAATAATGATTCTTTATTATACCTTTAATATGATACTCTTACTTATTTATGCTTTTTCAGTAAATTGTGAACATTTTTTACATTGACAGTTTATTGTAGCCATGTATTACATATATGAACATTGTATAGTCAATTTGCTCAAGTTACATGTAATTGTAACTGGGGCATTCAACCTAAGGGAAGAGAGGGGATAGCAGGGTAGAGTAAGGGATAGCAGGGGGAGTATAAGGGAGAGAGAGGGGTGGTGGGGTACTGTAATAGATAAAGGGGGTGAGGGGAGAGCAGGGGATAGCAGGGTAGAGTAAGGGATAGCAGGGGGAGTATAAGGGAGAGAGAGGGGTGGTGGGGTACTGTAAATAGATAAAGGGGGTGAGGGGAGAGCAGGGGATAGCAGGGTAGAGTAAGGGATAGCAGGGGGAGCAAAGGGAGAGAGAGGGGTGGTGGGGTACTGTAATAGATGAAGGGGTGAGGGGAGAGCAGGGGATAGCAGGGTAGAGTAAGGGATAGCAGGGGAGTATAAAGGAGAGAGAGGGGTGGTGGGGTACTGTAATAGATAAAGGGGTGAGGGGAGAGCAGGGTAGAGTAAGGGATAGCAGGGGGAGCAAAGGGAGAGAGAGGGGTGGTGGGGTACTGTAATAGATAAAGGGGGTGAGGGGGGAGCAGGAGATAGCGGGACATTGGTATTGTCAAGGATAGCCAACTAGGGATAACAGAGCAATATAGTGGATAGCAGAGGATATAAACCATCTTTTTTACCTTCCGTCTCTTCCTGCATAGCCAGTGTTATGTGATGTAATGTTGGTGCATTAGGCTTGAATTTTACTGTCTGATTGACCCCGAGGGGCAGGACTTTTACCAGCATTTTGACTAGTTCATAAGTCCACAGGTTCCTTCTTTTCTCTAGGAATTACATTTGACTGGTGCATTCCAATTTACTCTATGCAGATACATTGTAATAATCTTCACCTTAGTGCAGTAACGTGTTAACTCCTATTAAATTATATATAGGAGTTAACCTGTTACTGCAATAAGGTGATAGTATGTAGATATTGTAATCATATCAGTCTCTAATATTATCATGTCATTTCTTTTTTTTAACAGTATATTGTATGCAGATATTGTGAACTTCACGCCACTCGCTGCAGAATGTACAGCACCAGAGCTGGTTAAGATGTTGAATGAACTTTTTGGCAGATTTGATCAACTAGCAGAGGTTTGTATATTCTTATAAAACACACCTTACATGAAAACTTCACATTAACTATTAAAAGTTATCCAATTCAACCTGATTTTGTACTTGAAAATGCATAAAAACAGCCCTCCCCGACCCCCTAACTCTTGAACCTTGGACATTTGGCCCCCTTACTTGGTTTAAACATATTTATTCTATACATTTTTGCATGATGAACAATATTTACACGATACAATTTGGGTGAAAGCTATGAAAGCTTATGAGTGTCCTCTCCCCTTTACTTGTTGGTGGTGCTCCCACATATGTTTTGAGGCTGAGACTGATTTTATGTTGTTTTACAAAGTTGTTTTTCATTTCCTTTTTCGCAAATCATTATTATAATACCACAATGGTAACATTTTTTGTTAAATTTCCTCTTGCGCACTTAAAATAAAAACATAAAAAATAATGAGACTTTATTTTGTAAATTATCAAAAAATGCTTGTTCTGTTGTTTTTGAAATGAAGTAAATCATCATAAAGATATTTTAAATGAAGATATCAGAACTGTTTTTGCTCAGTTAGTCAGCAGATTCTTGTAATATAAGATTGTTTATTTTTTGTTCGATACAGAATTGAAATACAATTGTACAAGCATTTAAGGTAGTGATATATGCATCTGTTCATTATTTCATGGTCGTTTTCTTCTGGAAATAAGAAATATGATCATCCTGTGGGCCTTATAATTTTTGTACTTCTTTGAACATTTCAAAACACAAATAAATCACTAGACAAAAAGTTATAAATGACATAAGCATTTTCGTTCTACAGTTCTACTGCCTGGCAATCGATGTTAACGATAACAAAAAAGAAATACTTCTAATTATGACAATAAAATTACATGACTTTGTGAAAAATTTGATTTTCTTTAAAATCCTTGCATATGGAAACTTAAACTTTTTTATCCATTATCTATTAATATGAAATTTTAATGATCTAAGATTGTGAGTTTTTGAATTGCTTGTACATGACCTTTTTTTCTTGGTATCATAATACTTTGACACGCACACCCACACACCCAATTCCCCCACAGCCTGAAAAAAAGTTCCCCTTTCTTATTAACATATACTCATTCGCTTTCTAGCACCTTAGATTGAAATTCAGAAAAGAAAATGTATAGAAATGGTCTACGTTAAAGTAAACTTTATTTTATTTTTTCATCTTTAAGACTTTGAACAATACAGACTAGAGAGATATGTATGAAATCTATGTCAAAAGTTACCTGACTTTATCAATACATCATAGTGATTTATTATTTAAGGTATCTTCACAGTGTTTTAGGGCTTGTATTGAAACTTGTTTACATACATTTTTACAGCTAACACTGTCCTCATTAGTTATAAAACATATGTTATACATCATTCAGTCAGACAGGTGACAGGTTTTAAATTTAGATTTAAGAGTAGTAATTTTAAACACCTGTAATACTATATTGATATGATTTCTTATATTTTAAGCAACATATTGACACTTATATTTCCTTTGACTTTTGTATAGTAATGTTTCAATGATTCGTGGAACAAACCAGTTAATGTATTGAAATTCCTAGATATTTAGATTAATATTGACATTATGAAATTAATTAATAATGATAATATCAAATTCATAGATATTGACATTATGAAAAGCATCATATTAAATATGACAATCAAAGATATTGGCAGTATGATAAGTTGATAAGTATTGACACCTGATGTAATTCATAGATATGGAAATTCTGAAATCAAAGACTTTGACATTATGAATTTCATAGATATTTACATTTTGAAAAGCAGAGATATTGACATGATAAAATTCATAATTATTGACATCATGATGCAACCATAGTTTTTGACATTTTTATAGAATTTTGAGATAATGATATTATGACATGCATACTTGATGGCATTATTATAAAATTAATAGATATTAAAATGGACATTTTTAGGCAATTTGACAATCTTTGATATTATTGGGAAATTCTTAGATATTTAGATTATTATGAAATCCACAGATATTGACATTATTAAATGACATTATTGTAAAATCAGAAGATATTGACATTATTATGAAATCCATTGATATTGACATTATTTAATGACATTATTGTAAAATCAGAAGATATTGACATTATTATGAAATCCACAGATATTGACATTATTAAATGACATTATTGTAAAATCAGAAGATATTGACATTATTATGAAATCCATTGATATTGACATTATTAAATGACATTATTGTAAAATCAGAAGATATTGACATTATTATGAAATCCATTGATATTGACATTATTAAATGACATTATTGTAAAATCAGAAGATATTGACATTATTATGAAATCCACAGATATTGACATTATTAAATGACATTATTGTAAAATCAGAAGATATTGACATTATTATGAAATCCATTGATATTGACATTATTTAATGCATCATTGTGAAATCAGAAGATACAAAATTTAATGTATTGACATTTTTATCAAATTCATAGATATTAGGATTATGAAGTTCTTAGATGTATATGTCAATGGAACTCTTGATTCTGATTTGGTTATTTTTAGATTTTAAAGCCATTAATTTTGTAAAGATATAATTATTACAATATAAATGTAAATTAAATTGTCTTTTGTAGAAGAACAACTGCATGAGGATCAAGATTTTAGGAGATTGTTATTATTGTGTGTCTGGTCTGCCAATGCCCACAGAAAAACATGCCATAAACTGTGTGAAAATGGGATTGAAAATGATAGAGGCTATAAGGTAAGAAATGTTTATACCTTAACTGTTCACACATCTAAAGATTATTAAATTTTAAAAATGCATACTTTTGCAATTGTCTTATTTGATAATCAGAATCTGTCCTTATTGTTTTGAATGAAATCAAGCTTTCTAAAATATTTTCACATCTTTACTATCATAACAAATTTTCAAATTTGAAAGTCCTTATTAAGTGACTCCACTGAAGTTTTTTTTGACATGAAGGGACTGGAAATATTTTTTCAAGACTTTTGTAAAATTTGATGTAGACTAAAAACTTGTATGCAAAATTTCAGATCATTTCTCTGTTTTTACAGTTTTTAATGTGCAAAATGACCAAATGACCAAAAAAATGAAGTCTTTTCATTCAAGAGAGGCTAAAATCTTTAAAAAAAAATCTATTTTCAAATTAATTTTGAGTACCATATATTTCTTACTATCTTTTGCAGACTTTCCCATTTTTAGTGTATCACTTGATATATGAAAGAATTCCAAATGTTATGTTTTAATGCTTTTGACTTCAGTTGAGCTTCTTTAAGTCATTATGTAATAGTTTTGGGAATAGATTTATGCAAAGATATTTTATTATTTATTATAAAACTGTATTATATTGTATACTAGGAATGTTCGGGAAGCAACTGGGGTGGAGGTGGACATGCGGATTGGCGTGCACTCAGGGACTGTACTGTGCGGGGTCCTCGGTTTGAAAAAATGGCAGTTTGATGTGTGGTCAGATGATGTCACCATTGCTAATCACATGGAGTCAGGAGGCGTACCTGGGTAATAATTCATTTTTTTTTCATTTTTTTTTTTTTTTTTTTTTTTTTTTTTGGGGGGGGGGGGGGGAATGGGTGTCATTTTCAGGGGTCAAGGTTTACCAGCACTGTTAAGGTAAAAATCCCTTTCCAGTTTTAATGGTAGAGCGGCACAGTAGGTTCCTCCAGTAGTAAATCTGGGAAGTGTTCATGTGACATTTTGACTGCTGGTATGATGTAAATAAAAATAACCCAACTAAATTATATGAGCCGTGTCATGACAAAACCAACATAATGGGTTTGCGACCAGCATGGATCCAGACCAGCCTGCGCATCCGCGCAGTCTGATCAGGATCCATGCTGTTCGCTATCAGTTTCTCTACTTGTAATAGAGTTTGTAAGTGAACAGCATGGATTCTGATCGTGACGCAGCTCATATACTATTTGCTGTTATCTTTGCTGTTGCTAACTACTATATTAGCATCATGCTTTAATAAGCCATATTATACTTAGCATCATTCTTCGCAGACTATAATGTCCCGTTCTTCATTAGCTTGTTAATTAGTGTTGAGTTTCTTTTATTTTGTTTCTGTATTTAGTGATTAACTAATTTAAAGGCACATTATGCCTCAGGAAAGGTGTTTCTTGTGCATGATGGGCCCTTAAGACTTTCAAGTTCACCATTTTAATGGGTTTTTTTATGTGTGTTTTTGTGTTTTTTATTTCTAGGGAAATATGAAATTTGATAGTCTTTGATATCCCGTATATCATCATATTATCAGGTTTTAATTGTATTTGCTGTTTGTAATATATGACCTTTTTGCACCACTTTGCAGTAAAATCCAAGACATGATTTACTGATATAAGTTTTCTATTGAAATTTATTGAATTATTTAAGGCGTGTCCACATCTCCAAGGCAACTTTGTCATATCTTGGTGAAGAGTTTCAGGTGGAGGAAGGAGAAGGGTACAAACGTGACTCCCTATTGAAGAGCAGAAATATTATAACTTACCTAATTATTCCTGTGGAGAAAAGGGTAGGATTATTTTTCATGAAATCATTTATTAATATTTTAGTGTGAAAAAAAAACTTATTCATAATACTAGAAGTTTTGAAAACAAGTTGAATATATATTTGGGCGAAAAGATACTATTTGGGTGTTATATTTCTTTACCCTTTTATGAAAGCATGTAATTTCTAATAATACATTTATCATAATTCCTATCATCATCATCATCATCATCATCATCATCATTATCATCATCATCACCATCATCATCACTATCATCATTATCATCGTCATCATCATCATCATCACTATCATCATCATCATTATCATCATCATCATCGTCATCATCATCATCACTATCATCATCGTCATTATCATCATTATCATCACCATCATCATCAAAGGTTGTTTAAGTAATATAATCAATTACACCCAAATGGTATTTTTTTCAAACTTTTCACATATTTAGAAATATTATCACTGTTTATTTGCGTGTGTATGTTTTTTCTTGTGCAATAAAATTAATGATGTTGTTTTTAGAAAAAGAAAGTAACAATCAGTGTAGATGAGGTGAGCGTTGTATTCACATTGTTTTATGTTATATCTCTCCCTCTCTCATGTTATACAATTTATGAAAAAATTGCACACATATACATTAATATATTAATATATGCATAATGACTTCTGACTACGCATTTGCACGAACTCTCTAATACAGAATAACAAATACTTCTTTAAAGTTTTTTGCTTCTTTGGAATGTACTAAATTAGATTCGTATGGCGATGAAATTTTTAAGTTGAACTTTATAAATACTAGTACATTCTTGAAGTCAATAAGGTCATGAATCAATATTTTGTGTAACTTTCATTTCTTAAAGCAATGAAGGTAAATAACATCACAAATTATTTTAAATCATTTTTGAAACTCATTTCTTATGGTTCAAATTATGAATTCTTTCATGTGAAAAGAGTATCCTTATAGCTTACTGGGCATTGGTGGTTCCACTCAGGTGTTTCTTTGTGCAATGAGGGGCACTATAGATATGCCTCCACAAGTTAAACTTGATTCACAGTGGAGTACCAAAGATCTGTCTCCACCAGTAAAATGTGATTTACTGAGTAGCACCAGAAATCTGCCTCAAAAAGTATACATGATTCATGGAAGGGCACCAGAGATCTGTCTCCACCAGTAAAACATGAGTCATTTAGGGGCATCCAAAGATCTGTCTCCACCAGTAAAATGTGATTTACTGAGTAGCACCAGAAATCTGCCTCAAAAAGTATACATGATTCATGGAGGGGCACCAGAGATCTTTCTCCACCAGTAAAACATTATTTTTGTAGGAGCATCAGAGATCTTTGTCCACCAGTAAAACATTAGTCATGTAGGGGCATCCAAATATCTGCCTCAACCAGTAAAATGTGAGTCACGGAGGGGCATCAGAGATCTGCCTCCATCAATAAAACATGATTAATGGAGGGGCACCAGAAATCTGTCGCCATCAGTAAATTCAAGAAAGTCTTGATGTGAACTGTTTAACGTCTGTATAATTTAAAACCTGACAGAAAAACAACAAATCATTAGTTACTGTATAATATTATAAAACAAAAACAAAGCCACCAAACAACCAAAAAAGCAACAAAAACAGCAAAAATAATCTGAAAATATTTACATTGTAATTACAGAAAGCTTTAATTTAAGATTATACTGATTGTATTCATGCTTGAAGTTTTCAAAGGTATGATCATACTTATCTGCATGAGTGTCAAATTTTTTAACTGCCATGCTCTCAGTTCTTACTCTATCATTTTCACTCTCACTTTAAAACATCTTAATTTAGTGCCTTATGAAAGCTAATACAGAGTTATTGTGTAATGTCAGATTTATCACTTTTAACTGTTGTAGAACTTTTTTTATTAGATTTGCACCATATCAGATTTGATGTTCTTTTTTTATGATATTCTTCTTTGTGAAATGTTGACAGAATGGTATGGTTTTTTGGGGTGGGAAAGGGGGGGGGGGGGAGAGTTTAAGATATTGAAAATTTTTTAAACGGTTTTCATATTTGATTGTACATTATTATTTACTTACTATCATTAATATTTACTTCTAATAATAAGAGACAAAAACATGATGATTTTACTTATCAAAAGTTTTTACATAATGACCTAGTTGCGTTTCAAACAGTTTAAATGTGTTAAGAATGCCTAATTTGTTTCTCATCCTATGAGATTTATGTGTAAAAACTTTACAAAATTATTTTACTCTGACAGTTGATGTCTTAATAGTTTCCTGCATGAATGTGAAATAACTTAATTGTTAGAAACTGATAGATGCTGTATCTTTATCTAAATTTTTCTTTTTTTTCCCCTTTAATATATTTTTATATTGCTTTATTTGAAAATAATGGTAGATATAATTTGGAATTTGCCTTGCCATGTTTTGATAAAGACTTATTTTACCCAATGCTATCACTAATACCATGAGAACCCTGCCTGCCACCGCTGTAAGAGCCACACGTGAGCCTGATCTTCTTTCTAGTCAAATCAGACTCGTGAATTATAGAATTTTCATATCAAAACCTCACATTAACGATGTATTATTTCCAAAATGTTCCATTGACAATTTTTCACTGGATGCAACTGCTTTTACCATGCAACCAGTGTTGACTAAGATGTGCCGTCTGATCTTGGTCCGCACTGTTCAATTTTCAGTCAGTATATATTTTGAAATTTTTCCCCCAAAAAATGAATGGATTTGTATTAATTGAAAGATGGACAAGTCCATTTTAGATATTTAACATTTAGCATGATATTTAGGGAGAAGTAACAACTATTTTTATTACAATATTTGATATTTGCACTGTGAAGATTTTATTTGGCATGTCATTTTGCTACATTTTTCTCTTCTTTTGCATTTTTCTAAGCATGAATTTTCATTTCACAGTCAGTTATTTTAATATAAATTCAAATTTTTATTTCTGAGTCCATTACTTACTTAACTGACAATGTTTATTTCTGCACTTTATTTATGTAAATGGTTAATATTTCCATTTTTTAGTCTTAATTTATGTAACTGGTTTATATTTCCATTTTTGAGTCTTTTATGAAATAATCATATATATGACATTTTTAATTTTTGTATTCATTTCCAGTTTCCTTTCATTAATAAAGAAGATTTCATATGTTTATCATAATTCTGATGCTAATATTCCACATGTCAGGGCCATTTTATATCAAATGATCTAGAGAAATATTTTCTTTAACTTAATTAAATAATTTAAATTGAGTGTATATTAATTCATTGACCGTTTAATTATTTAAATTTCAATACAGATTTCATTTATATAAATGTATTTCTTGTCAACTTTATTTCAAGCCTAACAACCATGTGTCAAGGATATTATGTTAATTTCAATTTTGTAATTCATATGTGATATATAAACATATAATAAAAGCTATTTGCGTATGTAACTTGTCAATCAGATATGATCAAAGATGAATATGTGACCAAATAATAGTGAAAGAAATCTTGAGATAGACTCAGACTAAATATCTCTTTGAGTATTGGGTAATTGAAAAGTTTTGTTGCATCTTAGGGCCACCATAAAAGATGTGAAGATGGGTGCATCTCAGATTTCACTTAAAATGTATATTAAAGTTGTTATCATGACTATTATGTGACATGTTGTCTTGTCAAAAAAAAAAAAATCGCATTTATTGATAATATCTATATCAAATTTGAATAACATGGTGAGAAAAAAATTAATTCCAGTTCTAGAGACAAAATCAAAGTTGACTTCCAAAAAAAAATATAAGAAACAAAAAAGGGGGGAAAGTAACAGCTTTTTGTAAGCCATATAAGCTTATTACATGGCCATCATCTTAATTATATGATACATGTACATTTGATATTATTATTGCTCTCCAACGGGTGTAGTTAAGCAAACTGTGTAAAAATAATCAAAACTTTAACATCAAATTGAAGAAAAATTATATTGAAGTTGATAATTGATAGCAATTTATAATAATTAATAGTAATTTATGTTTCCTTTTTGTTCTGTTTACAGATGGAAGGAAAGCCTATACGATCACGTTTCCAGAGCAACACACGTGCATCTGTCCGCGTGTCCCAGTATCTGGAGAGCTGGGGTATCGACAAACCTTTTTCAAATCTTCAAGTTAGCAACATGGCCACAAAGCTTCTAAGTGTGACGGTAAGTAAAAAATATTTTTAAAATAATTTTTAAGCACCATTTTTGGGTACCCTTGAAAGTGAGTAGATTTAGAATATAGACTTTAGTGCATGTTTTTGTTTTTCTTTGAACTTTTATTTATCTTTTTATACACTTTATGTTGTGATTTTCCTCTGTGGAATATGCAATACATAATTATATTTTTTGGGGCAATTTCTGTATTAATGTTGAAAGAAGTAGTATTAAAACATGTGGGAAAGGACTGTCTTTGTAGTTAGTAGTTATGTACATGTAGTTGAATTAGCTATGAATAGTTTTATATTGAATTTAATCAACTTTTAATCATAGTAACATTGTGTATTACTTTCATATTATGACAATACTTTAAATTTCCTGAAAAACAAAACTAAAATCATTCACTGTTTAATGTTATAAGTGCATGACTATTTGTTTCTGTCAGTCAAGCTAAGTATCTATGTTATAGTCACCACAATAACAAACAGTTCAGTGTTTGTTTGTGTGTATATGTGTCTGTCTGACTGTCTGTTGATACATCAGTCTCTATTTTGACATGTTTTGACCATAACTCTTTCATTTATCTAGGGACAAATCTTAAATAAATTGAACTTGCAAGATGATACCAAAGACCCTGTTTCATAGTTTCAAGGGAAGTTGGGTCATTTGTCTTACAGTATAAATATTTATTAAATTTCCTTAAATAAATTTACAGCTCATAGGTTAAAACTAGGCATGTTCATAAATTTCCATGACAAAGAAGCTTAAATATTTTGAAATTTTTGTTTTCATTTGCATGGCATGATAACTTGCAATTGTTTTTCCCTATTATTTGTTCTTTTCTGTTCACTTTATGTTCATCATTTTTTTCAGCTTATAAATGTAAGTTTATATTGAAAATTTTGCAAACTCACAGCTAACCGGAAATTGTATAGTATTATATTAACTTTAGAATTCAAATGTTTTAAATGTCATTGCAAAAAATCCTTTAACTTTAACATAAATCAGCAGTCCCTTTTTGTTACTTTCAGTTTTAAAAGTGCTGAGTTGTTGCACATGTTTATCCATATTTGTTATTTATAAATTATAAGTTTAAGACAATAAATGTATTAAAATATAAATGAAATTTGTCATGGTATTTGAAATACTTCATTTATATGTCCATGTGATCACTGGTGTTGATAACCCTGCAAAACAAAATGGTGATAACCTTTTTAAATGGCATGATTTTATTTCCAGATGTTTCCCATTCTATAATCAGTGACTGACATGACACTGGAAAAAACACCAGTGTATTACCAGAAATCTATGTAAATCCCTATTGTTTCCAGCTTATTTTCAGTGTTTTAATTCAAAGTCAGTGTTTATCAGTTTGTTGGAAGTGTGTTTCCATCATAATGTCAAAATTCTTCTTATAAGGGGATTCTCTGAGAAAAGATTCAGAAACTGTTGCCTTTCCAAATTTAATTTGATTATGTAAGTTTTAAAATTTGCTTTAAAAAATCCTCTCACGTCCAGAATTTTCCATGATAATTTCTTAAATTTGATAGCCCATATTCAGTAAACTGATTGCTAATGTACATGTACATGATACTAAAAAAGGCAATGTTTACCAAAATATGATGCTTTCAATGACCAACTTAGAGATATTAGTTGCAAAGACATTTAAAAACACAGTCAAAGTTATTATATAAAGGCAACCTTTAAATAGAGAATGCCTGTCTATGAAGATGATAACTTTATAAATTTTACTTCCAGCGAAATAAAAGGAAGTGGAAAATTCACCCTGAATAATAACACAATATGTAAAATCATTTGTGTTGCCTTTATAGAGAACTTTGACTGCTCAATACTTGTAACAAACAAACAAAAACAAAAAAGAAAAAAAAAGATGAAATAATGAATTATGTTTTGTTGTTGTTTTTGATTTTATTACTAATTTGAAGTTTAAAACCTGGTTAAAATTAACAAAATTATAGACAGCAGAAAAATTATGATGTTTGCTTAATGAAATAACAAAGTCACTTGCAGGGATACAGTCAAATCTGAATACTAAAGACCTTTACTATATCACCTGTATTGCATGACCATTAATACTTCATTTAAAGAAAAATTCATGTTTGATAACAGTACTTATTACTGTATTTAGTCGACACTTTTTGAGAGAAAAAAATCTTTCAAAAGTGGTCTTTGATGACAGAGTAATATGCAACATTCAAAAGTGGTCTTTAATGACAGGTTTGACTATAGAATAAGCTATATTTATACATTGTATGTTATACATGTAGCATATGCTTCAGTACAGAACACTGGTAAGGTGAACATTTAAGAACTATGTGTATTTTATTTAGTTATTTTTTAAGTAAATATTATTATATTAACTGTAACATGCATTATCAATTTTAAGATTTTTTTGTTGAGTTAGTCAAAATATGTATGCAGCTTTCACTTGTGAAAAGTTGATAAATCCTTTTAGTTTTATTTGTCAATTTTGCAAAGTTCTGTGATAACTACTTTCTGTGAAATTACGACACTCTGTTACAAGACTATTCAAATAACAAAAATCTGTGACAAAACAATAATTATAGAATGTTAAATCAAAGAAAAATTTAATCTCTAGCCCTGTTAGTTCAAACCCTGTCAAGGGCAAGCCATTGCTTGTTTGAGCAATAAATTTTACACTCATTGCTCAGTACTGGTTGGTTCCAGGAATGGAGGAACGGATTCCGAGATTTCTAATCTTTAAAGAAGATTGACCAGTTGATAAAATTATATTGCCTTTTTCTTTACTTTTTTTTTGTACTAACTAGTATGTCAGAATATCTTACAAATCATTATCTGAACTTGTCACTATTTTGCCAGTATATCATGTGATGTATTTTTGAGTCAGAGAATATTATATGAAAGTAATTTCGGAAATGAAATATAATGATGATATGTTGTATGTATTTTATTTCAGAGTTTAGCATTTTTAGACTCGTCACTGGCAGTGAATCCTGCTGGTTCAGGAAAAGAAAATCAAAGGTATTTCTCCCATACAAAAATAATTTTATTAACATACTTAAATGAAGATCAAAATTAATTTTAACTACACTATACAATACAATAGATAATGTGTCATTGAAAGATTGAAAAATAATTAAATGTTCACATCCATTTTAAAGTTGACAAGATGAATGTTAAGATGTCACATTAGTCTGCTCTAGTAATCATTTGTTTGATTTATAATCATAGAACAGAAGTTTATGTGAACATTGGCAGGTCCTCCTCATAAAAATAATACCTAATCTATGTCATTAATATTGTGATGTGAAAAATGTTTTAAAGAAAAACTGATATATCAAAGCTTTAAAACTAAAAGAAGCTTACCACATGAACTTTTTATACCATGAACCTTTGGTTGAGGTTTCAGGTTGATTGGTTCGAGTTAAATTCTCTACGCTCCCTGCATTTGCCACCAGTGTAGAGCCATGCCAGCCAGCTATTCCCTTGTTAGTAGCCTGATCAGGTCTATTACTGGTGGCTGACTATCTTTGATAGCCCTCATAAAATTGTAATGAACAGGTCTAAAACTGGTCAATGGTAAGAAAATCAGCAATTCAAAGGTACAGCTTTGTGAAGGCACAGGTGTGAGCACTTCCATCTTAAAATACACATAATGTAATGAATAGCATATTAAAATATTCCGTTGAATCTATATTTTATTAATGTTTTGTCAAAGATGATTCATATGAGTCATTCATAAAATTTATACTAAGATAGTATTGAAATATAAACATGTAATATTACTTATTTATCACACAGCCCTGCCGATTTTGCGACTCAGTAAAAATGGTATTGCACAGCAGTGCATATATTTTGAAGTGAGGTCATTAGCGTTATATAGAGGATATTGAATGAGTGTATGTTTAATACTCAATTTATTGAACGACTTGAATAAAATCAGAGGCTCGCATAATATTGTTTTATTCAAACAGTTCAATAAATTAGTAATACACCTGCAGGAATATAATATTCTATTTATCACATATAGAAAATAAGAACGGTAAACTGTTAACAAGAGTCATTTTTTCTTTGACGCGCCTATAGTGTAACGCTAACATTAGCGCGCTTTAACGCTATGTTTATAGCGCAAATGATGTCACGTTGAAGTGTTATTACACTAGTGTAATATCGTCTAGTGTAATATCGTTTCATTAAATGGCTTTATTACACTCCTGCGCCGCGGATTATGTGATAATCAAACATAGTGTAAAGACGCGCTAAATGTTAGCGTTATACTAAAGGCACGTCAGTAAAAAATGACTCTTTTTTTTTTTTCACTTTAAACGGTCTTTATTTTGGGTGTGTGATAAATAGAATAAGACTTATATATTAGGAGGAAAGCATTTTCTTACCAATTATCAAATTTATGCTTACAAAAGCATGAACAAATATTTTGTATTATATTTTTGCAGCAGTGCAGCTACATTGACGAAACATTTTAACAATGAAGTTAACAAAACATTAGCCAGAAAATCTCAAGATCTTGGCTTTAGCAGGTAAATAAATCATTTTATATATTCCTCCTAAATTTTAGAAAAATATCAGCAGTTTGTCACCTGAAGAAAATAGTGTTGAATTTTAAATAATTTGTCATTATATAATGTAAGTAAGTGGTGTTTTAACTTCCATACAAAATAAATCAGTATAACTGTACCAACTGCAAAAACTCAGAAGGAAAACGTGGCTCATTTAACAATTGTAGACAATGAGCAATATTTTGGAAACTGTAACATCCAGAAAAAAAGGCCTTTGAGAAATTAAAATAATAGCATGTTTGAGGCTTAATGGGCCTTTAAGATTTTATATTTATCTGCAGCTTACTGTTTCCTTTCCTTTTCTACACATTCCAAAGTTGTCAAATTTGATTTGTTTACCAGTAAGTTTTCTGAATCAGTCTCTTTATAAAGAAAAGCAATTCGATTTCTGTTTAATGTTATGTAAATGTGGTAAATTTACGACTCATTTTAGTTGAAAAAAATTGATTTCAGTTGTTTTACTGTTTGTCTCTCAGTGAATATAGGTGATAAACAAAAGCATATTGAAAGTTTATTATGATGTATTGTATTTTATATGATGGCAGAGTTCTTTAGATTTATAACCAGTATCCCTTGTTTGATTTTGTGATGTGAGATATCTATGTGACACAGTAGTAAATCTTTGATGTTTCCCTTCAAAACTAGATTGATAACAGAAATAAAATAGACACTTAAAACTAGATTGATAACAGAAATAAAATAGACACTTAAAAATTTTTGTTTTTTGATGATTTAGAAAAGATTTTATGTTTTCGAATACCAGTATGATGTTTATTTGTAATTTTTAGCTTGTTTGTTTTGAAAGAAAAAGTCGAGCTATTTTGATTGATGCAACATTGTTGTTTTGATTGTCTTGCTTTTATGTAGCCCATTATTCAAATATTTGAGCCACGTCATGACAAAACCAACATAATGGGTTTGCGACCAGCATGGATCCAGACCAGCCTGCGCATCCGCGCAGTCTGATCAGGATCCATGCTGTTCGCTATCAGTTTCTCGTCTTGTTATATGGCTCTTAAGCGAACAGCATGGATCCTGATCAGACTGCGCGGATGCACAGGCTGGTCTGGATCCATGCTGGTCACAAACCCATTATGTTGGTTTTGTCACGACGCGGCTCATTTTAAAAAGTTATCAGCATGAAACTTGGGATACTCGTATATCAAGACGAGTACTTGTATATCAAGATGAGGTGCAGTTGTTAGACAAGGGGCAAAATTCTCAAAGCAATATTTTTTGAGTTATGCCCCTTTTACTTTAGAATTTTCAACAGATGAGCTTTAATACAGCATGCTGTGCTCTTGTTGTTCCAAAACTTATGCAAAAGACTTACCCTACTATGTATTTTGAACAGGCTTTGACTTAAGAAGGCCCCTAATTGGCAAATTTCAGTTGTTGTTTTTTTACACAAGCAAAAAATGGGAAATTAAAACTAGCTCAGATAATTTTCTTAAACGTTGCATGATTTAAAGAGAATCATGATTGGCACAAATTGATGAAAAAATATTTGGGGGTTACCATCCTTAACTCATGGGCCTATTCTTTAAGTGATTTCTGTACGAAAAATTGCAGAAATGTGAGCTATATTAGTATACAGCCTGGTTGTGTAAATGGTTGTGTATTGTTTTGTTGTTTGACTCTAGTCACTGATATATGAATTTAGAGAGGGGATGATTTTGTTTTGGTTATATCACCAATGCTGCTTAGTGGTTAGAATTGCTTATTTCCACACCACCTTGCAGGTTAAAGGCCGGGGAATGTGAACTCAGATATCCGTACGGATGGCCATTAAGCATATAAGGTACAAGAGGCGGGGTTTTATTATCATGACCTGAGGTCAGCATGCTTGTAAATATAAACATGTGGTCTGCAATAGTATAGGAGAGTTCAGCATTCAGGAGAGATAAAGAAGTTGTGTATTTATTGGGGGGTAATGATTTTGCAATTTGATGAAAAGGTAATAGCAGTGCTGTCAGGATGTATATTGCAATTACATATTTTTACAATGAAGAGTATAATTTATGAAATCGGTGATAGTCAGTATATACAAACAGTAAATACTAATTGTTTAGAAATGCCTTGTATATAGAAAAAATGTAACTTACATTTATCTGTTGTCCACTTGATTCTTTTATTTTTTGGGAAACAAAACTTATTTTTTTATGAATTCTGGTGAACTAAATTATGGTTATGAAAAGTAAAATTAAAAATATTAAATGTCATTTCAAGTTAATAAATTCATGATTGTAGGGATGGAATATAACACAATCAATAAATAAAAATTCAAGTTCATTGCTTGCATAGTATTTCTCTGGTAGTATTTATTGCCCTAGTATTTATTTCCCCGCCATCTGTCAAACTCTACTGTGAGAATGTTTATACCTAGAGAGATGTAGTTGGCTGAGAGAAAGGTCATAACCTCTGTACAACTGTCAATCAAATACACAGGGAAATTTGAATTTTTAACTGTTTTCAAAAAAAGATTTTTTTAAAGTAGTTTTTCTAAGTATCACAGAGATCTGTAACTTTCAAGGAATGTTGCTTACATGATAAAGAAGTGATGTGCCAATTTATAGCAAATAATATGAGGTATGTCTCTCTAAATTTTGAAATTTCATTTTTCTATCTCTCTCTGATTATGCTAGCAGACAGCATACAGAGTTCAATAGCAAGCAATGGCCATTTTTCTGCTTGTCTGCCTTTTATACTTGTTCCCAGGCCTTTAACTTTAAATCCTCTCATTACTATATGATAATCATGTGAAAAGTGCATGTATCTTTTTGTTTTACAGTTTTTGGTCAGTTACTGGTGGACAGGGAGAATTTCAGTCAACTATGTTACTGTTTAATGATATAGACATAGAACAGGACTATATACAGCGTGTTGATCCTGCCTTCAAATTTTGTTCATTATGTGCAGCAGTATTATTTTCCTGTGTAGGAATCGTCCAACTTCTTATTATGCCAAGGTAAACTTATTGTGTTTTATGCTTTTTTCACTATACCTCCTATACTTGATGAGGTTTTTAAGATAAAAGTCGCAAATTGTTAATTTGTAGTTCTGAGTGTACAATGTTCAAACTCAATTTTGTGGCCAAGTGGTTTCCACTGACTTCAAAAAGCTTGCCCCTCACCAATAAGGGAGCCAATCCTGCCAGAGTCTTAAGATTCTTTCTTGTGAGGAAGATATCCATTTCATAAGCTTACGGAACGTTGGTGGTTCTACTCAGGTGCCTGTTTGTTCCTGCATTATGCAAAGAGGGGCACCTGAAGACTTTCTCTACCAGAAAAGCTGGAAAGTAGCCATATGACCTTTACAGTGTTGGTAAACCACCCCCCCCTTTCCCCCCCCCCCCCCCCCAAAAAAAAAAAAACAAAAAAAAAAACTTTTTATGGAAGATTATTCTTACGTTAATTTAAAACAGTGGAACACATCTGTAAAATTGAATTATTGTTTCAAACTGGTGTTATAATTATATAACTTTTCACTTACTTGTTAGTCTTAGTATAATAATTATGGTATGTTGGATTTTATAAGATAAAAGAGAACTTCTGACTGATAAATTCATTTGATTGTGACATAAGTAAAAGTTCAACCATCTCAATCATAAAGAACTATAGGTAGAGCATTTCAGGTCTACATATTACTGATATGAAAGTTAAAATTTTGCTCTGGGCACTTGTTTTTACTGGGATAACAATATATCTTCTGCCGTTTGTCATCCATTTCCATTTCACTTGATTGATGTGGGGAAGTTGGCAGTAACTTGTGGGGAAACATGTTATTACTGGTATAGAATGTAACAACCGACAATTATAATTAGCATATGAATGTGGGAAAAAAATGTAAAATGATGAATTATTCTACATAGTGAATTAAACTAAATACTGGTTTAATATAGAATTCAAGAACTCATGTCGGAATTAGTGCCCATGTGCATATGACTGATATATACTGTAAATATGTACTTATTTTCAAGAATTTTCACTAATTATTTTAATTTCTTATGTTTTACAGAGCACCTTCTGTGATAGTTATATTTGTGTTGGGAGAACTTTTCTTCATCACCGTCGGCTTTATGTGTTTTGCTGACAAGATCATGGTAAGTTTAAACTTTTTCATTAAGAAATTTTAAATTTGAAAAAAAAATATTCATGAGAACATTTTCAAAATGTTCTTTTTTTATTATTTTTATATGCGTTTGATGAAAATAAATACACTGTAGGCGTGTCAATGAAAAATGATTCTTTTGCACTTTAAGCAGTCTTAATTTTGGATATGTGATAAATATTATATTCATATAGGTTCATTTGTTGAATAAAATAACATTCTGCTCGTCAGAAGCTTGCATAATATAATTTTATTCAACTCGTTCAATAAATTCAGTAATGAACCTACACTCATTCAATATCCTCTATTTATTATACAAAAATGTTCGATATACATTTACATTTCTTCTATCGGTAATTAACCGAGTTAAGGAAAATAATAATATTTTGAAACTAATAATAATGACATAGATAACCTAACAAGATGTCAAAATAACCCATTCTGTACGTGAGCATTTCTCGTATTTCTTTTCTTTCACGGAAATTAATTAGTGAACTTGAGATGCCTCATTACTAGTTGTTCATACAAGCTAATGACTAGAGATATGATTGATTGTTTTAGTCAATGATTGATGACGCAATTTGACAATTTAGAAACATACTCAAGTCATTGTAACCCAATCTTCTTTCAAGTTTTTAAAACCTTTCCTGGTTTGCTGAGGACATGAACTTGCTGTAGAAAATAACAATAATTAAGTACCGACAATGAGTATTTTAGAGAATTATTGCCACTAGTATATACATGCAGTCAGGCGATTCTACACAATTGTACTGGCTAAGTACATGTACCAGTTTGTTCATTGTTGACAGCTCAGTGTTAAAGGCACATTATACCTCTGAAATAAATAATTTTCAATTCTTTAGAAAGGTCTGATATATGTTTTATAATATTTTGATAATGATTTTAGAGTGTATTTGATATTAAACAATGGCAGAAAGTAGTGTTGAATGTGCAGTAATGTGTTGTAAAAGTAGGAAATAGTAAACAAAGTACAAAATGTAGTATTTAGACTTCCATACAAAATAATTACTCTCAGTACTTCCGTACAAAATACTCTTTAATTACCAAAGAGCAAAAGAAGCCAGAGTTAGTGAATGTATATGGTCAATGAGTATTTTTTATGGAAACTATAAAATGATACTAAAAATAAAAAAAGGTTTTGAAAAATTAAATTGATAGCATCTTTCATGGGCTTGATGGGCCTTTAATATTTCAATATTGAAATCCCCTGAAAGTACATGTAGTTATGGCTTGTTACAAATTCAATGCAGGACAAATTCATTGTTTTAGTTATAAACAGAGAAACATTAAAGGTTTGAATCCGAGATACATGGTAGCCATTATAATGATGGCATAGAGCCATCATTATAATGAAAAAAAGGTTAATTGAGGTCATGTAATTGTTAATTGATATTTCAAATATTAAAAGGTCATTTATAATTTTCTATTTTGAGGTCATATGTGACAGTTTTAAAGGATTTACTTATTGTTTAAGTTTTTGTGAAAGGTCAGGACATTTTTCCCATTAGAAAATATCACAATTCAATTATTAACCATTCAGATATAATTTTGTGGTCTGACATAATTTACCAAATGACTTATATTATGTATAATGATTTAGTCATGAATGTAGAAAAAAACAAACTTATATGTTATATTTTATTTTGGAAAGGCTTCCTCAATTTTGTTGGAAAGAAACATTTTGTCTATTTTTGATTATATAATTTTACATAAAATTTATTTGGTAAACTCTGCTAACAATGATATTCAGAGGACGGTCGAAGCTATATTGTTATATCCTGATATTGTTATATTAGAGAAAGATGTTTTGCAGTGAAAATATAAAAATTATTATAAAATTATTCAAAGACAAAAAATTTGAAAGCATGTCAGGACGGCAGAAAGAGCATCCTTATAAGCTGTATTATAAGTGCTTTTAGCGATGTAGTTTATATATAATAATGGTTTTTATCGTTAATTATGATTGTGCCTGAATTAATGAATTATTATTATCATTATGTTATTCCTAAGCTGAAATTTACATAAGTAATGATTAACTTTGTATCTTAGAGGTACCTCCTTTGAGATATTCATGTATATTATGTATATTACATGATAATGTTTTGATTATATGATAATAATTGGAATAATTTACTAAATATTTCAACATTTGTTTCTTTTTCTTCTATATTCAGAAAGTATCAAAGTGTACACAGCCGTTAACGAAGGTATCCGAATATATTCTCGACAAACACTGGTTACGTACCATCCTAGCATTCAGTTGTGTATTGTTTACAGCTATCATGTCAACTGTTGGCCTGGTAAGTTACTGATTGATGTATTTCAATTTTGATATATATTAAATATGTCAGAAAGCAAACTTCTAATCCTAAATATGCTAGATTTGTAAAATGTACTTTTCCATTACCCGATATGGGACTGTCCATTACTTATTACGAACAGTCCATTATGGATTGGGTACTGTTATTTACTTATAAAGGACAGTCCATTACCGATTGGGTACTGTCAATTACTTATTAGGGACTGTTCATTACTGATTTGGTACAGTCAGTTACTTATAAGGGAATGTTCATTACTTATAAAGGACTGTACATTACTGATGAGGGACAGTTCATTACTGATCAGGGACAGTTCGTTACTTATTAGGGACTGCCCATTTTTGATGAGAGACAGTTCATTATTGATTTGGGATTGTACATTGATGATGGGAGGATTTTGGTATCAAAAGCTTTATGACACATCCAATAGAAGAGCCTTGTCAAACTCCACAGAAGTGAACATATTCAGGCTTTGTAACAATGCATGGATTTGCAGGGGGACTAGCCTTGCTTAATATAGAAATAATTACCGATGTCACAATAGGCTGAAAAATAAGTCTGAAGTAAATGCTATCAAAGGCATAAATGTATTGATATAGTAGTTGTTTAAGTCACCATACATCTGAACTTATATTAATAATTACAATATGAAGAAAAATCACTACTATTCGTAGCCACATTTATTGCTACAACTCTGATGGATATTTGTTGATAATATCTTGACCGTCTGTTTGATAGGAATATCATATTTACATAATCTCAGTTGAAAAATGTCACAGCAAATTTTTTCATTTTGTTTTTTATATCATATCAGGCTGGTTGTAAGGAGAGTACTGTTGACAACACGACCACTAACAACAGTTATAACAGCACTAGTCAGCAGTCGGATGATCTCATTGATGTATGCAGTTATCCCATGGTAATCATTTACTTTCTATAACTATATTAAAGTGTTTTTTACTAGGTTTTCAATGAAAACCGGTTATTGTAACTAAAGCTGAAGTCGGTGTGCAGGCATCAACTTTTGGTTTCTGCTCAATTACTTGAGTTTGCTTTGGCCTATTGACACCAAACATTTGGTGTATAGGTAGCTTATATCAAGAGGCAGCTTGGGATTGCTACCCAGATGACTATGATTAAGGTCACATCAATATTTGGGTGTTGAATCCTGGTTTTGTCCCATTGCAGCTCTTATTTTTTATTCCTGTTTTGGATATAAACTCAAGTTTTAGACAGTCTTTTTAAAAGAAAGCTGAAGTACAGAACTTGTGCCACATATTACTTGTTTTCCTTTAGGAACTTTAAACTTTTCTGCCAGTTAAAAAGGGCAAGAGCTTGATTAATTATTGTCCACATACATGCAGGTAATAATAAAATGGCATATAAATTTTAGCATACCATTAAGGTCGTGTGGAAACTTAACAGCTCTAAAATGAAGGAAAACTGTCAAAAATTCTACATGCAGTCTTTTAATCACAAAAAAAATGAACCACATAAAATTGTCAACCTTTAAAGGCTGTTGGATAACTTCTGAACACAAAATAAAGTTCAGTAGTATCCATGTTTGAATATGAAGGGGGCAAGTAATCATTTGTCTGCAACCTTATGCTTTTTGGTAAGGGATGTTGCACATTGGCAGCAGCCATTCTCTTAATTGGTTGTAATGTCATGGTCCTTAGTAAAATAGCTTTAATACTCATCTGCTTAAGGGTTAACCCATTTCTGCACTTAGTTAATGATATAAATACATGGATTTATGTTTTACAGTTAAATATATAATATGCACAAATCTTAATTTTTCAAAAATTTTATTTCAGTATACAGTCGTATGCAGCCTGTGTGTACTAATCTGTAATGTGATATTTTTGAATGTGGCATTCTTCATCAAGTTATTAATTAGTGTGACAATCTTTATTGTGTATAATATTATCTTCCATGCTGGTAAAGACACCATACTACCGGAATCATACTCTACTGCCAGGTAAATATTCCATGTTTATACAGCAGTTAAAACAAAATGTCCTTCTGGAAATCGCAAAGTAAATTTTGAAAATTAAGGCATTTCAATATGTCATATACAGTATATTATACTGCAAAATCATTATTATTCGTGGGGCATTAATTTTCGTGATTTTTTGTGGATACGTCGATCCATGAATTAAAGATCCCACAAAGTTATATTTTTCGAGTGCTGTAAGATTATTTTGCATCACATTAATTACATTTTACCTTTTGGAAAAATAAACAGTCCACAAATTTAATTACCCACGAAAATATTCTTTTCGTTAAAACCATGAAATATTATGTCCACAAAATTAAGTGAATTTGCAGTAAGCTATATTTGTGAGAGCTTCAAGAAAGTTGCTTAGACTTTCCTTCAGGCTATTCAGAACAAGTGTGACATCTGCATATTTTAATTTTTCTAAAAAAAAAAAAAAAACCACCTGACTGCCAATGTCCATTAATCAGCAATATTTGCGTCCACTTCAGGCTTCATATTTGTCTGGATGCACTTAATAAGATTGCATTGTAAGTTGTGGCTTATGGTCATTGTTTTGTGTGGTATATTTGAGAAAATGAAATGTTCTTGTGAAATTTCTGACTATTAATTGATTTACATGCACTTACTGATCAGAGCTGACTAACCTTATGGCAAATGTCTGCATTAAAAAGGCAAAATTAATAAATCAAGTCACATTCTCAGCACAAAACTGATGTTTCTTCTCCAATTTTTGCTGATTTTTTAACTGTCCACTGTTTATTCAAGATATTTTGAGATTTAAGAATGTTAAAAGCAACTATAGGTTTTAAAGAACCTGGTAAGGTTTTACAGACGTATAAGTGTGCCTGGCTCTTTACTGGTGACATAGATCAATTGTTTTTATCTGTAGCTATTTTACGTATTTTTATACATGTATATTTCAGGTATTTTGCTTCAATGAGTGTAGGTGATCAGGCATCAATGTATCTGACCATCTTACTGGTCACCATTATTATACTAGATAGACAGGTCAGTTCTAATTATTATCTAAGTTCTTAAAAGTAGTTCACATAAATATTTTGCCAGTATTGAAGCCAGATACATGTATTTCCATTTATAAAATGGACTGATTTGAATCATATTTGGGTCACAACCAAGTGTCCTCCGCATAATATGACACCTTTACATGTATTTGATATTATTGGAAAAAGATTCAAAAGTGATTTATATTAGTTGAATGAACTTAGGCTTTCAGATATTCTATGTTCATCCTTGAGTAAAATATTTTAATCACAGAAATTTATTGAAATTTTTACTGAATAATTATGTCTAATTTGAATAAAAGAATGTGTAAACTATGTATGGGAAACCGTGTTCCCTATTACATGACAAGTAAAGCTAGTCTTTTCTTTAAAAAAAAACTGCCCATACAATATATTCATATTATGATCACCTAAAGTGTGTAGAAATTTAAACATAACATATCTTCTTTGTTTGAAGTCAAAACATGTTTATCTTAGATTAACAATGAGACTGTGTAGCAATCATCAATGTTTTCAAATATCAAGTTTGGGCATAGTATAATTATAATAAACAAATCATGTTATTGAATGTGTCATACAAGGTTTTGATATCATTAACGTGACATGACTCATTCTTCTGCAGGTTGAATGCACCAATCGTCTCGACTTTATTTGGCGACGTCAGTGCCAGATGGAGGAAGAGGAAGTTAAAACTACTGGGGCGCTCAATAAAATGTTACTAGAGAATATTCTACCTGTACATGTGGCGGAATACTTTCTCGGAAATACTAGAAAAGTAAATATTTACATCACTAAACATGGTTACCATCATTATCTAGTTGAATTCCTATCCAAATATTAATACAAGTAAATATTTATTTAATTTACGTTGGAACTTCTGTTTAATTATTCTAATGTAATTTAAACAGAGATACTAGTAAAAAGTAAATATTTACAAGAAGTAAATATATTTGTCCATTAGATATTTTGTGATTTGTACAAAGTTATAAGCTTATTATCAAGTAAACTATATTAGAGCTCGGATGGCTCATGTACAGTCAACTCTCATAATCTTGAAGTCTAAGGGACCATTGAAAAAAAAGTAAAGGTATTATTAACAAAATATCGGGATAACCATATTTGAAATATTTCATTGTAGTGATTAAGACCTCCTAGAAACTTTAGAAAAAACCTTTCTGTATTTCCCCCCTCAAAATATCCGTCACTTAGTCTTTTAAGCACTTTAGTATTATTAATAATTATGATTTAACATAAATACATGTACATGTAATAGGGATTATCTAGAATCTTGTATTTGATTATCCTGCTTAAACAAATCATCTAGCTTGCAGGTAGGTGCGTTTTAAATCTTATATGGAAAAGTATAGAATTTATTTAACCATACAAGATTCAAACCATTATCAGGGAATTTCTGGAAAGAGGAATGTGGTTTAGAGAGAAAAAAGCATTATAATTCATTCAGACCCTGTCTTAATTACCAAAACAATAAGTAAGGAAACTATATTTTGATCTAGTTTAGAATTAACAGTTGTAATCTCTGCCTATTTTATGCTGTTCATTAAAAACATTCAATCCATTAATGTACATGCGAAAGAACTGTTTGTGGTGAGAGGCCAGTCTTCAAATCCAGGTGTTGCTATATGATTTGTCAAAATTTCAGAGGAAAATAAAATGTTCAAATTAATCAAGCAATACTCATCAGAGTATTATTTTCAGCTTTAAAGTATTTGAGCCGCGCCATGACAAAGCCAACATATTGGGTTTGCGACCAGCATGGATCCAGACAAGACTGCGCAGATGCGCAGGCTAGTCTGGATCCATGCTGGTTGCAAACCCATTATGTTGGTTTTTGTCATGACATGGCTCATTTTTATAAATATCATCTTTTATTACAGTGACTCACTTACGGTACCAGGAAATGATATTTTTAATATTTTCCTGGTACCTTAATTAACAGGAATATTAATACAGATAGAGCTACCAATGTGTCAACTTTCCTACTATTGTGTAAACTTTCCTATGTGACATTGCAGTATTAAAGTATTTATGCACTAGTATTTAATTACAGAAATGTCAGCAAAATATTTTTGTTTGAAAGTTTCCTTATTTATTTTGAAACTATAGATTCTCATACTGGATTATTCTTAATTTTCACCCAATATTTGATAAAGTTTTTACATGAAAATATTTTTTTCATTAATAAACCCATAAGTAGTTAAATAATTTTGATTTGCAGTTGTGCAACCAAAAATATCTTCTCGTTCCCCCATCCCCCCCCCCCCCCCCCCCCAATCTGGAAAGCAGTTTTGTAAGTGGATAACCTGCTTATAGCAAACATGGACTTTTCTAAGACCATCAATTTATGTACATGTATACAGTTATCTAAGTTTAGCAGTTTTGTTCTGGAGGGGGAGGGGGGAGGGGGTGGTCTTTGTATAATATTCTGTGTCACTAAGGGGGGGGGAGGGAGTTCGGGCAGATTAAGACTAAATTCCTTAAATAAAATTTATTTCTGTATTTCTCTTTACATACAGGAATGCCTTTTAGTAACATGTTGATTTAAAATTGTTTAAAAGTCCAGACTTTGATTGTGTATATCTGCATAAAACTTTCCATTATTAGATCTAGGACCAGACACTGGGGGGTATTTATTCAAGAAATGAAATATTTTACTGTTGATAGGAAACAAAAAGAAAAATATATTTCCAGTCATAAATGTTTATCTCTAGAGAGGTTTATATTGCAAATAGTTTCGATGAAATATTCTGAAGATAATCTAACAACAAACTTCTGACAGAATTCTAATTGATATTTGGGTATTTATTACCTACTTAGAGATAACAATAGCCCTACCAGTCAAGCATTGATTTTAAGGCTACTTTGCAATTTTGTGGAAGGGATCAATCATTATTAACTTTCATTTCTAGAATTAAATTCCATTTGTATACAGGATGGGTATCCTCCTGAGAAGGTATTCTCCCGAGAATCATGTTTTTTACAAAAGAAAAAATGTTTCTGTCTAAATTAAGCTTTTGAAAATTTGTTGTAAATAATGATTTAAATAACTGGTTAATAACTTTATCTTAAATAATGAGAAACTTGAAATCTATCATAGTATGATATAGATATTACAATATAATTACATTTGCATTTGGTTTAATTATTTCATTTGCTTTGTTTCCTTTTGTCAGTTGATATGAAAAATGTAGTTAAAATCTGTCCAAGTGACTTAAAAAAATATCAGCTTTAGAGGCTAAAGCCTAAAAATAGTGTGAAAACTTGATGTTTCAGATGGTAGTCTAAGGGAAATAATTTCATGAAAAAATGTGTTTTTTCAGCAGTTGCCTCCCTTGTATTCTAAAATATTTAACATTGTACATAGATGTTTGCCATGAAATTTGAGGCTCTCAGCTGCCCCTTTTCCCCTTCGTCCTATTTCATTTTGAAGCAGGAACCTTGGTATAAACAATTATTCTTTCTTAATCCGAACTTGATCGAACTTGAAAACATATAAAATACCATACGATGAATGCATTATGTTTATAATTATTTCAGGAATTGTATAGTGAGTCATACGAGTATGTGGCAGTGATGTTTGCATCTATACCAAACTTTAAAGAGTTCTATCAACAAAACAGTGCTAACAAACATGGGCTCGAGTGTATCCGAGTACTTAATGAGATTATAGCCGACTTTGATCAGGTATGAAATTTGTTTTAAATGTAATTGTCATAAATTACAACATTAATATCAATGTTATATTATTTCGTTGTTTGTAATGCATTCAATACTTTAAGAATAAGAATGCAATGCAATATCTTATGTCTAGGAAAGCACTAGATTTTTATTCGACTTTTTTATCACAAGTCACATCATCATAAGTCACATTGACATTGTCAAGGTCATTTGACTACTTTGTGGCATTGTAGAAAACAATATAGTTTTCTTTTTTCCATTATATTAAGCACAGATTGATGCCATTTGGTTCCAAAACACATGCAAACTTTGAGTCCATAAAATTATTAAATAAAACCCATGTCAAATTTCAGTCAATATTTTATTTTCTTTGGTTAGCCAATACAAATGGAGCTATTTTCTATTAACAAAAGCCTATGAATATGAATTAAAGATATACATATTGTTATTACAGTTACTATCCCGGGCTCGTTTCCGTGGTGTTGAGAAGATCAAGACCATAGGAAGTACATACATGGCTGCTACTGGTCTGCAGCCAGGCAGGGAGAAGTCTGAGGTAAATTATTTATATATTTTATCTTTTATATATCTACATCTATATAGATCACATTATATTGACAGTAATTAGTTTATGTGAATTCACTCCAAAAAATAAGTATAAACGAAAAGTTTCTTTGTTTTAGGGTTGTTATAGAATTTAAAGTTACACAAACTGTATGAATGATAAGTGTAGTTGAAGAATTCACAAAAACTATCTTACCTTAGCAATGTCATTTACCAGGTACAATCATCATTATTTTATGGTATTAAATTTTTTATTATTATTTTTTCCAAAACATAATTGACTTTTGCTTAAATGATGGCCTACTTTAAAGGTTTCTGTCTGTACTTAGATATTGTATCTCTTAAAAAATATTGGACACTTCAGTTTTAATGCCCCCGAAGGGCTGCATTTTAAAATCACACCGTCTGTCTGTCTACCCATCAGCACTTACACAACAGGATTTTTTTTGAAAAATTGTTACTGACAAGAATTTGAAACACGTTCTTGTTGTTCATATATAACCAGTACTGGTTTGTTGCAGGAAGCAGACTCAAGGGTGTTTTCATTACCCTTTTAAGCTTTCATCAGAATTTGAGTCAATATAAATATGTTTAAACAAGTAAAAAAAAGCACACCAAAAAGATTGGTCCATTTATTTGCATGAAAGATTATTATCTGGGAATATGATAGTTAAGATAGTGTACTTCTGTTACAGGACCCAGAGCAAGGAGAGAAGAATGTTGTTACCATGACAAATTTTGCATTTGCTATGATCAAATTCCTAGATGATATCAACTTTAACTCTTATAACCAGTTCCATCTTAGGATTGGTAATTGTTATTTCTTTGACTCTTTTTTTTGTACTGTTTTAGAGGTCTTATTAAAATTTTTAGTCTTCCCTTTTGTTACACTGGCAGTGTCCCACGACTAAATTTCTAGGGAGAAGTTGTTAATGAATTATTATTCTATTCTAGAATGCACAGCAGTTGAATGATTAAATTTACTGCAAAATCATTATTATTTGTGGGGCACTGATTTTCGTTGTTTTTGTGGATATGTTAGTCCACGAATCTAAGATCAAATGAAATTTCATTTTGTCTGCTGTAAGATTATTTTGCATCACAATGTTTACATTTTACCTTTTGGAAAAAATTATCAGTCCACGAATTCAAGAACCCTCGAAAATGATCCTTGTGACAAACCACGAAACTTCATGCCCACGAAACAGTATATGGCATTTAATGTGGTAAACACCATATTCTTGAACTTGTTACTTTAGCAAAAATTACATATTTATACTAAAGTTACAATTATGCTCTTATAATTATTATAGCCCTTTTTGTTACATAATAACAATACATAAGTATACTTTTTTTGAAGAGCTTAATGTTCATCGGAATTGGTCAGAAATAAAAGATAAGAAGATTAAGTCAAGATTTTTTACATTGAAAATGTTTTTATCTGCATCATTCAGGGATCAATCATGGGCCTGTCATGGCAGGTGTAATAGGTGCCAGAAAACCACAATATGATATCTGGGGAGACACTGTTAATGTTTCAAGTAGGATGGAAACTTCAGGGAAAGAGGGAAAAGTCCAGGTAAGGTTTTTGTATGATTGGAAAATGCGATAAATGGATGATATTGTGTTTGTTGTTTTAAGCTTGACTTTTTAGAAGAAATAAAAAAGGGTTATTGCTACAGTCATGTTGTAGTTGACATTACTGTTTCTGTTGCCGTTGCCATCCAAAATTTGATTTTTTTAGGAGTATTCTTTGTTACAATATTTTTCTTCTGATGTGTTTGACTTAAGAAATTAGTTAAAATATGCTGGAGGTGGCCCCATGTTTTATTCATTATTAGAGGCAACAGTGTGCTGGGATGAGCTTTCTGTTTTCTCCTTGTTTGATAAATCACTTTAGAAGGAATTAGCAAGTCAATGTCCACTTGGTAGAAACATTTCTCTCTAATATCTGCTTTTTATATCATTAACAAAAATTTAAAAAGGTTTTGATTTATATTTATCTTTGTATTTTAAAGGTAAGAGAGGAAACAGCTGAAATTTTAAAACGTCAGAATTTCAAATGGGAATATAGAGGAGTGATAAAAGTGAAGGGGAAAGAGCCAATGACTACATACTTTATAACAGGCATACAAGATGATAGTGATCCCCTGATTACTTCCCCTGTTACAATAAATGACCCAGCAATTATCTCCCCTGATCAAATAAACATTGAAAACGAGACAGACAAAGGTAAAAAGGTGGATATTCCTGCTGGTCAGGAAGAAACACCCTTGGAAAGGAAAACTGGCTCCATGATTTCACAAAGTGGGGCCTTCTTTGTTGAGAAAGGTATTTATGAGCAAAAAAATCAAGTATGTTTTAAATCAAATCATGGTTCCTTAGATAGTTTGCCTATAAGTAAACAGAGTATTGATGAGGAAGAAGAAGATGGCTATGTAGAAGATGATGAAGATGGTGACTCAAATGATGTTGTGTTTGAAGTAAGCAAAACAGAGGAAAGTGTAATTAAAGATGGAAAAGATGGTGGTATAGAAATTCAGGAAAGTTTGGAAAGAAAGCAGAATGATAGTAATGATAATGAACATAACATTGTGAAGAATGATTCACTGGATAGCAGAAATACTAAAGATGGAAGTGCAAATGATGTAAATGAGAAAGAACAAACCACTGAAAATTTGGACAAAGAATCTCAAGGTTCTGTTATAGCAAACTTAAATTATGGTATAGATAAACAGAAATTGAATAAGAATGAATCTGAAAATAATTCAGAAAAATGTAAAGCAGATGATGAAAATAGACTAAATTCATCTGAAACACAGGTAATTGATGAGAATAGGGCAGATATTGAGATTACTGAGGTAGTAATAGATACTGTTGTCGAAGTGAATCATGAACTTAAAGACACTGAACAGTCTCCTGGTGATGTAGATAAAACCATTGATATAAATGAAGATGATATTAAACCAGATTCAAAACTAAACATAAGTCATGAAGAAAATACAACTAAAATTTATGTTAATGGTGGTAATGAAGAAAAAACTGTTACTTCTAGAAAAGTTAATGATGCGGGTGATAAAACAGATACTAATGTGGAAAATGATAGTGATGTTAGACAAGTCACTAAGTGTATAATAAGTGTTAATCATAGTAATGAAATTGACATAGATAAGTTAGAAAAACCTGTACCAATTGTTAATGGTTGTGTATTGGGTCATCATTGAAGGTATCATGACAATTTTTTAGACAAAGTTCAGAAAAGTGATAAAAAGCATCCCATGACATGATAAGCTGTATTGTCACCTTAGTGCAATAACTGGTTAACTCCCAATTAAATGTAGAAGGACTTAACCCATTACTGCACCAAGGTAATGGTATGATAAAATAAAAGATGTTTTAAACTCTACACCTGATGTATGTTCTAGATTTACAATTTCTGTCATTTATTTTATGTTGGGAAGTTAAAACAGTTCTTCTTAATAATTAATAAATCTATCTGTATTTAAATGTTTGATTTAATTTTGATTTTAAAAATGAAAAAGGCCCACTTTTTATTGACTGGTTTGTCAGAAATTTTGGTTTGTTTTTTTAAACATGATTTTAGTTTTGATTATTTTCTAAATCTGTCTAAAGCTCACAGATTAACTAATTGACTCCTTATTAACAACTTTTCATATTGTTTGAAATTTTAGAAATTTGAATTTAAATGTTTTTATCATTGTTGAATAGAGACAGGCGATAAGGATTCAGTTAAAATTATGTTTTTAATACTAGATGATGTTTAGATATGTATGATTGTGAAATGTTGCCAAAAAATTTGTTATACCGTTGATATTTTCTTATGATGTGTTAAATTTATGAATACTCTGGCTTCTATTTATAATAATGTTATAGTAAGTAGTTAACCTTTTAAACATGTTTGTGTAAATCTAGTCTGTTATTATATCTCTTTTGTATATTTTTTTTATAATAAAAGTAGAATTTTTAAATTGCATTTTACATTTATACATGTATATATATTGGTATATTTAAATGGAGACTGTAATGTATAATTGATAAATTTTGTATTGATTCAGTTATATAGGACCAGTCACAGATTCTTAGTGTTGATTTTTTAAATCACTGATAGCCTCTTAATAAACGAACACTCATTTATCTTGCTTCTTCTTAATGCAATTATTTTGATTAAAGCATTCAATAAATACCTTGTCTGTTTCATAGAAAAAAGTTGAGCTTCTTTGATTGCTGCGGCGTTGTTATTGTGCAAAAACTTTTATGTTACCCTTTATTCTCACAATTTAAAAGTAATCAGCATGAAACTTAGAATACTTGCTTATGATGACAAGGTGCATTCGTTAGACAAGGGGCATGGACAAGGAGTTTTGTCCCTTTTTGACTTTTGAATTTTTCTCAGAATTGGTCATTGATAGTTGTTGTCCTGAACAGACAAGTGTTCATACTTCATGTGGTGATCTTGTTTTAAACTTTTACATTTGACATTTTAAAGCATGACAGTAACCATGACAAAAATTTTTATTGTTTTTTTCTCGGTTTTATTTTTTAGAGAGAACAAGACACAAATAAAGTATAACTTGGTTAAATTTGGCTTCAAGCACTCTTTTATTTTATACTTTCTGAAAAAGAATATCTCTGACAATCTTTTTAGTACATGTAGTTGGTTAAATGTTTTTCCATCTTTCTTTGACTTGTTCCATCTCATATTGAGCTCTCATTTATTGACAATATCTACAATATTTGGTTAAATATAATTGGTATAAAGGTACAGGTTCTGGTACCTTGCATCAATCTCTATACTCACAAAATTAATGGTGTTTAAGGTTGATCGGGTCAAAGCAACTAAAGATGTATCACAATATTGGTTCTCATTAATTAAGCTGAAAATTTATTTTTGAACATGTTTTGACAAAGTTAAGCTGCATCAAATAGGCATTTGTGATTATTCAACCTTGTCACTGATGTTCTGCTTTAAAAATGTATATACCAACATTTTAGTGACTTCCTAATTCCTAAGATATCTTAGAATTGCTTTCCATAAGATTTTCTATGGGTAGTTACAGACTTTGTAATACAGTCTTTAGGGAAGTGAATGAGAATCAAACAAATGCAGAAATGATGTTACTGCACTTCTATTGCAATTTTAATTGATGGCATTTTTTATAATTTTTTATGTCTCATTTACATTTTTATAGACACATCATCACCTTAGTGCAGTAACGGGTTAACTCCTTATATAATTTAATAGGAGTTAACCCATTACTGCACTAAGGTGCCAACATGTTATATGTCATTTTGTTTTCCGAGCCATTAATGATGTAATCTGTTTGTTTATGGTGTTCACAAGAAATTTATGATATATCACTCATGGATATTTGTTATTAAAAATTTGTACATAATCGTAAGACATTTTAAATAAGTGTAAACACATCATTCTAGTCAAGGTAGTTATGTCAAACATGGGGGTTGCGTTGGGTTGGGTAACCGTCAGTTTACTTTTTTCAAAGATGTATGCATATTTTTGTACTTCCCTTGTGCAATCTTTATTTGTTTAGCCAGTCCATCAAATCATTTTGTTTTTCACTTTTATACTATCACTTGAAAATGTACTCTTAAAGTCAAGTGAAAATCGTTACCCTACAGTAAAGCGAAAATCATATTTTTGTGCTATTCTTAGCCCAATTTGTTCGCTTTTCAATTTTGGGTCTTCTTGTCACAATTAGTATAATTATTCTGGAAAAAAGTGTGAGGAAATGATCTGAAATTTTGTAATTTGTATAGAAATACATCAAATGGAACATTAACCTCAAAAATTTATTTCCAGTCCAATCATAAACATATCAAAAAAAGCAAACTTGGGAAAATGCACTTAGACTTTTAAGAAAAGTAAAAACATTAGGAATTAAAGTTATCTGCGATTAGTGACTGATTTTGGAGTATTTATCAACATATTTCTACTGCATGACTAGGGCTTTTTTTGCAAATTTCAACTAAGTGTTAAATATTATTACTATTTTGTTCACTTCACAATATTTTACTTTTTAAAAATATTTTCATGAAAATTAGCATGAATCTGGAGGCATGCTGCTTTAAAAAGTTTGGAATATTTGATAATCTGACAGTTTTTATATATCTTTGTTAAGTACATGTAGTTTTTGTTAAAAAGCCTTTCATATACTTTTCTACTGTAAATATTTGTATTTATGTAAACTAGATTGTCAAGTAAATTTGAAACGCCCTGTTCAAAATCCTAGTCAGTAAAGTGTTTACCTCAATAAACTACAATGAATTATGTGTTAAATAAATGATAATTTGATAAAAAGTAATTAGACTGTTCAAAAAAATGTATAAAACACATGGTCAAAAATGATTGTGGAACAGCTTATTTACATGTACATATGCAACAAAATATTATTGTAGCACTAATATATAAAAGATTTTTATCAGTTTTGATAAATATGATAGAATTATAAGAAATTTTTATCTTAAGTATACAAAATATTGGGAATGACCCTCCCCCCTCCCTCCCCCCCAAAATGACAGCCAGGGGAGGTAATAATTGCTATGTGAAAAACATCTGTCACCTGTTTAATTAAAGTTGTGTTATTGATTTAATTAAACTTTACAGGACACAGCAACTTTTTAATTTACTAGTGTACTCTTTAGATGTATGTATGTAAGTAACATGTATTCATGTAAATATGTATGAAATATTCTCACATTTGCCATATAATAGCAGCATTTTTTTTCTCTTGTATATGAATTTGTTTTCTACAATTTAAAACCTGTGTATATTGTATTTGTTAAAGTTAGAGACCAAAATTGTTTCGTAATGCAACATTAAAGACTATAATAAATGTTCATCTTGTCTTGTTATAATTCTTATAATAGGCTTATTACAGAATAAAGAATATTTTGGGTTTTACCAGCCAAGCTGGTGGTACAAACAAACTTTTACAGTTACAACTTAGGAAAATAAGCACAACAGGTTGAGTAATCTTTTGTGAACAGTAGTGCACAGTGAAGCTATAACGGTAAAAGTTTTATTGTTGCAGAAGTTTAACTGGAAACCTAAATTTGCAGAGTCCAGAATAGCAACTATTGTCTGCCCTTACAATTCTAATCAAACTTCATAGAAATATTCACCACTATGAGAAGCATTGTCACATGCATAAAATAGGTCTCTAGGTTAAAGGTTAAGGTCACACTTAGATGTCATTGAAAAATGCTTGTTTGGAGCCACACTTTTACATTCACCAGGGAATAAGTGTAACTTGGCACAAATGTTCACCATTGTGAGGCTTATTGCGCACATAATTCAGGTCCCTACTACCAAAGTCAAGGTCACAAAGAGAGGTCAAAATTTGTGTACGTGGACCATTTAGTCATAATTCATTGATGGATTGTAACACAAATGATAACTATCATGACTACAATTGTGACACATGTAATTAAGGTTAATATTTGCAAGGTCAAGGTCACTAGAGATGTAAAAAAATATCCAGATATTGCCTAGAGCATATCTCCTATATGCATATCTATAATGCCGACATCTCTGTCACAGGCGTAGTTTGTGACAATGTTGCCCTTGTTATATCTAAGATCAGCATGTCTAAAAATAAATGTATTGATGTTAATAGTTAAAACAAGAATGTCCTTAAAGTCCAGTGGTTATTGACCCTATAAATACACTCAGAATGATTTGGGAAATGGTCCTGTCAACCAATTATAAAGTCATATGTTCAGTAAATGATTTGGGACATTTTCACTTCAACAGACAATTTTGCCATGTGCTAATATAAAGTATTTATCCTGTCACTTGTATCAATTTCGGCCCGATAACAAGGTGCCGTATATTTTTACTGATCTACGGCACTTGATCACGTGGTATGTATGTTTGCCGGACTATTTTTCAAGAAAAAATATAAAAAACTGTCGTTAAATCTTCTGTGTGTAGAATAACGAATTTTGGAAACGTTGATAAAACTTTGTTTGTTTATTTTATTTCACTCTATAATTTTTCAAGCGAAATAAAAATTATTAAAAGTGAAATAAATGTAAAACTTAACTAGTTTGCGATATTAAAATAGCGTACTTGATTTGATTGTTTTGCACGTGCTGTTTGGCGCTACATTGTGACGTCACGTAAACAATACTTTAAAGGTCTGTACAGCATTAACGACTGAATAAAAGATATTGGTGTTCGAATTCATTTTCTTAGTTAGACCATTTTCTTTCATTCTAGATAGTTTTCACAACAAAATTCGACAAAAAAATTGTTTTTATTTATCACATTTTTCAAACAAAATGGCGCCCTCAATGTGTAAATACACAGGGAGATAATAAGAACGGCGAGTGCATTGTTGTAGAATAATTAGGGCCTTCTTTGTTTATATAGAAACATTTGAATAGTGTGATTAAAGGTAGTTTGCCTAATAAAATTCTTTAAAAAAAACGGTGACAGGATAAATAGAATAATAGATTGGTGCCGTGGATGGAGAAAGTTTATCTGGCTCTGCTCCGGAATTTATTTGGTTCGCCTTCGGCTCACCCAATAAATTCCTCCGCCTCGCCAGATAAACTTTCTCCATCCACTGCACCAACCTATTATTCTCTATATATCAAGCCAATGAAAAATTATTCAGAAAAATTCTTACTCATTTGATTATTGGACCAGGTGCTCTTATACATGTATGCATTAATGAACCTGATATATGCAATTGTCACATCAACTGATTATTGCAACATGGGCTGTTTTATAAAACCAAAAAAGAATTATTTAGAAAATTATCTTATGGGCAATTAGAACGAGGGAAGATTGATTCAGGAAATCGTCACATCAACTGATGATTGTGCCACGTGCTAATGAGTTATAGGAATTATTTAGAAAATTGTCAACTCAAATGATTATTGAATCATTGTGCTTTAATGCCAGTCAGTAAGGAAATTGTCACATCAGCTGATTATTGAGCTATATGCCCTGAGCCTGTGAAGAATGATTTAGGAAATTGTCAGATCAGCTGATTATTGCTCCACATGTTACATGTGAAGAGTAAATGGGGACTGATTTATGTTGACTAAGAGTGTTTAACTTCAGCCTTTAGGTTTCAAACAAGGAGGAAATAATTAAAACTATATTATTTTGCACTTGCCTTTTATTTTGACAATTACATGAGTAAAAATCTTTAATTTCAAGAAATAGTCTTCAAAATACACGAATCATTTTCTTTATTATCACAATATACAGAATACATGTACCGTTATGTATATATCTACCAAATGTGAATCTATTGCCAAAATGTGAATCTATTGGGTATCAACTGTCAAGTTTATAAATTTGAATTTGACTGGCAATATTAGCATTCTGAGAAACTAGCCTTCATGATTGGACATATTTGTTGTAAAATGCATAAAAATTGTGGAATAAACTAAACAGTGTTAAAATGGAAAGGTCTTAATGCATAAAATGTTAACAGCAGCATATTTAGATTACAATTTACCAGAAGATGGTATTAAATTAATGATACATTAAACTGTCATTACTGAATTATTTCCATTCATACATGTAGAATAGCATGATTTGGGAATGACTACATACATGTAATGCTCAAAGTAATTGATTGAAATGAATGAAACTTTTCTATCATATCACATACCATTTCTGAGACACAGTGAGTGTATGTAAACCTATCAAAAATGCTACATATTCCCATAAGAATATATCATACATGTTTTCTATAAATGAAACTCGATGTAAGGAAAAGCTTACCAAAGTCAAGCAACATAATGGAAAACCTAATGTTCATGAAGTTAAAATCAAGTTTGTACCAGACTACCAGCATTTTAAGTACATAACAGTTTTCCATCATATAAATAACACTTGAATTATTTCTTTAATCCACAATATATGATTTGTTGGATGATCTAAGATCCTACGTAAAAAATTCATCAGACCAGCTGTTACAAAGTATCCTGATTCCTGAATGAATGAATGATTTTAATGCATAATCGACCATTCAAACCTTTGAAGTTACACATATTTACTAGTATTAGTAAATTCATTATGACACATTAATATATCCGCAAATCTTTAGTTGCACATGCCATAATAATGTTAATTGTATCACTTTTTTAATTAAAATCAGGCTGGCATAATGTAGCTTTACTATAAACACCTGTTAAATAACTATTTATCACAGCTCTTATCCACACATGACATTTCCCTGAACAATTAGTATCAATAACAAACTTATTATTACTTGACACAAATGTTGAAGTTTTGTCCGAGTCACTGTCTAAGCTCTGAAATAATATTTCATAATGTAAACTTTCAAATTTCATGTAAAATGTTGTCCACGGTATGTCCCACTTGACAGATAAGAACCGAGTCTTGTTTTCGTTTGAATCTTGTTTCCCTGAGTTATCAGCGTATGAAATATGACACGATACATTCTTCACTTTGGATGGATGCAATAAATTACCTGAATTATTAGCAGCTTTTTTCATTGCCAAACTTTCTGACAAAACCTCTTGTAATAAATCTGAAATATCACTCGAGTTGACCACTGTATCTTGATAGATGTGATATAACCAAGAGGGATCGTTACAGCACAGATGTGGAGGGACTTCAGTCTGATGAAGAATTGTCTCCCTTTTATCCTCTTCCAAATGAAACAGACCACCTGACTCAGCTGGCCAATCAGGATGTCCGATTGAATTTTCTTTAATCTGATTGGTCCATGCTTTATAAATCAAACCCATTCCATTAAGTTGTGAAAGAGTCTTATATGGAGTGTAATTTGAGGGATTTATGGCATATGGGAATAATTCAATTATAAAACAACCTGGATTTAAAAACATGCTTAAAATCAACAGCGATCCATGCATAGCTATCACACCTTTAGAGTGACTTGTGTAAGAAATGAGTTCTAATAAACTATATGACTCAAAGTTAAGGTTCATAACTTTGATACCAAATGTTCCTAAAATTTTCATAGTCAACTCCATCTCATTTATAATTTTTCTGTTTTCCTTCCTTGAAAACAGCACTATATATTCCTGAGAATTCAAAATGGATGGAATCGGCAAATGTTGTCTAAGATACGTTACTGTACTTTTTATATGACTACTTTGAACCCTACGATCCAATATTGGTCCTTGTGGACTTGCAAACCCATAGTCATACCAAGTGGTTGCCCTTGACAACCCGATAAAAATGGATCTAAAACATGTCATTTCGTTTCCTTGGAAATCCTGTTTTGACTTGATTTTAAATCTTGAAAAAACTTCATAAAATTGTTTTACTTCATCATCAACATCAAATTCATCGTCAAAAATGAAAAGCCGTACATCAAATGGATGGTTATTTTTCTCATACCTATTACCCATTGTTAAAAGTTTTAATGTGTGATGCAAAGGGATGATGTCATCATGAAACATGTGCATTAGATTGCCTGACAAAAATGGTTTAAACACTAATGTTGTTTCATTCACCCATTTAACTTTTATACTTGACAATGCAGAGCTTGGTAAACTGACAACTGTAGTCTCCATTCCATTATGATCTTTAACTGATGACAAATCAAGTGTTATAGAACCATGTTCTTCTATGACATTTTCAAATATGCTTGATTCATGTTTGAACATAACAAATTCATCAGCTTGGTTATTGTAACAAATATTTTCAAACTGGCATACTTGATTAAAACCATCATGACACCAAACAGAAGAATACACAGAAGAATGTTCCAAAATGTCTTGACCAGCTGTATCGATATCATCAGTCAATACAACTTCTTCAACAAAGTTACTTTTCACTTTTTCTTCATCCAGTTCACTTGACACTTCTTCTCCTCCCCCTGATTTGTTTTCATCCTCTGAAGATTCTTCAGTTCTCTCATTCCCTTCAATAATCTGATGCATACATCCTGGAGGGTCTTTAATGTTATCTAGATGATCCTTTAACTTATTGACCTGTAAAGAAAAAAAATACCAACAGGTTCATTTGTAAGAGGGGCTATCCAAAAATTTGTGGACTTTTTAAATATCTTTTGAACGTCAACGTGTATTTTAATGAAATTTTATCAGCATACATTGTAGAATCTTATGAACACGTTTTGAAACAAACAGTTAACTGTGTCAATAAATAATGATTTTATATTGCTTTTAAATAAGCATATACATGGCACCCGGCGCACGGTAGAAAGCGCAGTTAGTTATCATATATTTTTTGCTAAAAAACTACTAATTAACGTAGAAAACCCACTAAACATCACATATTTCTTCTATGATGTCATTTAAATTCTTTAAAATTATGGACGTCATTTCCGTTAATTTTTGTTGAAATCACCAGAAACGCCAGACAACGATATTGTTTACAATGGGAAAATGACAGACACGTAGAAATTAGAAAATAGCATGATCATAAATTGATAAAATTTTGTTGTAATTTGGGAATGACACTAACAAAAACATTTGAAAAAAAAACAGGAGGCAAACAGAGAAAATAAAATTTCATTATCATTAGTGTTTAAGTGGCATAAAAAATTTAGTGATGGACATTACTTTGTTTTACATGTGTTCATGTAAATTAAATATTGTTTTAATATAAGAAGCTACTACTATGAATTTTTCTGTGTTTATTTGTTATCTATTCTTCTAAGCAGTGTAAGAATTTCAAATCAATATCTCAAATATATTTTACACAACAAAGAAAGTCAATGAATTTTTGGATAACCCCTCGTATGTAATCATGTAGAATTTAATATATACAAAACTATTCAACTAGTGCACTGAAAGAGACAAGTCAACTAAAAACTGGAAATATTTTAGCAGTTGGCATGTTACATATGCAGTTGTAAGTTATCTAGTTAGCATTCAGAAAATAAAGACGCCATTGATAATTAAAAACTTTAACAAACAATGTCTGTTATTGCCCAAAATGAACTGGAGTTTTGCATAATACAATCGGGATAAAACTGTTCATCCTTTTTATGGAAAAAATCAGCTGATCTTAGTTTGCACAGATTATATGGATATATTAAGTAGGGCGAATGTTAATATAACTATCTTACCTCTGCATTTAATTCCATGATCTGTTTCACCAGGGTAGCGATCACTGCCATGGCAACCATATGACCTAACATGTGAAGTGATGGCATCTTGTTATAATCTTTCAGCTGTAAAACAGTTTAAGAAAATGATAATCTGCATTTTCAAACTTAATTTTTCACTGTAGATATGGCTAACTAATTAAGTGTCATTTGTGTGTCAAGGTTCAGAACTGTTCACTATTTAGGGGAGATAATGTGATAATTAAGTCGGAAGAGCCAGGGTACTGTATTCTGAGGGTCCCTGGGTCAAGCCCTTGTCAGGCTGCACATTTTTCTCACCCTGTGACATTTAGCGCCCAACAGGGGATCGTGATGGTATAACTATAAGCTCTGAGTCCAATTTCACATTGTTCTCTTTACCCATTAGAAATTTGAGGATGAATTTCAATATAGCGGGTGAGTATGTCATGGTTCAGAACTGTTCACTATTTAGGGGAGATAATGTGTAAGCTGCCAGATATCTCAGTCGGTAGAGCCACGATACAGTTAGTGCAACTAATAGTACTACGTGACAAGATATTGTGCTATTTTGTGTCTGGCCAATATGTTATCTCAACGTTGAAATATTAAAAAAGGAGCGAGATTCTGACCCAGCACGAAAATATCTAGCTTTGGCACGTCAATATACATTTTTTATTTGGACTACAGTAGTCAGTACGGTATTCCGAATTACAGACAGGGCGGACCATGAGACAGGGCGGACCGTGACTCGTGACTAGGCGGACCACATTTTTGGACAAGGCGAACCGTCACTCGAGACGAGGCTGACCGTGATATTTATTTAAAGTATTTATATGTGGACTAATGTAATAAACATCAATAATTTAATAATTTTATTACATTAACCCACATTTAAACCTTTTTTAAATCAAGGTCCGCCTCGTCTCGAGTGACTGTCCGCCGTGTCCCAAAATACGGTCCGCCTAGTCTCTAGTTACGGTCCGCCCTGGTACGGTCCGCCCTGTCTCACGGTCCGCCCTGTCCTGCAGGCGGTATTTTGAGGGTCCAAGGTTCAAGTCCGGGTCAGGTTGCACATATTTCTCACTCAGTGACTCTGTGACATAGTTATACTTTATTGAATGAGGTAAATGTTGCACCTTTTTGGTATCGACATGATGAATATTGAATATGCAACAAATGAAATCTTCAAAACAAAATTTATTAAGTCTGCTCTGTGCCTTTTATCTATCTATCTCTGGATACTGCCAAACCCTCTTTTCAACATATTTATGGCATACAGGCGTTATTATTACGAAATCAATATAAAGTATACATTCAAAATACATACAATTACCTCGAACACGTACCGATTTTTGACGTACACCTCCTTTTGGGAGAGCATAATTTAAAGTCACGTGACAAATATAGATTTAGGTCATCATACACTAATAAATTTCAAGACTACACACCACTAAATGATTTCCTTCTTCTAAACAGGATTGAAAAATCTAGCTAGACTCCAATAATTTAGAGGAGTCATGGTTGAATAAAGAACAATATAATAATGAAACTGTTCCAGCTGATCTTGGCTACAAAGGTTTTGCATTGAAAGACTCAAATCTAACGGTACTGAGTGCTTATTTTAAGTTATCTCTGCAAACTGTCACCCACAACTAGGGACGTAAATTGAATACATGTATATTAAATAAGTTTATATTAAAAGATAAATGTGTATTAACTTTTCCTGTCACAACATACCCTACAATCTTCATGATATGCAGTCTTCAATCATGATCCATATCATTCCAGAGAAAGGCCTCATGCGAGACCGAAATTTGCTTAAAAGTTAAATTGTCAAAACTTCATTTCTTTACACAGAAATATTCGGTTTTCTCTTTTACACTATTATATATCAATACTGTTTTCAACTCCTCATTGAAAGTGTACCGAGTATAATGGGATTGTAAGAACAAAGAAAAAGTTCCAAAACCAAGCAATAATAAAATTTGTAAAATTAAACGTCGCTCCTTTTAAGTTGTTTAAATTGTTTATTTTTCTCTTTATTTGTGTCTATGAGGGTTGGTCAATATGTATTTTAATATGAGGTATATTTTTAATAAAGCTAATTTGTTTAATAACTATAAATTGCTTCAAAAGCATCTGATTTCAAATGATACAAAATTCACGTATGTACTGTAAGCAACCGATTAAGAATTTTATTCACATTTAAAAATACCTTACACATGTAACTACTCTCGGCAAAATAAAAAAACTTTACATGGACTTAAAATGGGCATATTTCAATTTCTTATTGGTGTATCCAGATAACTCTGATTTTACATTTTATTCCTTTGAGATTTTGCTTCGATTTACTCACATTTTTGTCGATCGAACCAAAAGAAACAATTTATACACTAACAAATTCTGAACTAGGGGTCCAAATAAAAATCCAGGAATGAAAGGCGATAATAAACGAGACTTTTGAGATTCTGAATCTTTGAACTAAAACCAATATTGTTTATCAGAACAACCCAGTTACATGTGCGGCCTCCGGAACTGGCAATACACGCTGGAATTCTAATCCTCATGGAGTGAAGGTAACGTTTGATTAGGAGATTAGGCAGGGTTCGCCATTCCACCTGCAATGCCCATGCGAGGTCGTTAACGTTGTCTATCTGGTGATTTGTCATCGAAGCAAAATCTCAAAGAAATAAAATGTAATCAGAGTTATCCGGATACACCAATAAGAAATTAATATGCCCATTTTTAGACCATGTAAAGTTTTTTATTTTGCTGAGTGTATTTCAATAATTTGTCCTGCGTGATTTGTGTAATGGGTTTACCCCGCTTTGAATTTGGATCAGTCCATTCCTTCAAAGTTTTAAAAGGCATTTCAATCATGATTAAAAACGAGATATTGAGCAACAAAAAGTAAAGATCCTGATCAGATGGCATTGATGTTCCGACTGGCCTCCTGACTCTATATAAGTGGCTTACCACTTTCAGTTCAGAAGGATTAGGGCTTAAACATTTCTTGAATGTAACCCAGGTGAAATCATTGACTTGGTCTCTAAATGACCTGTAAACAATGAATAAGAAACTGTGTCTGACCTTTAGCGTGTTCAACTACTTGTATATGGTTAAACAATCTTATTTCAGGTTAAACCAATTTATATGCAGTATTATTGACCTGTAGCATAAACCAGAAGACCAGAAAAGAGTAAATGTTTTCCTCTTGTAAATTAAGAGATTGAACAGTTGTGCAAGAGTTCTCTCCCTTACAACAAGCATAAATCAATTTCATTTCAAAATAGAAAATCTTGCATTCTAAATAGTTACCCATTATCTAAAATATTGCCGAACTTATATCTAATCTATGATAGAAAGGATGAAGTATGTGAACCTTGTATGAAAGTTTAACCACCCCTTTTTGGGGGGTATTTGAAACTGAAATCCTTCAATCTTTAAATGAACTACTCCAAATTAAAAGCTGGGCGGATCCATTAAGAAATTCAGCCGGTTACTCTTTTCATACCTATGGTAACATTTTAACTAATTAGAACATTTATGGTAATTTTGTATCAAAATTCAAGAAATCTGGTGGCATTTTGCTTGAGGAAATTTACCAACTATTTCCTCCAAATCTTTATGTCTACATTTTTTATTAATGCAATGACGGACACTATTAAAACTTTTAGCAACGAAGTAATGTCCATTACATTTGGATAATTAAAAATCTGGTATTCATATTTCATACACTATCAAAACGACATCCTTGTAACTACGGGTAATTGTTGAAGAAATTTGGAAGTGTTTTTTAATTTCCTTTGCTAATTCTATTTGTGCCCAACTTTGATTGCCATGGCAGTCGCAAGGAAAAACTTTGGAAATCTTTTACATAAGGGTAGGAATGCATAGAGTTTAGATATTTGGCATGAGACCTTATTTTGTGGATCACTACCAAAATTAGTCGAAATTTTGTCCCTTCAATAATGCAATACGCGTAGCAATTTAATATATCAACGCAAAAGGCTATCATTGCAATATTTTGCTCATGCAAAGTTGACATGGTGATTGATGAAAATACTTCAAGAGATTCAATATCATACACAATACTGCACACGTGCGGTTTGTCAAGCAAAATGTACACATGACGTGCATGTATTTATATTTGAAACATAAGTTAGGTTTTGATCGACTTTTCAACTAAAAAGGGATTTCAGTTAAACAGATCTAGAAGTGCTCGAGGTATAAAAATTCCTTGTTGGCCACCAAGATTTGAATTTTTATGGTACAATTATATCAATACGTAACCCTTCTTATGCATACAAATTGGCATTTTATATTACAACACAATATTTAAGTTCCAATCGTCGACATTATTATTATTATTGTAAGGTTGGATGTTTTGTACACAATATTTTAAACAGAATCATGCACCATGGTTATTATGTCTTTCTTTATACAATGTATGAAATGATGGATATCGTTTTTAAGAGTTTGCACAGTTGTGTGAAAATATTCATTTCTGTTTTTACACCAATCGTTTAAATGTCAGGATTTTTCGTAGTCAAGTTCAAAAATGTGATTTCTATTGCCTGGCCATGATTTCTACATTTTATATAATTCCAAGACAGTTACATACTGTTACTAGCAAAACATTTTAAGATTTTTTTGTTTCAATTGTATCTATTTGCCGTATTGTTAAATTTTGCACCATAGGACTATTTCATGTCAAAATTTAAATTACTTAAAAAAACTTAAAAGAAACAAGCTACAAAAACATAACATTCATTAACATTTATTGCATACGTTTCGACTAGATGCCTTCATCAGTCAAAAAACTAATTTTTTAAATATTTGTGGTTGATTTTCTTGAGATGCCATTGTATGGTATAAAAACTCCGACCTATTTTAACCGAAAAGGGGCCCTAAGTACAATAAATTACACACTTTCTTTAAACACGAGACAAATGTCCAAACTCACTTAGGGAGATACACAATCGATGACTAATGTTCAAAATAACATATATATCCGTATAATCTACGAAGAAAATAACCTTCAAATTACATTCCATTAAGGATATTTTGATATTGACCGTCTTAAATGTTTTACGAGAAAGTATGGTGCAAAGAAATCTGCTGTAGATAATCCAAACATTATTGTTTTAAGTCTGTTGTCAATATTACAAAACTCTGGTATCACAGTGTATTATGTTTTGCATACGAGCTGTCAGAACTTTATTGGATTGGACAAGTAATTGTAAATATATAGGAATATAGATATAATTATTAAGTGAAATTTTACTATTTGAGATGACAGAACAAAACTTGTTTAATTGTATTTCATACAAAAATATGGATTTTATCTAATACGACTTGAATATCTGAAGGTTTGATGTCATGACGATTTTATTAAGGCGTATCAATATTGATATTAGTTTCTTATAATCGTATGAAGAACACATAATATTTTAATGGAATCTTATTATATTTTAAAAACTTAGAATAATCTAATTCATTATTTGAAAAGAACACATATACATGTAATTATGTACATCAGAAGCATGATATTTGATAATAATCATTCGTTTTTTAATATTTATATTTAATAACATTGTACGAGTAGATAAATTATATAGTCTTGGTCATACCAAACATAATTAAAAATAAAAATAAATAAATACATTGAAAACATTCCGTTTATGTTCACACAAAATCATTGATGATTTTTCCTTTTTTTTTTAAAGTAACACTATTTTGTCATAAAGGCCCATTATGCACCAGATATGTTTTTATTTTTATTTCCCCAAATCTTTTTTTATTTTCGGTGTCCTGTTACAGTTTCCATAAAGAAAACTTTTGATGTGTCTTTAAGCTTATATGTCTAAGATGTTGTATACACACTAAAACAGAATTGTCAAATTCATATTTCTGTTAATACTTGTAGTTGAAAAGAACATTGTTTTTCAAAGTTTCCGGATAAATACGAGTATCATGCATGTTTACGGGTTATGTAACATATTTTCTTTATTTTCTTCTAAAAAAAAAAGATTTTTATATGAATATAATACCTCTTATACAAAGCATATTTTGTTTCCATCAGGACGCCTAAGGCAGTCGTCACAACGACCAACCACACCATTGTGGAAGCAGACCCTGGTTACAGGAATTGTCATCTTTCCGCTCGATCTTGTTATATCAACACTTGCTGTAAGTATTTGAACATTACACAGCTTCTTTTCTCTCAGTCAGTCTTTTCGAACATTGCATTGCTTCTTTTCTCTCGATTAAGTTATAATAACACTTGCTGTAAGTTTTTCTAACATAACATTGTTAATTTTCTCTTGATCATGTTATAACAACACTTGCTGTAAGACTTTTGGACATTGCATTGTTTCTTTTCTCTAAATCATGTCATAACAAATCTTGGTGTAAGTCTTTTGAAGAATGCATTGCTTCTTTCCTCTCGATCATGTTATAACAACTATTGCTTTAAGTCTTTTGGATATTGCATTGCTTCTTTTCTCTCGCCAAGGCTTTAACAACTTTTGCTGTAAGTCTTTTGAATGTTGCACTGCTCCTTTCCTCTCGATCAGGTTATATCAACTTTTGCTGAAAGTCTTTTGAACATTGCATTGTTTCTTTCCTATCAAACATGTTATAACAACTCTTGCTGTAACCCTTTTGAACATTGCATTACTTCTTTCCTCTCGATCATGTTATAAAAGCACTTGCTTTAAGTCTTTTGAGCATTGCATTGTTTCTTTTCTCTCGCTCATGTTATAACAACTTTTCTGTAAGTCTTTTGAACATTGCATTGTTTCTTTCCTCTCGATCAGGTTATATCAACTTTTGTTAAAAGTCTTTTGGATATTGCATTGCTTCTTACCTCTCAAACATGTTAAAACCATTTTTGCTGTACGTCTTTTGATCATTGTCTTTTGGACATTGCATTGTTTCTTCTCTTTTCCTAGTTTTAACAACTCTTGCTGTAACCCTTTTGAACATTGCACTGCTTCTTTCCTCTCGATCAGGTTATATCAACTTTTGTTAAAAGTCTTTTGGACATTGCATTGCTTCTTACCTCTAAAACATGTTAAAACAATTTTTGCTGTACGTCTTTTGATCATTGCAATGTTTCTTATCTCTCGATCAGGTTAAAACAACACTTGCTTTAAGTCTTTTGAGCATTGCTCTCCATCAGGTTAAAACAACACTTGCTGTAAGTCTTTTGAACATTGCATTGCTTCTTTTTCTCTCGATCATGTTATAACAACTTTTGCTTTAAGTCTTTTGAGCATTGCTCTCCATCAGGTTAAAACAACACTTGCTGTAAGTCTTTTGAACATTGCATTGCTTCTTTTCTCTCGATCATGTTACAACAACACTTGCAATAAGTCTTTTGGACATTGTATTGTTTCTTTTCTCTCGCATATGTTATAACAACTTTTGCTGTAAGTCTTTTGAGCATTGCTCTCCATCAGGTTAAAACAACACTTGCTGTAAGTCTTTTGAACATTGCATTGCTTCTTTTCTCTCGATCATGTTATAACAACACTTGCTTTAAGTCTTTTGAGCATTGCTCTCCATCAGGTTAAAACAACACTTGCTTTAAGTCTTTTGAACATTGCATTGCTTCCTTTCTCTCAATAATGTTATAACAATACTTGCTGTCAGTCTTTTGAACATTGCATTGCTTCTTTTCTCTCGATCATGTTATAAAACTCTTGCAATGCTTCTTTGTACGCAAACTAGGTTTATATGGCAAACTTCAAGGAAATATTTTAGCACATTAGGTTGAAAGAATAACTTTAAATTTTTTCTTTCGCTCTAAATTTGAGACGAAAACTCGACTAAAAGAGCTAGTTTGATGCTGCTTTATTTGCAATTTTAGACCTTATTGGAAAATAAATTGTTTTGAATAATTGAAAATCAATTATAGTTACATCGTGATTAATCAATAATTATAATTCATATATTATAGTAATTATACTATTAATGAATATATCAAATTTGATAATTTGACATAAAATTAATATTCATCATAGAATATGTTAAGTGACTCCCATCTTAACTTAAATGGGAGAGCATAATATTTGTAAATTAGAAGTCACTTGTCCAATACTTGTGCGACGTGATTTTTTTCCATGATTCAGACAAGGAGTCTAATAGCTATTTTTCTCTCATCGCTGTGAGATTCAAAGTCGGTCACATCATCAAATGCGGAGGAATTTGTAGTGGGTTGCAGTATCCAGGAAAGCCGAAATTGTGTTGAAATCATGGTAAAATTCAGACAAGGAAAAAAGATAAGAGACAGCTGTCAAAATTTCTACAAACTATATCCCGGTTTCTTAGCTTGTTTGTAATGCTTTTATTGATAAATATTGGATACATCTTTAGCCTGTGGTAAAGGGGGTGGGGAGAGATATATCACTTTCCATAATCTCACTGACACTGGGAAGCTGAATGATACTTCAGCTGTTGCTTTCGGGCATAAGTGATGCTCTAGCAGACTTAATTTGTAATACTTCGTGTTTCTATGATTCCCTCATGAATTGAATCTCTACTTCTCAGATAAAAATATCTAATCGGATACTTCTGTTGAACGTAGAAGAAAAAGCTTTCAAAACTGCTTTTAGGAAAACCATTTTCTTCTATCTTTAATGTTGTATTTTTATACCTCTTCAAAAACAAGTTACATGGGTTAACTCATTACTAGCGAGAATAACGCATCGATATTTTTTGCGTATAAAGATCTGGAGAAAGGTTGATCCCTCGAAAGCTTTAATCACAACAAAATTACATGAAAATTGCACACAGTTTGATTGAGTCTGTACATAAGGGATAATGAAAAATGCAACATACTTCATGCCCTCTAGCACCGGTTTTAGCATTTATTTTCTATTTTCAACACTTAAAAGTGCTGGAATCAATTATCTCGAAGGACCAACACTGGAGTGAAGTACAAATAAGTAAGCGTAATAAAGAAATATAACCTTACCATTGGTTAATAGATATCCCCGAACCGGATGTAAATTTTAATGAATTGCAATGTAGTCAGCAATCTGTTCAATCAAAATTTTGATTTTCATTTATTTGTTAATACAATGTACATTTGTTGCATTTGCACTGGTCATTTTTTTGTAACTTTTGAAAATTTCTAGATCTGGTAAGACAGCATAATTATATCAATTAAATATACACTGTACGAGTACATGATACCTATAAATTTTATAGATAACGTAACAAAAGATATAATTTCTGATAAGTAATGTTTTGCAGTCTACAGATGGCACTGAATAATTAACTTGTCTATGCGATGAATTTTAGATAAATTCCCTGAAGCTATGTGATTCAAAAAGTTTGTAGCTTACATGATTAAGAAAACGAAAATACTCAATCAATATCGAATGTTAGAGGTGCAGATACATTGCCTTGACTCGAGAAATAATAATATGATTGTTCTTTTTCGCAAAATTTGATGCAAAATTCTGATTCTCATTTTTTTTACGTATAGCTGACATTTCAATAAAAGGTTAATTAATATGATGGTCTCATTGGCTTCGGTCTACATATTATTAATTAATTAAATGCAGTTTAGAAACACGATTTCAAAACTATACTTCATCATTTGGCAACTTTTAAGGCATGTTTGGTGAAAAGCTCCTAGACCGAACTTTCTGTAGTAAAAGGCATTCTTATCGTAGCAATGCATTTATGGCTTTGAAAAACATTAATGATTTAATTAAACAAAACTGAACATTAAACATCATTGTATATGTCATTTCATACTTTTTCTATTTTTTCAGACGTTAATATACCTGAACAGAGCATTTTGAAATAGTAATGTCATGTACAAGAAATGACAAGATACTCAATATTGCCCTGAGGCATACAATCAGTAAAGGTAGAAAATGTGTAATTTAATGTAACTGCAAAACTTTCCACGTTCAATATTGATACAAATTGAATATGTAAATATAAATAAAAGTACAGATATCGTAAAACATTTTATTCAATACGGTTGGCTAATTTCATCTTGTTTGTTTATAATATATTACTAAAGTTACCATGTAAGTTGTACATCATTTTGACCTTGAAGTCTTCTCACGTGATATTTATGCAATCTATTGATGAGGGATATCTGACTCACGGCTGGATGGTAGTCGGCTAGGTTTTAAGCTGTGTCTCTTTTGAAAAGTGATTGATCTTTAAAAGGGCATACTTTTGAAAAGTTTAAAGCTTATAATTAAAGTGTTTGAAATTTGAAAGGGTAAAACATATATAGGGTAAGTATATACGTATAGAAACATTCATTTGGCAGTATTTTTTTTAGCATTTTAATAGAATTAAAACATACTAGTTTCAATCATATGATGCAAACTTAGTTTCATTTAAATGTAATGGATATATTACTTAACCAAGTCTTTTATGGGCTTAATTTGAAATGGATATACCTATGGAATAACTTCGTTTGAAGGGAATATTTTCTATACAAATTGTATTACTCTTGGTAATGTGAAACTATGGTAACTTATGAAAATGAATCCACTAAGAATATCTCAGTTCATGAACTCAAACTCGGATAAGTTTTATTCTTCATACAAGGTATGATATAAACATTTTATTTTCTTTGATATAAAAATAATCAATTGATTCAAAGACATTGCAAATTCAATGTATGTGTATTATACGATATACATGTCTGTTATCGGATTTAAAGTTAAATCAACTATTTTTCCAAAACAATGAATAATGATTGATATATTAATTTTTTTTTCAAATATTTGTAATCTTGTTTAATATTTTGTTATGATATTTACGATTTCTTTCAGGAGATAAACTTACATAATGTTACATACTAGAATAATCTTAAACAAATTCAGTTTAGCCAAAAACAACATTAGAAATTAATTTTGTTTTTAAGCTTGTGGGCTTAAGTATACCGATCACATTTGATAAAGAAAATTTGATTTTGAGTAACCGTATTATTGAACTCATTATTTTGTTAAATTAGAAAATTTAGTGGATTAAGAAAGCTCGATACGCCAATCCACTTTGTTTTACTGGAATGCACAGAAATTGGCTTCATATTAAAACTATTTAAGAAATGAATTGTACTTGTATGTCTATTGTTTAGTGGGTAATATGCTGTACAGTTAACATGTAAACATACAGTTTTAGCAGATAATACAAGCAAATACAAAATATTCAGTTAAACCCTATTTTTTATACAACACACTGTTTTACATTTGTTTATGAAACAAGTACAAGCCAAACTAAGATGTGTAAAGAGATTGTATTGTTTAATTGTGGACGAGCTACTCCAAAAGTTTTATCAAAAATTTCTCTCTAAACGCCATTTCACCATTGATATTTTCATAGCTTACTTACTTAGACAACTCTTGTATATCTTTATCTTGTATACCTTTAACAATGATGATTTTTGGAGGTGTAAATGGTCATACTGCATGGTCGGCATCGATCGTTTCCGGATTGTATGATTATACTGGTTGCATATATAAAGTTTTGTATCGCTGACAACGCTTAAATTCTTGATTCGATCTCTTTGAAGCATTTATCTGTCCTTTGTTAGGAAATATTCTGGAAATTATCAGGTTTTTTTACTCCCACGCTTAACAGACAGATAGTGTCGGCTGAGGTTCCGAATAGAGAACGTGCACACCATTCCAATAATTGGAGTCACTCCAAAGATTTTCCAATATTGACATATTTGTCTCCCAATAAAAGATGTGCAAGTTGCGTTCAGATAGCGATATGCCTTAAAACAGTGGTGCAAAATAAGTGTGTGTTTGTTTGTTTTTAATTCTGTGGCGTTAATTTGAATAGAAATTTAATTAATGAGTGAAACTAATATTTTCTCTGACAGTTAAAGGTATGTTTTTGAAGGTATATTAAAAAAGATTGCTAGATATATATCATGGTTTGTGATATATAGAAATATTTTTTTTCAATTATGCATTTTAACGATTAGTTATGGCTTTATTAAATCTTACCAAAAGGATTTCTTATGGTTAAGCATCTCGTATGCTATAAATAGCTCTCAGTATGTCATTGAAGCTGCTTCTGTCCTTGGATCGTTTCTGACCAATCAAAGTTTTCCAATAATCACCGTGTGTTTCATTTCAGCTGAGTGACGCTTTAGCAGACGACAAATTTTCAGAAAGTGCAAAAATGCCGGAAACAGTCACTGAAGAGAAACAGAACGAAGGGCCAGCTGAAACCCCTAAAGAGAGCAGGAATATTGTACTTACTGGCTTCGGTGGGCTGAAAACGTTGAAGGTACTGAAAAAACCGGAACCTAAACCAGCCGAAGGAGAGGTTCTTATTAGCGTAAAGGCATGGTAAGATTTATTTTTCTAACATATTGTTTAATGTTTTAACTTAATTGTTTGTTAATGAATAATATAATTATCGGTAATTGGTAGTATATTGATGACGGAATCCGATTCGTGAATGTAGACGGATGTTTTCATTTGTCTTTAAGAGGTTTGATCAATATCTCTCCATATTAAGATTAGCTTTTTTTATGGTTCAAAAGGTGGCGATATATATTCCCGGTTACGGGATTTTTGCTCCATGGAACGGTTTTGTAACAGCTGTCGCTTTGTGATAAAAGCATAGTATTAATACAGATGCAAAAATTGCCTCGTGACTTGGTTTTTGTTTGTATTTCGATAATAGATACCCAGTTATTGATAGACAGTTCGTTAAGTTATGCTCAGCGAGATGTGACTATAAATGACTGAATGCATTGATTTTCCTCCCCTTTCTTTTTCCAATTTTGTCGTGAGACATTTTGTGTGACATTTCATAGGCAATATTCCTTGTATGTATAATATACGGGCATATATTATATCAATATGTTACGACCTCATATATAAACCTTATTTAATTTGTTCTCTTAATCAAATTATTTTTAAGAATTCCAGTTTTTAACTTTTTATTTTTTAAGAAGATATCAATGATAAGATTTTATATGCAGTACTTTTAAAGGCTTTTCAAGTTTAAGCAGGGGGAAACCAAGGTTTGAATTATAAATGCATGATTATGTTAAGTACTGCACCACAGGCGCTAGTCACATAATCAAATATTTTACATTATCGGTCTATATATGTATATAAAGATAGATATATTATATCTTTATATACATTTATAGACCGATTATGTAAAATATTTGATTATGTGACTAGCGCCTGTGTACTGCACAGTTGGTAATGGTATATATTTTATTGAAAGTTGCATATTATATAAAATAATTTGATGAAAGCAAAGCTATATGGAACTTATTTAAGTTGATCATATATGCAGTATAGACTTTATAAATATGTTGATACTATGATATAAACACATGTGTTATTAAAATTAATTAGCATTAATTACTCCATCAGAATCAAATACAGTTACACCTGTGCAATTTTGCCATATCAATGGCTCTATTCTCAATCCAAAATAACCTTAAAAAAATATCCACAATTAGCTTCCACAGTTACAGTTTATATAATTATAGTGTATAATTATGTAGAATTTCTCTATGTAGAATATCTCAAATTTCCAAAAAATCCTACAAATCAGCTGAAAGTCTATTACTTTTGGCTGCTAATATGTGTTCTGCATTATTCTTGGACGGACAATTCTAGATTCACAGCAAGCCAAATTGTAATGCACAGATGCTGCAGAGTAACTGATTTAAGAAATAAGAAGGCCTTATAATCATTAGAGCTTTTCTAAAATATATGTTTATTACTTTGAATGGAGTTGGAAGTATGCCAATTACTGCACTTATGAGTGGGACACTCATGTGAGTATGCATAATTTTAGATATCATATGATACACAGGTTAATATTGATACATATGAAAGCATGACACATATTGAAGTGCAAAGTTATAATACATAGATAGACCAGAAATTACACCTTAGATCAGCAAAAGTCTATTAACTTTAGACATACCGGTAGCTCAAATGTGGGCACTTAAAACAGAAACATATGCAAAAGATAAAAAGAATATGCACATGTACACAACTTGTTTTAGCAATTTTGCGTGATTCTTAAGTTAAAAATCATTTAAAAGCTGTTCATTTTTGGGTCATTTGACATAATTATAATGAATGCTCTGGGATAAGGGAGTATTAAAGTAGATGATATGAAATTTGGTGTCCAGACCTACATGACAAATGGTACACAAATCTCCAAAAACTATTTCACGTCCCATCATGTCAAAAAAACTAAGTGGAGTATGTCCATCTGAAGGCAATTGCTCCAAATTCAATTTATTAAAATATGTCTCTTTCTGGTTCCCTGTCCAAGAAAAAAGTCTTTGCATATATTTTCATTTGTTTTTGTTTAAAGAACAGTTCTGCTTAATTTTTTTACTACAGAAATCACCGGTTATTGTATATAACAAATATATAAGCTTTTATATTTTTACTATTTTAATTTCTTTTTAATTTTAACACCTTTGCAGTAAATGTGTTATTACTTTTACATTTAAATGAGCTTCTGATGATGCACTCAAAATGCATGTCTAAATGCAAAAAGGACAAAATAAGTGTCAGTTATTCAACTAGAAACAATTTTTTTTGTCATTAATAAAGAATGCAATCAAATAAGGTTTAATGCTCCTTCAGGACAAGGTTCTGTTGGAGACTGCATTTAGTGACTGTTAACATCCCTTGTAAATCTTTCATTTTTTATTTTAACTCTCAACCTGATATTATCAACTGAATATACCAGAAAATTACCAGTGCAGACCAAGACAAACTGGCACTTCCATGCTGTCTGATCATGGTCTGCACTGTTTGCCATTCAGTCAGTGCTTATTATGAAATGTTCCCTAAACATGACCACTGGTTTTGTTCAGACTGAAAGCCTGGTGAGGGTTATAGAAGCCATTGAGTATTGCAGGAAAAATAATCTTTACAATTGACATGAAATAAGTTATAATATGTGTGCTAGTTGTGAACGTGGCCTTTATAACCCCAAATTACCAGTTTTAAGCCAGGCCAGACTGAATAGACAGTCATTTTGTCTAAATACTCACTTTAATATTAAAAAAGGACTAATTTGCAGCCATTTTGTCTAAATGTTCTGCCTAAGAATTAAACTAGCAATCATTTTCTAAATTTTCAGTTTACAATATAGGCAATCAATATTTACAAATTTCACATATATACAAACTGCAGAAGTAATTTTCTCTGCAATTATTTTAGGCGCAGATTGATAGATATCATAAATTGACCTTCCATAATTTGTAAATGCTGCACCTCCTGATAACTGCCAACTTGATGACAGACATAATTTACTGATATTGTGAATACAGTTAATAGACATTTGATTGGAATGGTGGTTATTGTAGTTTTTCTGCAGATCATGGCAGTAAGCCACTTTGAATTCACCAGAGCATAGGTCAGCTGCTGCATCCTTCCTTGGTAGGCTGTAAAGCAGTTTATCAGTACTAGATGCTTTCACTTTTGCAAGGAACTGCTTAAGTCCAGAGCAGAGGTACAGTGCAAATGACCCTTGAAAGGATTTTTTGATCAATTGCAATGAAAGTGATGTGCAATGTCAATGTGAATATTGGTTTCCCAATTAACAGTCCAACTCTCTACCAGTTGAGCTTAATGGGTGTTGCTGCATATGTTCTGCTATCTATGCTTAGTTTAAATACATGTATCTATTCATTTATTTAATCCTGGCAGTGGCCTGGTGGTAAAGTGTTTGTATTGTATATTGAAGTGTTGGTTTGATACCCAGCCAATTCATATCAAAGACTGTTTTAAAAAGAAGTACTTGTTTAAGACTAACATTCAAAGCTAAATTTGCTCAAAGGTTAAAGAAAAAAGCATTGGTAAAAAATATTGACATTAAAGTATAAAGAGTAATCATGTATGGTAAAAGCTTTTAGCTGACTCCATTATAAACAACTATCAGAAATGTCTTGGGATGAATTCTATATTTGTATAAAGATATGTCAATATCATTGTCTCAAAAAACTTTTATTAATATTGACACCTGCATATTTACTTCCTGCTAAAAGATGTAACTAATGACTGAAACTTTGTATCCTCATGTTGGAGTACTTAAGTAAGGTGTTTTGAGAGCACACACACAAAATAAATCTTGAAAATTTATGTATTTTGAAATGTTTTCTGTATTTAAAGAAATGGGAAAGTGTTGAGGGTTCATATGACAGTCTTTTCCAAATTAAATGAACAGTTCATTAGGGAAAGGCAAAACCAGACACTTTATCAGACAATGAAAATTCGTAAATATGAGTAGAATTTAAGAGAACTGGATGCAGCACACATAGAAAAATGTTGCCTGCACATTGCATTAGAAGCTACACGTTCTGCAGTGACTGAAAATATTTTTTTTCCGGTGCCTGTTCATGCGGGTAAATGTTCTATACTAAATGCCATTAAACTTTCTGTAAATTTGTGCAATTTTTAGATATGCATATAATTTATATACATTAAAATGTTTTTATCATGATAGAAAAAAAGTTCTGTTTTGAAAAAAAAGGTCTTTGTCAGATTAAATAAAAATATATGAAATAAGGGCTGTAATGGTGTCTTGATAGATTGGTTTTAGTATACTTCTTATTGGTCAAATCAATTACCTAACTTATGTTTATTATCTACCTTTCTTATCACTTGAGCAATCATAAGCCTTGTAACTTGGACTTGTGTGTTAAATTTTGGGACTTATAGCTTTATGGCCCAGCGAGTCCTAGGATCCAAACTGACGAATTTATAAAAATTTGTTTTCACGGCAACAGTTGACAGCAACTTTGTTGCTGTTTGTTGCATCATGGTTTGGCATTGATACAGTAATTGAATAAGTAGTAGGAAATTTTTGGCTTGAAGGACCATGTTGTGCATCTTGAACATGCTTGCTAATTATGATGGTGTCTTAATTCCTGCACTTCTTAAGTTAACAATATGCCTTAATGAAAGGAAAGAAATTGTTCAAATAAAAGGAAAACATAATGTTTTATTTAAAAAAAAAATGCTTAATTTATGAGAAAAAAGATATGTTTAATCTATGTACAGCAATATTGTATGTAAGATCTCCGCAAGATTACTGATTTTATTGCTTGGTTAAAATATACATCTATTTGTTCATTCAAAACTGTGAATAATGTTTAAAGATGTTATTAGATAATGATTATTACATGCACAGATTGAAAGCTGACATTTAACATGCCCATTGGGAAATCACATCAAAAGGCAACTTCATTATTAAAATACCTTCATTTTATTTGTTTATAAATGTAATGTTATTTTAGGATATACGTAGGTTGATTATAGAAGTAATAAAAGAATCTTTTGTACCAGTTGCCACTGCATCATGATAGATTTTTTATTATCAACGGATAGTCAGTTTGAAAACAGTGAGATTGATTTACAAAATATACTTAAAAACCTCATTTATTGTATGCTGTGATAAAACTAAATCAAGAGGGCCATGATGGCCCTGAAAACGCTCACCTGTATATAGGCCCCTGGGCCAAGGCCAATTTAAAAACAGGGGCTTTTATTTGAACAAACTTGGTAGACACACATTAGAAGATGTTTCATGATAAATATCTAAGCTCTAGCTCTTTGGGGTTTTTATAAGAAGATTTTACATATAGGGAAAAACAATGACCCCCACCCCTCAGAGGGGCCAATATTGACCTAGGGCTTTTATTTGAACAAACTTGGTAAACACACACTAGATGATATTTCATGCTTAGAATCTAAACTCAAGCTCTTTGGGGTTTTTTTCTTTCAAGATGAGCTAAAATAACAATACCATTCAAAGACCCTGTGACCTTGACCTTTGACCTGGTGACTCCAAAGTCAATAAGGGTCATCTACTAGTTATGACCAATCAATATGTGAAAAATGAAGACTTTGTGAAAATAGTAACCAAGATAATAAGCGGAAATCATATTACCATTCAAGGCCTCTGTGACCTTGACCTGTGACCAGAATCAATAGGGTCATTTACTAGTTATGACCAATCAATATGTGAAATATGTAGACTTTGTGATGAATACTTTTCAAGATAATCAGCGGAAACCATTTTGACATTTAAGGCCCCTGTGACCTTGACCTTTGTCCTAGTGACCCAAAAATCAAAAGGGGTCATTTACTAGTAATGACCAATCACTGTGTGAAATATGAAGACTTTATGATAAATACTTTTTAAGATAATCAGCGGAAGCCATGTGGTCTACCGACGGACAGACCGACATTAGCAAAACAATATACCCACTCTTCTTCGAAGGGGGGCATAATTACAAATTATATTCTTTCTAAGCTTATTTAACATACATTGTGTAAACAACTATTGTATATAGGTATATTTTGCTCTATTTTCAGTGGTCTGAACTTTGTGGATTTGATGGTACGTCAAGGAGTGTTGGAGCATCCTCCAAAAACTCCATTGACCATTGGTTTTGAATGTGCTGGTGATGTTGAAGCTGTAGGTGAAAATACTGAAGGATTTGCTGTAAGTTACATAGATTAAATATGTTATTTGGCAACAGATAAAATATTCAGATAGAGTTATTTTAATTTCCCCTCTCTTTGTGTTTTCGTTCAATTGTAGCACCAATTTTTACAATAAAACAGGAAACTTTCCATACATCTCTTGATTTAGCAGTTCAGAAGAAAAGCAATATTAAAGTTAACAATACATCAGATTACAAATTTCAAATGTATGAAGTGCTCAGGACATAAGCTCTAAATCTAAAGCTCAAAGGTATAGCACTCTCCCAGCTGAACCAAAAGGGTAGGATTTCTGAATACATAAAGGTTAAAAAAATTTGAATGAGTAAACAACAACCCGTGCAGACATCTGAAAGAAATTACTGATGCAAATTTGCTGATTTTATTTACTCAAGTGACAATTTGTTCTAATGTTCATTGCAAATTTTCTATTTTCAGTTAAGAATTATAGTTTTTTGTCCAATTAAGTGACAAAATGTTTTATTAATTCTCTGTGTGACAAAATGATTTATTAATGCCTGGAGTCAGACTTTATTTTGATACAGATGTTTTTTCCTGTCTGTCAAACTATTTTGCCCTATCTGAACTCATTTTTAAAAACAAGGGTGAGGATAAAATAAAACTTTATTTGATGGTAGGAGATTATAAGAAGTAACAAGGATGCAAGTACTGCAACTCTGTCTGTGACTGTTTTTAGATGGTCACACTTTTAAACTTTATTTGTTTGCTTTGTATGTTAATTGCTATGAGATGAAAGGGAAAAGATAATGCTTGATTATTTGTAGAGAGCAGGTATGACTATCAAGAATAGTTTCCTAATTTGCTACATTTTCAAATGTAGTAATTGATTTAAATTCAGCAAAACTTTTTACAAAAAAGCAAAGTGTGTTGACATACCTGTCATTAACTGAGTGATTTGAAAATAGTTTTGCATAAATGTGTTGTACTTTAGGATTATGTGTTTCTCAAGAAAAAAAAGTGTTTAGCTCAAAGGTCATGGTCACATTTGTATGCCAAAAGTCATGGTCTGTGTTGTGTATATCATTATAATTTCATTGATTGATTTTGAAATAATTATGCATACATATGCTGATTATTAAAATAACATGTACCATGATTGATTGACCACCAGTAAAGATGGAAAGTCAACATAAAACCTTAACAGTGCATGTTGGTACAGCTTAAAAACGCTACAAAAAAGGCCCCCCAAAACTAAATAAGAGCCTTTTCAGCAGCCCAAATGTCAAGGTCAAACTTGACTGTCCAAAGTCGTGATAGGATAGTGCATTAATGGTCATGTCCAGTCCATATTTTTGCCATTCATTGACAGGTTTTAGAATAACTTAGCTTAAGTACATTTTGTATGATTGTGGTACTTTTCTTCTATTATGTCTGTAAAAAATCAAAACATTAATTTGATTTTCCATCAAAAAAATGGAAAAAAAAAATCATTATTTAAAGATTAAATTAAAGCAACAAGGTTAATGTTTTTAAAACACAGTTTTCAACGAATCCTTGTTTTTGTATTTGATTTCACTTTGAAATATGATATTATTGAAAGATAAAAGAAATAGAAAAATAACTTGTTTATGAACACATTTTTTTTTCTAAATGATTTCAAGGCTATGTTTTGGCTTTAAATTACATATTTTTAAGATTTGAACTTGATTATATATATGAACAGGACACTTTTTTTTATGAACAATGGAAGCTGTAATCTTTTGTTATGCAATCTGACATATATAGCTTTAAAGGAGATCAGGTCAGGTCAAAAAGCCTAATTAAAAACATAAAATTTGATTTTTTACATAGATCGAGTGAAGCAATTAAATGGAAAAATCTGTAAAATAAAATATAGAAAGTTACTCAGAATTAAATTCAATAAATCGATAAATTAAAATCAATAAATAGTGCAACTCTTTGAAGAATGAGTAAAAAGTTCTGTAATGCTTTTCATTTTGGTGTCATTTTTGCACAATAAAAATAATTATTCTGGAAACACAGGATAAGGGAATGTACTGAAGATTTATGCACAAGTTACTAGTTCAGACTTACATCAAATGGTACACAAATCTCAGAAAAATATTTTCAGTCCTGTCATGTCAAAAAAGTTCAGAAAAGTGCCTTTAAACTACAAGTGGTTTTTGTGACAAAAACATAATATAGCTTCATTTCTTAAAAACATTTGAGATGTGGATTGGGTGGTTCGACTTTGTGACAGCAATTTAACCAAGTACATGTACACTCCTCTAAAACAAAAAACCCCAAAAAAACAACAACAAAAAATATTTCAACCAAACTACATGGTCAAACCTAAATAGCTATATAGAGAGTTGCTCCCAGTTTCTTTTGTATAAGTATATAGACAATGTAATGTAAATGTTTGTTGTAGAATTTATTTGTTTTGACTTAACAAGTCTCGACAACAGCAGTTATTAAGTGCCTTGTGGCAGCTGTAAAAAGTTGCCTCATATTTCATTTCAGTGTTGTTATATTATATTCAGGTCCTTTAGAATCATTAATTCCAGCACATTAAGTGTTGAAGATTGAACACTTCTTGTTGGTGAGAAATGATACACTTTTACATTATCTCTTGTGAACAGCTTAATCCATTATCAATCATGCAATTCAGTTGATGTTTTGTTGCCTCTGAGAGATCTGTCTTTTTCAAGAAAATGGTTCTTAAAAAAGAGAAATCTATTGATATCTATTAACAGATAAATTCCTGTGATAATTTTTTTTTTGGGTGGGGGGGGGGAAGGGGGGAGGGGGAGGTCATTAAAGCATAAATCAGCAAAGTTTTTCCATGTCTCCCAAGAATGTGATTCACCTCCACAAAATCACAATGCATTCCTTACTTGAAGTCTCTCATGGTAATAAGTTCTGAAAAAAAAAGCATTGTTTGAAAGGGGAATGCATGCCTCTTCTGAAAATTGTTGTCATTTTCAACTTACCTGAGCACAACATGTTGAAAATGAGCTATTTGGATCAATTTGTCTCCGATGTTTGCCGTTTGGCATTAAGTGTAATGTGTTGTCAACAGTTTACATTAAATGACATCTCTTCCTAAACCGTTTGGCCAATTATGATGAAACTTAAAACAGTCATTATTTTAGATAGTTATCTACAAAAATTGCCAAAATTATACTGGTTTTCTGAACAGAGGCCAGAGGTAAAAAAAGATTAATGTTTAAACAATATCTTATAGCTCAATTTCAGAGCATTTTAGATAAAAGTCAATAGAAATAAGGTATGTTTTGTAATAAAAATTCTTTGTTCATTTAATCCATATCATTAGATGAGCGATAAAAGGTCATCATGACTCTCTTGTCTGGTTTCTTGCCTTAACAGTATTTCGATCATATGCTAGCAGACAATCGCTTAATTAATGGTCCTGGATTCTATACAAGCAAAAGCCTTTTCAGCAAATAACTACGAACTTTTCCAGACTAATAACTTGAAACAGCAGTGAAGGAATTTGCATGACAGGACATATTGTCATCAATGATGTCATCACAATAAAGCACATGCCACTTATTATTGCACAATTCACAAACTCATGAAGCCAAGGTCTTAAGCTCTCTTAACACGCACTAAAACAAGTTAGCTGGTACAGGTCGTGTTAAAATTAGCTAGAATATTGTTGCAGCAATATGTAACACAGGAAATCAACTAATTAAAACTGGTCATATTTCTCCGTGGTCTTGAACATTGATTTTTGTATTGTATTACCAGTAAGTCTATTTCTATCCTGATGCCTTTCCATTTCATTGATTTGAAAATAATCTTTCTGTAGAAAATTCTGTTGCAGATTATACCTTTGACCTTTTCCATGCAAAGAAAAATAGGAGGAAAATTCTTCAGGGTTTTTTTTTATTATGTATACAATATGTCACATTTACGAGGACAAGAATTTATTTGTATTTATGCTACACTGACATCTGTTGCCTGGAAATGCTTGCAAATTAATGTGTCAGTATGTGAAACAATTGTAAATGCTTACTTAATCATTCTTGTCACTGACTCACTGTTCCTGTGTGTGAATATAATGAATTAATTGGTTGAAGGTTGTAACTTTTATTCTGGAAATAGACAAACGGGAGAGCCATTTTCACAGATTACAAACCCCATGGTATTAGTCATTATATGAGATGATGTGCAAAATCTAGATTCTCAGATTTTTTTGTTCTGGGTCAGAGGGAGATATTGCCCTTACATGTAATAGCACAATGTCTGAACTTATACTGTAATTAGCTAGACTTCCATAATATTTGCTGTCAGTGCTTAAGAGATGCATTATTGTTTTTTTTTAAAAAAAAAAAAGGACTTTCTTTGGATGCATTGGATTCCTATCTGTCCATGTAGAGTTTGATGGATTTTTAGCTCACCTGAGCATGCTCAGGGTGAGCTTTTAGGATCGATGATTGTCCGTCGTCCGTTCACATTTAGTTGTTAACACTCTAGCGGTCACATTTTTGCCTCCATCATCAAAAACTTGGTCAGGATGCTTATCTAGTTAATAGCTCGGATGAGTTTGAACATGGGTCATCTCGGATGAAAAACTAGGTCACAAGAGCTAAAAAATAGAAAAACCTTTTTAACACTCTAGAGGTCACATTTTTTCCTCAATCATCATCAAACTTGGTCAGGATGCTTTTCTAGGTGATAGCTCAGATGAGTTTGAACATGGGTCATCTCAGATGAAAAAGTAGGTCACCGGAGCTAAAAATAGAAAAACCTTGTTAACACTCTAGCGGTCACATTTTTGCCTCAGTCATCATCAAACTTGGTCAGGATGCTTATCTAGTTGATAGATCAGATGAGTTTGAACATGGGTCATCTCGGATGAAAAACTAGGTCACAAGAGCTAAAAATAGAAAAATCTTGTTAACACTCTAGCGGTCACATTTTTGCCTCAATCATCATCAAACTTGGTCAGGATGCTTGTCTAGGTGATAGCTTGGATGAGTTCGAACATGGGTCATCTCAGATGAAAAACTAGGTCACAGGAGCTAAAACTAGAAAAATCTTGTTAACACTCTAGCGGCCACATTTTTGACACAAGTGTCATCAAACTTAATCAGGTTACTTGTCTAGGTACTTGCTCGGATGAGTTCGAACATGGGTCATCTCGGATGAAAAACTAGGTCACAGGAGCTAAAAATAGAAAAACCTTGTTGTTAACACTCTAGTGGTCACAATTTTGACTCAATTGAAATCGCATGTAAAATTAGGTCACCGGAGCTAAAAATAGAAAAATCTTGTTAACACTCTAGTTGCTACTGTTTTGATCCAAGTACCCTGTAAATTGGTGTGAAAGTTTGTTTTGATGATTTCTAGGTCAAGTTTGAATATGGGTCACCTGGGTAAAAAACTAGGTAACACTGCTCAAATATGGATAATCCTTGTTAACACTGTAGTGGTCACATTTTTTACTCACCTGTCATGAGACTTGGTCAGAATGCTTGTCTAGGTAATTGTTTGGATGAGTTTGATGGGTCAGGTGAGCGATCTAGGGCCATCATGGCCCTCTTGTCATCAAACTTGGTCAGGATGCTTGTCTAGGTAATTGCTCGGATGAGTTCGAACATGGTTGATCTCGAATGAAAAACTAGGTCACAGGAGCTATAAATAGAAAAACCTTGTTAACACTCTAGTGGACACATTTTTGACTCAATTACCATCAAACTTGGTCAGGATGCTTGTCTAGGTAATTGCTCGGATGAGTTTGAAGATAGGTCATCTTGGATGAAAAACTAGGTCACAGGAGCTAAAAATAGAAAACCTTGTTAACACTGTAGTGATCACATTTTTGACTCAATTGTCATCAAACTTGGTCAGGATGCTTGTCTAGATAATTTGGGGATGAGTTCGAACATGGGTCATCTCGGATGAAAACTAGATCACAGGAGCTAAAAATAGCAAAATCTTGTTAACACTCTAGCTACTATTTTGATCCATATGTCCGGGAAATTTGTCTGAAAGTTTGTTTTGATGATTTGTAGGTCAAGATCGAATATGGGTCACCTGGGATCAAAAACTAGGTCACACCGCCCAAATATTGAAAAACCCTGTTAACACTCTAGTGGTCACATTTTTGACTCAATCATCATCAAACTTGGTCAGGATGCTTGTCTAGGTAATTGCTCGAATGAGTTTGACATGGGTCATCTCGGATGAAAAACTAGGTCATAGGAGCTAAAAAATAGAAAAACCTTGATAACACTCTAGTGATCACATTTTTGACTCAATCGTCATCAAACTTGGTCAGGATGCTTGTCTAGGTAATTGCTCAGATGACCACTAGGTAGTTGCTCGGATGAGTTTGAACATTGGTCATCTCGGAGGAAAACCTAGGTCACAGGAGCTAAAAAAAGAAAAATCTTATTAACACTCTAGTGGCTACTGTTTTGATCCAAATGTCCTGGAAATTGGTCTGAAAGTTTGTTTTGATGATTTCTAGGTCAAATTTGAATAAGGGTCACCTGGGGTCAAAAACTAGGTCACACTGCCCAAATATGGAAAAACCTTGTGAACACTTTAGTGGTCACATTTTGACTCAATTGTCATCAAACTTGGGTCATCTTGGATAAAAAAACTAGGTCACAGAAGCTAAAAATAGAAAAAACTTGTTAACACTTTAGTGGTCACATTTTTGACTCCCTTGTCATGAAACTTGGTCAGAATGCTTGTCCAAGTAATTTGTTGGATGAGTTTGATGTGTCAGATGAGCGATCTAGGGCCATCTTGGCCGTCTTGTTGATTGGTCAGATGTCACTGGGTTATATAAAGTTGTTAGAGTATGTTAGTGCAACTTGTGACACCCTTTGGCAAGATATTTGTGTGTCATGCAATAATTTAGCGTGAAACGTAGGGGTCTGAGAGAGAGGGAAAAGCTGATTTATGAAACTTTGTTTGATGGGGGTCAGACTAACTTTGAATCAGCATTACTTTTTTCATAATCAAGCCATTTACATGCGGTTTAAAGCACATGAAAGGGAATTCATATATGGGGGGAACTGTGTCAGGGATTTTTGTTTGCTTAATCAGCGACTTAATTATTTTTAATTACAGAATATGGTTAAAAGTTACGTGATTTTTTTTTTGAGGAAAGAGAAATATTTGAGACATGGTTCTCCAGATAATATAATTATGTTTATATTTCAAAAGTTTGATGACAAAAAAAAAAAGACTTTGATATGACAATTTTAAATTTTAGAATTTTTGTTCATCATCAGTTATTTACAAAGGCATTTTTTTTTCAAATATGTTATTTTTTATGATGATCAAAGACATTTAATGCACAAAGTTGAAATAAATAACAATTATAACTAAAATAAGTTGGTTTAAATGACATTTATGGTAGTACCATGGAAAGTGTCTGTTGTCGCCTTAAACAGGGTCATTTTATATACAGGGTACATATATAAAATAAACACTAGACTATTATACAAGGTAAATTTATAAAACAATACTTTTAATAAAAACTGCCAACAATATAAATATTGCCAACAACAGAATACTAGCTAAAACTGTTTTGACTACTGTATAAAAATAGCTTGGAAAAAACTTCACCTTATATAAACCAAAATTTAAAATACATTTTCATATGCAATGATGGTCCTCTACACAAGATGCTCTTACTTCTCAAATGTTAAGTCAGATATTCAAAGTCAATGAAGTTGGAATCATTCTCTCAAGTTAACATGTTTAATGGTATTTCAAAATAATATGACTGTGATAAAAAGTGTAACAACAGGCCTACATTTTGTAGTTTTAGCTGTTTGATATCATTGAAAACAAAAGTCTTCATACTTTTTTTTATTATCTAAGTTTATTGGCTAACTAGTAAGCCAGAAAGGAGCTTACATATATGGATGTTTGCTACATTGTTCCTTGCCCTTTGTTGAAGAGAAAGCATGTAGCACTTTAATGCTTGTTGAGGTCTGTTTTCTTGTTCCATACATTGTCCTAAAATGTTGAGAGCTGTTTCTCTATGTTGAAGATTTTCATCTGTTTCTATGATTCTTATAAGTTTACAAAGTGCTTGTTGTTGATCTTGATGTCTTTGTAGATGATGATAGATCTTGTATTGTAGGAAGTACAGGAGAGGTAGAGAATCAACTACAGCCCAGTCCATCCAACAGTCTTCATACTCATCTCTGTGTATCATGTCATCTTGTGTAGATCTAAACATTTCATATTGTAGTTCATGAGGAACACAGTTGATCTCTTCCTGTATAAATCTGACACAAAATGACGTAATATATTTTATACAGTCCTCACTTTGTTCACTACATACCCTTATGAATTCTGCTGTTACTGCTTCTTTGGGCAGATGATTATAACGGCAGTCACAGATAGGTAAAACAGGATAGGAAAAATATTGTTGTTCTGTGTGTCTCAGAATTAGTTCAGCTCTCTCCATATCTCCTGTACTGTAAAACACTGAAGCCAATTTAAGTCTGCTAGATGAGATATCTGAGTTTAAACCAGCTGAGAGCCAAACCAGTGCTTGAGGTGACACTTGATTATTTTCACCGATGCAGGATGATGCTAGGATTGATCCGTATGTGGTAAAAACAAAAGGTGCTAGGAGCTTGAATGCAGCATGTTCTAATCTATTACCATTGTCTCTGAAGGTCATTAGTTTACCTACATATTGTTTTATTGTTCTAATGTTTTTATTGAGAAAATGTTTTAAAATATGCATATGCCGATAACTTATGCCATTTGCAAAGTCTATAACAAACGTCGTTAACAAAAGTTTTTGTATTTCAAGAGAAGAAAAAAAATAGTAAATTCCATGTGGTACCCTGTTCAGTTTAACTTGAAGTCTATGACCAAGATCATCAATATCAATACTAAGTAACCGTTGTCTATCATTCTGTATAAAATCACAAATATTTTTTGAAAGTTCATGTTTTGTTTCAGCTGTAAATTGCCCTGCCATCAAATTGTTTTCCTTTATAATGAAATGTGAACAACAGTCATTTTGTACACAACTGTGTAATTCCAATAAGCAGTATGTTAAACATGTGAATAAATTGTTATCTTTCCATATTACTGACTCTGTGTTTTCTATACAGTGTAATAAAACTGTTTTGCACATGAAACTTGAAATGTTCATTTCATCTTGAGGATTAAGGAAGGACTTAAGAATCATTTTCAATAGTACATAGCACCTTAATTGTGTTATATTAAGATTTAACATACAAAATCTTTCTGCCAATGAGGTTGAAATTCTCCATTCCAGTTCAGGATATTCACTGACCTTACTTCCAGTTGAAACAACAAAACACCCAGTCCTGGCTGCATATCTTCTCATCTCTTGTGTAGGCCATCTACCAATACCTTGTCTATCTAACCAACCTGATGCTGATTGAGGCCATGATTTACATGGTAAAGCTAACACTTTGTCTTTATCATATAATCCAGGTTGTCCTTGTTCCGCAATAGCTGGTCCATGCTGCTGCTCAGCACCCTCAAGCATTTCATTTATTATTGTGTTTTTATACAATATTCTTCCTCTTCTGTCAGTAATATGATGACATTCATCAAGAATGCCAGTGGCAGGAAGAGGTTCATCTGGTCTGAGTAGTTGTAAGAAACAATACCCAGGAGTAGTGTTCTCATCCTGTATCATGAGGTAGTTTAACTTGCCAGGTTCCAACTCTGACCAGTCTTGTATTATATTGAAATTATGCATACAGACTACTACATCATAGTCTGAATCAAGTCCTTTAGTAGTTGTACCTTCACTTTGACTCCCTAGGAAATATTCAGTTGCATCTAAATCAATTGACCTGTTGGTGATATAACTCATAGTCTCCATCATCATGAGTTTTCTTCTCCTTCTCATCACTATTCTTTCATTGACACCAATGTCATGTAAAACCTCTGATAACATCAATGATAAGTTTTCTCTGTAGTCAGGTTCTTGAAACATTCTGTAATGTATTACTAATTAGTGAAAGAGAAAATTGTTTCAGTCAGCAGTCAAATTAATTTTATCATATACTTCTACTTGTTACTTATTTGTCGTTTAAGTCCTAGAACAGAACAGAACAGGAGAGCCTGAATCTGTACATTAGGAAACATAAGATATAAAATTTCGGGTAGTTATCAGTTACGCATATTTTTCTCTATTTGGCTGTGGTATTTTTCTTCTCTATTATATAAATTTGAATATTTGTTTTTAAAATTTCGATATAAGAGAGACAGTAAAATTTAACACTCATTCAATTATTCATGTAACACTTTCTTACATAATTCATCCAATATAGATGAGAAATTTTGTATATAAAATGAAGTTTTAAACTTACTTTGGATTTTTTATTTAATTTTCTTAAAAATGATCAGGAGAAAATATTTCTTTTCATTTGACCAGATATGTGGAAATTTAGATTTATATAACACCACAATATATTGTGAAAAATACATTATAATGTAAAAAATGATTATGTATATTTCTTTTAATTAAAATACAAAATTAATTTAAACAAATATTTTCTTTTTTGAGATTGATGAAAAAATTAAAAACACTGTCTAAAATATTACTTGAACTACTTTCTAACATAATACGTTCTGTATAAATGAGAAATTAAGTATTTAAAATAAAGTTTTAAACTTACTTTGAATGTTGTATTTAACAGTATTTCGTAGAAATAATTTAGGAAAATTAACAATAATCTTGAAAAATATTAACAACAGTTATATAGTTTTATACACATTAACTTCCTTGAAAAAATTTTGAAACAGAAATAAATTCAATTATAGGATTATATTTACTGGTAAATGAGAACTTGAATAAGATTTTTATAACATTTCCTTGAAACTTGTAATCATAGGGACAATAAATATAATTAAACTTTTTTTCAGATAAATTTCCTGAAAATGGTCTCTCCACAAGTTGAAAGGTTATTTTTTTAGTCTGGAAAAAGTTTCCATTCGAGTGTATATTAATGTCCTCTATTTGCAGTGGTTGTGTTACTTACACATAAATACTGAAATATTTTTAGCTTACCTGTCACAGGGTGAGCTTTTGTGATCGCTTTTCGTCTGTCGTCCGGCCGTCGTCCGTCCGTCTGTAAACTTTTACTTTAACTGACATCTTCTCATAAACCACTTAGCCAATTTCATCCAAACTTCACAGGAATGTTCCTTTGGTTGTCACCTTTAAAAATTGTTCAAAGAATTTAATTCCATGCAGAACTCTGGTTGCCATGGCAACCGAAAGAAAAAACTTTAAATATCTTCTTTTAAAAAACCCTAAGAGCTAAAGCTTAGATATTTGGCATGAAATATCTTCTAGTGAGTGTCTACCAAGTTTGTTCAAATAAAAGCCCTGGGATCAAAATTGGCCCCGCCCCAGGGGGTCATTGATTTTCCCTATATGCATATAGTAAAAACTTATAAAATCTTCTTTTAAAGAACCCACAGAGCTAGAGCTAAGATATTTAGCATGAAACATCTTCTAATGAGTGTCTACCAAGTTTGTTAAAATAAAAGCCCTGGGGTCAAATTTGGCCCCACCCCAGGGGTCATTGATTTTCCCTATATGCAAATAGTAAAAGCTAAAAAATCTTCTTTTAAAGAACTCAAATAGCTAGAACTAAGATATTTAGCATGAAACATGTTCTAATGGGTGTCTACCAAGTTTGTTCAAATAAAAGCCCTGGGGTCAAAATTGGCCCCGCCCGGGGTCATTGATTTTCCTTATATTTGTATAGCAAAAACTTAAAAATCTTCCTTGAAAAAACCCAAATAGCTAGAGTTTAGATATTAAGCATGAAACATCTTCTAGTGAGTGACTACAAAGTTTGTTCAAATAAAAGCCCTGGGGTCAAAATTGGCCTCGCCCCGGGGGTCATTGATTTTCCTTAAATATGTGTATAGCAAAACTTAAAAATCTTCTTTGAAAAAACCCAAATAGCTAGAGTTTAGACATTAAGCATGAAATATCTTCTAGTAAGTGTCTACAAAGTTTGTTCAAATAAAAGCCCTGGGGTCAAAATTGGCCTCGCCCCGGGGGTCATTGATTTTCCTTATATGTGTATAGCAAAAACTTAAAAATCTTCTTTGAAAAAACCCAAATAGCTAGAGTTTAGACATTAAGCATGAAACATCTTCTAGTAAGTGTCTACAAAGTTTGTTCAAATAAAAGCCCTGGGGTCAAAACTGGCCCCGCCCCAGGGGTGTCATTGTTTTTAACTATAATTATGTGTGTAGTAAAAGCTTAAAAAATCTTCTTTTAAAAAAGCCAATGAGCAAGAGCTTAGATGTTTAGCATGAAACATATTCTAATGGGTGTCTACCAAGTTTGTTCAAATAAAAGCCCTGGGGTCAAAATTGGAACTGCTCCAGGGGCCTATATACAGGTGAGCGACCTCAGGGCCATCATGGTCCTCTTGTTTATTAAGGTGTCTGGTCAGACTACAAAAATAGACAAGTTGTCTAAACTCTTAATTATATGTGCAAATTCTTATCATAGCTATAAGCTATCTAGATAGCTGGTACAGTTTACATTGTTAAAATACAGATGTTTTACACTCTAAGTATTTCAAAAAAAAAACAATACAAAAGACAAGTTCATACTAGAATAATCGATGACTCTTCGGAGCATGTAAATTCTAATGCAGGAAAATTGATGTACAAGCTAAAAAATTTTGTGAGAAACAGAAACTATGTTACTAATATTTCTTTATATTAGATCCTTTTGTTATATAAAGCCAATCAGTATTTTGCAATAAATTTACCTGTTAAAAACATCATTGCAGGTTGCTGCAAATGTCTGCAGCATTTTACAACAATAATTCCCATTTTAAAATATTTCTCAAACAAATATACGTTTTATTAATTTTAAAATATACATGTAGAGTATAAGAAATTTAATGTTACATAATAGTTTGTCATACTTCTTAGACAAGCAACTTTAAATTGTTTTCTTACTGTTATCTATTTACTATGAAATAAACATTGGGAACAACTTCTAGCTTAGTAGGAAATGGGTGGGAATTAATTCACATACAAAGCAACAAATTGCAGGAAATATGTCAGTTTGCAAGCACCTAATGCAACAATATTTGATAAGTTTTTCAGAAAAATCAACAAGAATCTACAGTTATCTGGGCATCTGGGGCATTTTGTCTGGGGGCTTTATCCCCAGACCCCCAACTAGGGAGCAACATCTTCATGCAGACTATTCTCAGGCTCAGCTCCTGCTGAAGATAATATGCCTTCTTTCAATTTTTTATACCTAGTTTAAAATGATTAGTAACATTTGTTTTATGACTAATTTCATTTAGGAAAAAAATTAAAGAAGTGGTTTAACTTATTTTTTTTCTTTTCAAAAACTTCAGGTGAATGATAGGGTAATTGGATTCATTAATTATGGAGCCTGGGGTGAGAAGGTGACAGTGCAGGCAAAGTATGTATACAAGATGCCATCTAACATGAGCTACCAAGATGGGTCTGCACTTCCAATGAACTACCTTGCTGCTTATATCATGCTGTTTGATATAGGGAACCTAAAGAAAGGAATGACTGTGTTTTCACATAACATTGGTGGCGGTGTGGTAAGTAACAATATCTTTTGTTTGTTTGATTGATTTCAACAATTTTCTTCAAAAATCTATGAAAGAAAAGGTGGCCTAGTGGTTAAGGTGTTTGCCTTTCAATATTGGGGTCATCGATGGGTTCAGGTCTTACTCTGGCCACAATCATGTCTCCGCATATGATACCAGTATTGGGAAGCTCCAGGAAGCAGGCTTAAAAGTGGTTTGAATCAGCTTCAAAATTTCATCACAACCTTACTAATTTTAGGTACTTCCTATTTGTCTCTCATTGGCTTTGGCAATGAAAATGCAAGATCTTTAATTGTCAAAATTTCACTAATTTTCATGTTAAAATGTTGAATTTAGTTTAAGCCAGTGCTAGCTAGGGGTTGTTTAAAGTGGCTTTCACTTACTGCTTTCATTCTTGAACAGACTCAGTCAATCTTTTTTTTATAACCATTCCAGGGCAATGCATTGGGGCAATTGTGTAAGACTGTAGAAGATGTTAACCTGTATGGGACGGCATCCGAGCACAAACACGAGGCTGTGAAAGACAATGTCACCAATGTGTTTAATAGAACATCTGACTATTGTCAGGAAGTAAGAAAGTAAGTGGTAAACATAGTTTTACTTTTCAGGGTACAAGGCAAAAATACTGTTCTTGTTCCTTGACATTCAATTGGTCCATAATTGAATGTTTGTAATTAACAATTATGTCGATAGTATTTTGTGGCATTCATATCAACAAACTGTGAAATAAATGATCCAATGTAACATACCTTTATATAGCAGATAATAAATTGTTCTAGAACAAAATTCATCATATAAATGTTTGTACTAAGTGACTGGGAACTTGATCAACATTATCTTTGTCCATTGTTTTGATACATTATCTTTGTCCATTGTTTTGATACATTATCTTTGTCCATTGTTTTGATACATTATCTTTGTCCATTGTTTTGATACATTATCTTTGTCCATTGTTTTGATACATTATCTTTGTCCATTGTTTTGATACATTATCTTTGTCCATTGTTTTGATACATTATCTTTGTCCATTGTTTTGATACATTATCTTTGTCCATTGTTTTTTATCAATATTTGAAACACATAAATGCAAGTGTTGTAGACCAATCCAATTTGAACTTATTGTCAATGATAACAATTATACAGACAAATTACTTAGGTTTTCATTCATGAGCTTTGCATTGAGCCATTGATATGATAATGTATAAAGTGACTATTCAAAGGGTCTACTAGAAAACATGATATTAATGGTCATGCAAACTTCTTAGGGATCACCCTTCTTCCAGATTTAGAAATTTCTTATGATTGAATGGAGATTAGTATTGGCCAATTTTAATTTTATGTCTTATTTGTTTTTAGTTTTGTATTATAAACCTGTTGGAGGAGGAGGTCTTTATAAATTTTAACCCAAATTATTAGTGTCATGAACCATTTATTCAACAACTCAGTATCTGGATGTGTAAGTGCTCTCCCCTCCCTCTGTTATTTTATCTATCTAACAATCATACCAGCAATTTGGTCAGTTGTTCACTATACAACATAACTGCATTAACTGCAAAGTCCCTTGACATACTGGACAGTTAGGCGATTTTCAGAAATCCTAGATTTATCCATATTGCAATCTTAAGTTCCCATCAGATTCCTGTTCATAATGTCAAGGATTTATTGGAAGGAAACATTTTGTGACATTTTTATTGTGATTAATGAGAAAAAGCTAATACATGTACTAATTTGGACATTTTGCTAATTCCTGAAAGAGATATTTTAGATTCATGAAATAACCTGAATACATATGCATAAAGTATCTTCAACCTTGGGCCAAGTAGACATTCCAGAATAAACATTTATTTAATAGATGCTCTAATCTTTGAGCAACTCCTCCTAAAACATACAGTCCTCATTAAAAACTGTGAGTGGCTCAATACTAAAGTGTAGCTTCATAAAAAAACTAAAGTGTTTCTTTTTTTTCAGAACTGAATATTGTACAAAATTTAAACATTTTGTTTATTCAATTTTTCAAAATGTTTCTTTCAGACTTTCTCCAGAAGGTGTGGACATTGTTTTAGACTGTATGTGTGGCGAGGATACGAATAAAGGCATTTCTCTGCTGAAACCTATGGGAAAATATATCCTATATGGTATGTTAAATACAGACATTAACCTGTCACAAGATATCAAAATAAAGCCTTATACATGCTAAAAGCCTATATAGTGCAGCATAATTTAAGAATTTTATGCAAGTTTAAGGCTGTCGATTTTATGCACATTGAAGGCTGTAGTAACTTTATACTACAAGTTATATTGTGTTGCCATGCATTTTTGGCTATTATGCCATAATATGAACTTCATATTATAAAGATTTTTTCAAAGGTTGTATGGCCTTTGAGTTTAAACAGTTGTTAGCCTATACAACAGAAGCTGCAAGCCAAGAAATTACATTTATTCATGGCCATATAAGATTTCAAAAGTCTTTCTATCAGCCAGGTTTTCAATTTTGAAATTCCTTGTTATAAAATTGGCAAATGATGGGCAGGCAGGCATTCGGGAGGGTGTCAAACTGATGGTTTCTGGTTGATAACTAGAGTTTAGAATCAAATATTGTAAAAGAACTTAGTATGTAACAAGCTTTAAATTAGCTTATGTAGAGACTTTACTTTGGATTGTTTTTGGGCCCCCTTGGGTCAAGGTCAAGGTCACTCTTACTAAAAATAGGCAAAAAGTTGTTTCCATAGTAAATGTTACCAGTTCAGATGGTAGCTCAAATCAGATGTCATGACATCACCACAAGTGATAAAACAGATAAGATCAATGTATACAATAGAAATTTTAGACTTATTAGGTTTAAAGTTCCATAGCTAGTTCCAGAATGTAATGTTTCATTAAAGTCTTTATCTGGAATTTCTAATATGTTGTATCCTTTTGCTTTTGAGCTCAATAGATGGAGCATTGGATTTGTAATCTAGGGTTTGCTTGTTCAATCCTCTGGTTAGGCAAAATTTCTTCATGACAATTGATATTGTAGAAAAAGGCCACTTTTAAAAAAAATGGAATTTTCAGAGAAGTCCTGTAAACTAAAATACAATGTTTCTTCATGAAATTTATATATACTGCATAAGCAATTTGCCTTTGTATTCATGAGTTGCTAGCAAATTTTAATCGGACATGTACATGTTTCTATGAATAATAAATAAGTTGCAGTGCATATTCTAGAACAATTCTTTCTTGATTGTCTGCTTAATATCAATAATCTCAGATACTTTTACTGTAGCAGTTTTATATCATACATATTATATGAAGTAACTTCTTCATCAGAAAGCAATAGGTTTCTTTTATTAGTTTTCTGACAGCATTATATTCAGATACATAAAAGAAATAGCCTTTGTATATGTATAATGATTTTATAGTCTGATACCAACATGATTGATGGATATAAAATGATGATAATATTAAAATCAAGATTTTTATTAGCTTGTCTGTTTTGAAGAAAAAATTGAGCATTTATGATTGCTGCAGCATTGTTGTTGTTATGCAAAAACTTGAATGTAGCCCATTATTCAAATATTTTGAAAGTTATCAACACGACAAGGTGCAGTTGTTAAACAAGGGGCATAATTTCGAAAGGAATATTTTTAGAGTTATTAATTGGAGAATTTTTTAACAGAATAGGCATTAAGATCACATGTCAAAAGATAAACACATACAATATTATAAAAGTACATAAAACATGTATACTTATTTTAAGCTCCGCCTTCTGACTAAAAAACAACAACAACACTACCACCAAAAAAAAGCTATTGACATATTTTAATTATATTGACAAATAAGGGATACTAATTAACAAATACTTGTGAGTGAAATACTAGAGCAATCGGAATGGCACATAAAATTTTCTTCTACTAAATGTGCACCTTAAATTAACACTCTTCCAAACAGATGAATGAAATAAATGCGTAATAAATGGGTACTGTAATAAATGGAAGAAGTAATTAAACTTACAGAATACTTTTTTTGATAATATGAATAAAATAAGTTTAAAAAAACCCCTGACATTTTGCTTCGTTTCAGGTTCGTCTAATATAGTTACCGGGGAAACGAAGAGCTTCTTTAGCTTTGCAAAGTCTGTAAGTATTTCCGTCACCTAAAATATACCTCTTTTACATCACAATAATATTGTCTGTTTTCCAACTGATTAAATTTGACACCCAATTAAATTTGACACTCAATTTATTTTTCATTGAAAATGAATTTCAATTTAAGAGATGAACAAGTACCAGGTGTAAAGTAATTTCCATGAAAAGCCACTGCCTACCGGCTGTAACTGGTTTATTAATAAAAGCTTTCCAAGTATCTCTTCAATAGGAAACAAAAACGTTCTGACTTAAATTATTTTTGTCTCGATAGTTTTATAGACAAAAGGCTATATTATGAGTTTCATTAAGCACTAAAATTGATTGCATGTATTATTAATGATGTTTATTTTTTGCAGAAAACTACAGTAAGGTCAAAGTTACAGACTTTAAGGAATTTGGGCATTTTTTTTGCTTTTGTTTGTTTTCCAGACATTTTTTACCTTTCATAATATTGGAATTAAGGTTTAAAGTCATAATTATATTTTTCTTTGTTATCTTTTTATGATTTTTAACCATATTTTTAGATTGTTTTTAAAGAAAAAATGACCACTGCATTTAAGTTTTGTTTATTTATAACCTGGAGTTGGGTTAGGGAGAACTAGAATCTTTAACTCTTTGTCAATATTTTGGGCATTTAACTTTAATGCTTTATTTAATTTTGAGGGATATCAATCATAATTGAATGTGATTGACATGTATAAACATTTGGTTGGTTACAAGGGTATTCATTATATAATAATTACTGCTATAAATTGTTCATAGGATTGAAAAATGAATAGATATATCATATCTGTGAAAAAAAAATTAAAGTGACTTTATACATGAAGGGATGATAAGCAAAGGTTTGTGTGTTCAAACCCATTCACTGGAAGAGTTACATTGTTTTATTTGCCAGGGATATTTCTAAGATTTACAGGAATTTACAATTACATTTTAGTGTGGGATATAAAATGATTTCTTATTTTGACTTTATTTTGATGCATATCTTTTTCATGACTATAAGAATTGTAGAAATACTGTTCCAAATTAGTGTTAAATAACACTATTACACCCTGAAAAATACTTAAACAAGAAAACACAATCATGTTTAAGCCTATCAGCAAAAGACCTCATTTTTTGATGAAATATAGATAATGAAAGTTCTTAATTAAACTGGTAAGTTGCACATCATTTTCAAGGAATTGAACTTCATGAAAATTGACTTGAAAATCATTCGCACATCATGTCATGTTATTCTCAGCTGTTATAAGAGATTAATTGGATGTACACACAAATGAAGTTTCTTACTTGTACCGAATAAGGTCTATTAACCTCAAAACCACAATTCTCAAAAGATGATGTCAGTGTGGATCTACTTGGTAATTTGGGTGGGTTGAGAATATGATTATGTTTTGTAGGGAGTTAAATTGATTTACAATATCAATAAATGTGACCATAAATAGCCTGTTTTGCACTCTATTTTCTTTCGATTTAAATGTTTTAACAAATATAAACAACATTACAGTGGTGGCAAGTGGACAAGGTGAGTCCGATAAAGCTTTATGATGAGAATAAAACAATATCGGGATTTCAGCTGCGAAACCTGGCCTTCCAGCAAAATCAAGATGCATACATCCGTGGTGTGATGAATGAACTCTTCAAACTGTACACCCAAGGCAAAATTCACCCAGTTATTGATTCATCCTACGCTTTTGAAGATGTAAGTTACCTAAATTCAGGTTTTTGTTGTTGTTTTTTCCTTCAATCAATTGTCCTTTCCCATGCTCAAAGTCTGTATATTGTATCCTTGCACTATTTAGAATTTGTAACAAGTCATAAGAAGTGATTTCAAAATCAGAATACTAAAATTAAGGTTGTAAATCAGGCAAAAGTACAATCATACCTTAGCAGGCAAAAGTACAATCATGCCTTAGCTTTTTTGTCTGACTCATTTATTAGCTCATTTGAGCACAAAGTGCTTTACAGGTGAGCTTTTGTGATGGCAATCTGTCTCTTTGCCATTGTCCCTTGTTGTCGTTATCCACAATATTGACAATGATCCTCAGGTTGTTATCTACAAAAGTTATACCGGTTCCAGTCTGATGCATAGGTAGGTCATAGAAGCTTAAAGAAACTTTAAAAATGAACTTCTTCTCAAAGGTCCCTTGTGGTCCTCTACAAAAGTTAATGAATTATGACCTTGGGGTGGAAATTTGCCCAGCCCCTGGGTGTCACATTATTTACATGTGTCCTTTGGGTGGAAATTTGCCTAGCCCCTTGGGGTCACATTATATACATGTGTATAAACTTATATAGGAGATTAAATTATATCTGTTTTTGTGAAATTGCAATGCTCAAATTAACAATATTTTGCATGTAGCATTAAAATAAAAGCATTGAAAATGGACCTTTTCAAAAGTTGTCATGCCCCTGGTGTCAAAAATGGTCCAGCCCTCAGGGTCATTTAGTTTACATAGATAGTAATAATAGTAAAAAATGTTGTTGTTTTTTTTTTTTAATTCTTGGGGACTACAATGCCAAGAGCTTTAGTTATTTGGCATGTGGTCCTATACAAAAGTTATATAAATCATGCCCCTGTAATTAAGATCATGCCCCGGGAGTCAAGATTTTTCACTTAGCGTGTTCAGGGCAACTGAATCTAAACAGAAGCGTAACTGTGCAGACTAATAATATATCAGCAGAACAGTTGCACTGTCTGATCAGATTAATTGGTCTAAATTGTTCCTTATTCATGCAGTCTTTATATAAATTTATGAATGGTTTAAAAAAATTGAAAGTCCTTTTTTTAAAGATATTTAGTGCGGTAAAGGTTTAATATTGTTAAAGCAACAAAAAGTTTTCAATGATAATTAAATTATTACTTTTGACATACAAGCTCAAAATTCATAAAATACAGATGAATTTTGTCATATATGGCATTTTACATTGGTGTATGTAACCGCAATTCTTAATGTTCACAAAGATGGATGGGCAGTTTAATTATTCTGACTTGAGATCTTCATGCTGGAGAGTAATATCCTGTCAATTTGTGTTTAACCTCTAGTTTTTTCCAGTCTAGTATATATCCATTTTAAAACAAATTTCCACACCCTGCTATCTAGAACATTCTGTAATGAAATTGCTTTTCTGTGGAGACAGCAGTTTGTGTCTGATGTATTTGTTTATTAACATTCTGGTTAGATCATACATGTGAACTTTTTCGATGATCAAGGTTTTCTCCAAAAAGAGGGAAATTTTAGAATTTGCAATAAACAAAGAACAAAGTACTGACATCAAAAATAGGGAGATTTCTTTAATTTGTGAAAAATACCCCTTATTTTAAGAAAAATCTTTGAAAATATGGCTGCAGAATGTGGGAGTTTCCCGCTAAAAGTGGGAGAGTTCACATGTATGTTAGATTTTTGAGGTAAAGCTTTTAAGGAACATATCATAATGTTAGTAAATAAAGTGTATTGGATTTTTTAAAATTTCATTTCATGTTTTTCTTCACAACTCTGTCAGGTATTGAATATACAGTAAGTTGTTTTTTTTCATAGTAAAATGTTCATATTCATCATTATAAGTATTCAGTGACACAATATTAGTAATGTACTAAGACTATGTTGAGGTGTAAGCTTGGTTTGAATGTATGATTAGGCCAGCTTCTAAAGGTGTCAAGCGGTGTGCCTGCACCTACATTTTTCTCAAGTTTGATTTTCTTGAATAATTTTTGCTCATCAAGAGGCATGCAGCTTTATCACAGGTGGTGTCAGTATTTGTTTTTCAGCAGAAAATACCCCCAAACAGTAAAAACAAGTTAATTGTAGATTGGTAAATCCATTGCCACTCTCAAAATGAAGTTGATTTTTATACTTTTTGAAAATGCAACATCTCTGGAAACGTTTATTTGAGAATATATGGTTATTTAAAATAAAATGTTTTCACATTATTGTATAAAAGTAATTGATAGTTATTTGTATTTTCCTGGAAAAAAAGTGTTACTAAGGCATACCAGCCTATAAAGGAAGCTACCCCCTGGTATTAAAAGAAATGTAGATTAGTATGCCAGAGAAAAGGACTTAGTGGTTTACTCAATTTTTTGCCAAAAGTTATAGTAGCCATTACATAAATTATCCTTTGTAAAACATTTGTCGAAGTTTGTAATGCCATTGGTTATTACCAACTTATCGTTCTTTTAATGGGAGAATTAATTTCATCCATCTGAAGGTATGAACCATTTGCTTAAAAAAACTTTTTTTCTTTGTCTAAAGTTTCATATTATTTTCTTTGACCTTAATTTGTATACTGTTACATTTATAGATTGCTGATGCAATGATGAAGATGCATGATAGGAAAAATATCGGCAAGCTGATCCTTGATCCAACCATGGAACCCAAACCTAAAGTACAGGTAAGTTTATAGACAAACCTAAAGTGGATGTAAGTAGCAAAGAAGTACTCAAACCTAAAGTGTAGATAGGTTTATACCTAAACCTTAAGACAGTGCATATTGGATTATACTAAAAGCTAAGGTGCAGAACAGTTTATACCTAAACTGCAAATAGTTTTATACCTAAACTGCAAATAATTTATACCTAAACCTAAAGTGCAGATAAGTTGATACCCAAACCTAAAGTGCAGATGAGTTTATATCTAAAATTTAAGTGTAGGTAAGTGTAAGTTGTTGTTTAAATATGATATAGAGGATATTTGTTTAGTTCAGTGTAAGGTCGATATATATACTGAGTGAGCACCATAAGGAATATTTCACGAGTGGTGCAGCCATGAGTTAAATATAAACCTTTGGTGTTCACAGGTAAAATATATTTTGATCTTACAGTAAACTTAACAAATTTTCTTTTTATTATATGCAAAGAAACGTTTAAAAAGACATTTTAACCTGTTACTAAATGAAAATCGCGCCAAACAATAATACAATGTGATGTCATTTACGACGTCACATCATTAAGTTGTTTTCCAGTACTATGCACGCTGGTATTTCATTGAAACAACAAAACGGGCTTAAATCCAAAACAGTGAAAAATATCAAATTGATAACAGTGAAATATCAGTTTTATATTTCACTGATATTTTTCTTTAAACCACAGAAAAGCATGTAATAAAGGTTAGTATTATATGATTTATTTATTTCAGAGTGCTCCCTCTGTAGAAGGTGCTTCCCCTCCTGATCAGAACAAAGATGATAAGGAGGAAAACAAAGATGGTGTGGTCAATGGCGAGCAACAATAATGAAATATTTCCATCTCGTATGGCTATGTTTTCTCTGTCTGTGTAGACATTATATTCCCAAAGCTTTTTTGCTTGTTGAGACATTTGTACCGAATGAACTTTATGCTGAATTGAATTAGTGACAGTGATTAGTACTTTATTGAATAAAATATTTTTGTTTACAAATCTAATGTAGTGTAGGGTAAGATTTTTTTTTGCATGTTTTCAACATGCATACAAATGTAGTTCAGATTATTATATAAAAGGCTAGAAATGGTTTTAAGGAATTTAGTAAACAACATTTAGATAAAGGAAATATACACCATATTAGTCAGCAACCAACTCTTTTACTAATTATCATTACAAACTTATCATAACCTAAATGTCATTTCTTAAACAAAATCTGAACTTAATATCATTACTAAAACAAAATCAGAACTAAATATGTCATTACTTAAACAAAATCATTTAGAAACAAAATCTGAACTAAATGTCATAACTTCAACAAAATCTGAACTTAATGTCATTACTTCAACAAAAGCTTAACTAAATGTCATTACTAAAACAAAATCTGAACTAAATGTCATTACTAAAACAAAACCTGAATTAATTGTCATTACTGAAACAAAAACTGAATTAATTGTCATTACTTAAACAAAATCTGAACTAAATGTCATTACTAAAACAAAATCTGAACTAAATGTCATTACTTAAACAAAATCTGAACTAAATGTCATTACTAAAACAAAATCTGAACTAAATGTCATTACTAAAACAAAATCTGAACTAAATGTCATTACTAAAACAAAACCTGAATTAATTGTCATTACTGAAACAAAAACTAAATTAATTGTCATTACTTAAACAAAATCTGAACTAAATGTCATTTACTGAAACAAAATTGATAAACTAAATATCATTACTAAAACAAGCTTTGAACTAAAAGCCAATTTTCTTAAACAAAATCTTAACTGAATGTCGTTACTAAAACATTGTTCCAAATTGTATATCAATTATAGAATCAATTACTGAATTTCATTTTAAATTTCTTAAATTTAATTCTACACTTATTTCTAAAGTATATATATCATTTATTGCATACTGGTACTAAATATTCCAACTGAATATCTTTGTGGACCAAAAGTCATTGTTCTGAAATAAAGATATTGCTAAAACTTTTTCGCAAGTACATTTTTACATTATATTCTAAATATCAAGACTGCTGCAAATAATCTTATAACCCAACAATAGTTGGTTCTTTCTTAGGCATCAGACGATACACCATATGAAAGATTCCTATGTTGTGATTGTTGTTGTTGTTAAAACATTGTACATTTATATCAGTCTGAATGTTTAAGTTTGTCACTTTTTTATAGTATTTTTTTTATCATTTTGTCTTAATTACCCTGCTGAATTTTTGTAATTGACTTGCCTTGATTATTACTTTGGGAACAATCCATTAATAGTTTTATCATTAAAATACCAAATATGTTTCACACACATGGTGGCCAAACTGGAAGCATAAGTATAAAAACTTCTTCTGACAACATATTCTTTTAAATAAATATACAAAATATTTATCATATCAGGTTCTCCTGGAAATATCAAAATAGTATATGAAGCCAAAAAAAATTAATGTTTTTGTTCGTTTGTTATTTGTTTGTTAAGTTTTCAATATTTACTATTTTTAATTGTTATTAAAGGAATGATATTGACCCAACAATACCTCTAAGTCTTTTATGTGATCACAAAATAATTTACCCGTAATTAAACCTTGACCTTTTTTTTAATAATGTAACTATTATGTCAATTGAACGTTTATGATTTCTCACCCTACTAAAAAAAAATGCTAACAAAGTATTGTCCAGTAGATATAGTATAATGTTTCTTTGTTGCTATGAATCCTTTCTCTGAACTGATAACTGCAATATTTTCTATATATATTGAAATCCACCTTTATTCAAACATTCCATGAATAGTCACACCAAAAAGATTTTCCCTTAAAAACAATAAATATTAATTGATGTATTTGCCTCAATTGCATTAATTAGCTTCCAAAAATGCCAGCTTTTGTCATTTTTAGCTAAAATCAAATGTATAAGATAATTTTACTGTTATTTTTGTATGATAAAAAAGTTGTTTGGTTCATTTATTAGTAACAGAGAAATGAGAAATGCATTACTGAGTTTTATTTAAAAAGGACTTTGTCTAATTTTTATGTGACATGTAGGTATCCAATGTTTATTGTTGAGTGCCCTCCCTTAGTCATATTTCAAGACTTTAAAGGTAAACTTTAAACAATTTTTTATATCATAAATATAATGCTCAAATGAAGATTTATCAATATTATAAGTTCCAAAAGCATTATTTGTAAAGATATTACCGAATTTACATTTCATGTTAATAAAGGGAGGTAATTAGAAATTTATTTTCTATAAAGTCTAATTCAAATTTTTCAATAAGAAATGAATGCATATATTTTAATGATTACATATAATGTGGACAAATATTTGCAGTACATGTTTTACATATTCTTCGATGTTTGAAAGCATAATTATATACATATATAAAATTTCACTTAAGTGTGGTAACAATCTTAATTACAACATACAGGATCTTTAAAGCTTTATCCAAAATGTAAAAGTATGTTTAAATCTGAAAAAAAGATAAAAAAAACAAACCCTACTGAAAAGTGTAACCGATTTATCTTGCCAAACAACATTTGATTGGCCAGCCAACGCTCTCTTCCTAATTTGCCAAAAAATCTAGGATTTTTACATTAAAAAAATAAATGAAACCACTGATTTATCATTCTATATCGGATATTTTCTCAAAAATACCAACCTGGAAATACCAATACAATAGTCACCTGTTATTGTTTTGTTTGTTGTTAGTGCAATATCGTATTTATAAGTACATTGCAATGGTGCTTTGTAATGTAATGTGTTAAAAAGATTTGAAATATTTATAGTATATTATAAATATATGTATACATAGCTATATATTTAAATGATTATTATTTATTCAATGTGTTTACCCTTATATTGTAATAAATGTATGTACAATAAAAGAAATGTTGTTGAACTTTGATATCTTTCACTGAGGATCTTTAATTTTTTAAGCTTTTTGGAGCATTGTAAGTGCTTCAAGGTGAGCTTTTATATTTGCAATGTGTCTCTCGTTCCAAGTCCTTAGATTAACATTGTATCATCCGAAACCACTAGGTGCACATTGAAAAAACTTCACAGGAATGATTCTTAGGTAACCCTTGAGTCAATATTTATATGTTTCATACACTGACACAATGGGTGGCAGTGCATGGGTCAAAAGATATATAAGTATTCTTAAAATATTCTCTTTGGAACATTCTCCATTCTCCATAGAGCTTAGATATTTTGATTGTAGCATCATCTTGCAGTCCTCTACAAAGTTTACATTATTCATTTTCCTTGGGTCTAAATTGCTTCCACCCAAAAGGTCACTTAATGTAGAGACATATACTTTATGCTGTTATATGTCTAAAAATCTTTTGAAATTACAATACATGTACTAGGAGCATATATATATTTGGTATAGTGCAACACATGCAAGTTAATTACGTTAGCTAAATAGATAATGCCGCTGGGCTGAAGAATGCCCATAGCTGAGATACTTTGCATTGAGAGCTTAGATATTTAGTATTTACAACGTTACATTGAAGACCTCTACAAAACTTATATTTGATTTTTTCCAAAGGATAAAGTTTGCCCATCCCGGGCCACTTTCTATAGACTTATAAATGAAAATCTCCTTACGTACGATGCTCGGAGCTTAAATATTTGGTTGAAGTTTTACCTCGTGCTCCTAGGATAATTTTAAGTGACCCTATCCTGATCGAGTTCGCTTATTATAGACTTTTATAGTAAACATGCTTTAAAATACCTTCTCCGAAACTACAATTCCCAGAGCATATACATTGTATGTACGTTGCAGCACAATCAATGTTGAAATTATATTTATTTTACCTACCTTTACGGTGAAAATTGGCCTCATCCTGAAGGTCAATAAGTTTATATAGACTTTAATAGAAAACACATTGTAGTTTTAGAAAGTAGCTATTTGGAATGAACTTTTATAAATTTTAGCCTGGAGTGAAAATTGGCCCGCCTTGGGGTCACTTATTTTATATAGACTTACAAAGCAAACAGTCATGTAAATATATTTTTCTCCTGAAACCTCAATGCCAAGAACATATAGATACATGTACATGCATGTACTATCACCTTTAGGTCCTCAACAAAAGTTATAAAAAGTATGCCCTAATTGGCTCGTCCCCGATGGCCAGTAAGCTTAGGTATAGCCTTACGAAGGGAACTACACTTAAGTCTAAAACTACAATGCCCTGAAGCATCATCACCTTGTATATCTCTAAATCAAGCCCCAATAGGGTACAAAGGCCTCATCCTGGGAACCGCTTTGTTAATAAAATATTAATAGTAAACATGTGATCAAAAATTATCTTCTCCGGAACTACAATGCCTAGATCATACATGCTCAGCATGAATCATAACCCTAAGTGTGCGTGAAATTTGAGTCGCCTCGATGGACACTAAGTTAACACAGAAATTTATATATATATAGTAACTAACATTTAAATATGGAGGACATCTACAAGAATTACTTAATTAAGTCATGCCCCTGGAGTCAAAAATGGCCTCGCATTTGGGCTCACTAAGTTAAATTAGACTTATATTTTTCTGGTCTTACGGGATCATCGATATTAGCACGTACGTACGTGTTAAAGATTGAATGCTGCTTTAGCCGGTGCTAGGGGGAGGGGGCGTGAGAGATATTACATTTTTTCATGGTCTTTCAGGAATATGCTCACTCAAACCGAGTCTGCAATTGCTATATTACCGGTACATTGTTGTTCTCCGTGCTTCCAGGGATCACTCTTTTCCAATTTGTTAAAGCTTCATAACAGCAGGTGTCAAGTGCTGATCGAGTGGCAGCTGTAAAAAGTTGCACCGTACATTAATTCTTCGACACCCTTGATACCAGTGCATGTAAGCGTTTTAAGATTAAATACTGCTTAATTCGGTGCTTGGGCGTGAGGGATGTTGCACTTTTTCATTATCCCTCATGTACAAACTCAAACCGAGTCGGAAATGTTCATGTAATTTTTGAAAAAAAAAATGTTGTGATTACGGCTTCCGAGGCGGGGGAGCATCCCGCCTTGACCGAAACCAGCTAAAACAGACTAGCTCTTCATAATCAAACGGGACCTATCCCAGCAGTGTTAGGAGCGATTCAAGACCACATGTACTGACCGCACGTCTTAAGATGTCCGTCGGAATTCTCGTATTTACACTAATGCAGCCTCGACCTCCAAAAATGACCTTCCTGGTTTTATCTATCGTGCCACTAAGTCTGAGACATGGCTTTAACATATGAGGTTCTTGTCTATCAAACAGGTAGTGTTATACTGACCGTCTTAAGATTAACGTCGGAATGGCACTCCTTAAAGAACGGCGCTTCATGTTTGAGCCGAGCAGGAACAAGAGTGGCTTCTGACATCTAAAAAAGAAAAAACAAACACAGAGGTCTAGGGCTTACACATGTATTTCGAGATCATTTAAAGATGAACCGCTAAATAATTGTACAACCATTGTTTTTAGTTTCGCGTTATAATTTTTTTCTTTACTTTGTCGCTCAACTGAGCCCGAATAGTTGGTGACTTACACAAAATGAAATAAAAGGATCTTTCCAATCCGACGAAACATGTCGCAGCATTCAGCAACATACTGGCCACCTGTTACACTATTTTAATCTCGATTCTGAACAATAATTAGCCTTTTTTGTTTTTTTCCACTGAATGAATGAGATGACGTATAGAAAGATCTGCCTATTTAACAAGTCGCTTAATTAATTCTAAGGCTTGAATTAAAAACCTGACCGTCTGGTCGAAATGCATGTGTGGCAGATTTTGATTATTTCTAAAACAATTTTATTTATCTTTTATTCATTAAAGTAATTTCTCTCTAAATTTCGTCTGTTTACGGTAAAGCATTTCAGATTCACTTAAATCCATGACTTTTCAAGTGTAAGATTGGTCCTCTTAAATTTTTGGTCATTTCAAGATTAATTATTTAATGTTACGCTTTTATGGTTTTTCTTATTTATTGATAATGTTTTCTTAAGTAATTGTTTAATTTGAAACTACCCCATTTCCTTTATTTTCTAGCATGAGATTTTTAGTGAGTTCACTTTTTGTCAGACTATATAAGAAAGATTTTGACCTTCTCAATTGCTTTTGCCTCAAGGACGCCAATGTAGCTTTTACCTAGTCAACGAGATAAGCCACAATTTTTACCAATGTAGGGTTTTTGTTTTGTTTCATTTTTGAATAAGAAATCTATTTTTATTATATTTTCTCAGGAGTGTTTTCCATTTAGTTGAATAAGAAACTTAAATAATTTAAATTAACTTTGCTTTCATATTAAACTGTAAATTATGACCAACGTATAGATTGTAGTAGATTTTGAAATGTTATAAACTAGAATAACGATATTTGAGAAATGTAAATTTAATAAAAGTCATCTAAATTGTGAATGATCTTTGTTTGATTGAAACCTTAGAGTTTATAGTTAACCCTGGTTTGCAAGGTTAGTAAACCTGCTACACATGTATTTACAGTGCTTTATTGTCTCTCACTGTCGAAAAACGATCCCTATATTTTTCTTCATGATTTCGTCGAGATATGAGTTCGAGTCATGGCTGTCTTTGAAAGCTCTTGCCTATCTATCAAGACCGAACGCAGCAGATCAGCGCACACTGACCATGACAAAATGCATGCACATGTATTTACATTGTCCAAAACAACACTACAACGTTTATCAAAAATATAAATGTGACTATCTTTATAAATTGAAAGCACAATATCAACAACGTATACAAACATTACCAAGGTTAAGTAGAAATATTTTTAATACCAGCTAGTTTTCGTTTATTTTTCTTCTTTCTGCGTCTTATATGCAGCGATGGCCATTACAAGACACCATAGTATTGACGGACAGCGTCGTCGCGGGTCATTGCATTTTGTATACATGTCTGTACAGTATGCTCTCTTTGAATATAAAAAAACGACTTGAATACATTATGACATTTAAAACTACCTATATTTAATAAAGTTTCAAATGCTCAACGAACACATCAAAATAACTAATGTTTGAAGGAACATAGTAAGACAAAAAAAACTACAAAAACACGTTTAATTAGGCCACAACTGGACCGTAACCTTTGATACGATTTGTTTACATCGGCACGTTAGTTTTATAGAAATCTAAACTATCGAACAATGGTCTTGGAATATTCTTTTGGGTCAGGTGAGCATTTATTTTTCAAATGTGTAATTGCAAACACTTTTAATTGTGTTCTTTATGTCTACCTTACATTTTCATGATTGATTGATAATAACATAAACTCATGCTCTGTTTGCCCTTTGGTGAATGTACATAAACTTAACTAGGTTTCCTTAAAATTGTTGTTGTTGTTGTTGTTGTTGTAGTGAAATGTCCTATATATTTATTTTTGCTTCGAACAGTCAGGTTATTTATAAATTTCTTTAATTGGGATAACTGAATTAACAGAACATTTTATTTAGCATACTTTAACAATAACTAAATATGTTTAAATATTGTAATTATTCAATACTTTTGATTGTCATTTGAGTGTGAATATAAAGGTCTTCTGGTAATACAGACTAAAATATGTTCTTCACATTTTAGACAGCGTTTACCCCGAGTTACAGCCAGGAGTTTTGAGATTATACAGTAACAGAGTTTGTCCTTTTGCCAAAAGAACGAGACTTGTACTTGAACATAAAAACATCCCGTACGTACGATTTATATCAAATTAATAATTATGATATTAATATATATGTTAGTATAATATGCGGCGAGATCTAATTAAGTGAAAAAAACTTGTATTATTATATATATATTGTTTAATTAAAATGTGTTGTTCACATGTAATGTATATTAATCTCATACCTTGTAAGATGTTTTTTTAAGATGTAACCATTGGACTCCAAGCGTCTACACCATGTGATCTTTCAACACGAATTCATTTATAGATAAAGTCTAATGTATATTTTCCAAAATATGATCTTTCAACACGAATTAATTTATAGATAAAGCCTTATGTATATTTTCCAAAATATCCCAATTATACTCCAACTCGCTTTGTTTGATTTGTTCATGTCAAAAAAAAGTAAACTTTTGACGTCTGCAGCATCATGCTTCAGTCGTTGTATTTGGATTTGGATCTGCTTAAATACAATGCTGATCATATTGGTACACAGCTGCAAAACTTATATTGTACTCATATTATTCAATAATGATAATTATGCAAATGTTTAATTTTAAGATGTCAACCTAATAGAACATGCTCAAATCATTGTGCTTAATTTTTATATATTTTCTAATTAATAATGGCTCATGTCTAATACTTCTTTCAGAAAAAAGTGATATAGAAATATCTCATTAATCATTGAATGATATTCGTGCAAGCTTAACTCTAATGATGTTGGCTGTAAGCGTCTGTGTTTTTTTCTCATCTAATGTTTCAAATCTATATAAAACCCCGAATGTTTGACGAACAAGAGCAATATGGGCAAGAAATCAGAATAAATCATTTAATTCTTACACTGGTCTATGACTTCTAAAACTAAATAACAAACATCATATCTAAGCTAAAAAATGTATGTTCCTTCAGAGCCAATAGTAAACATTTGAGCCGCGTCATGACAAAACCAACGTAATGCGTTTGCGACCAGCATGGATCAAGACCAGCCTGCACATCCGCGCAGCCTGATCAGGATCCATGTTGTTCGCTTACAAACCCTATAACAAGTAGAGAAACTGATAGCGAACAGTATGGATCCTGATCAGACTGCGCGAATGCGCTGGCTGGTCTGGAGTCATGCTGGTCGCAAACGCATTATGTTGGTTTTGTCATGACGCGGCTCATTTGTCTATTCCTTCGTTACAGATATGAAATAGTCAATATAAATTTGGCGGACAAGCCAAAATGGTACATAGAAAAAGTCAGCTGTCTCGGAATGGTTCCAGCAATTCAACATGATGATGTTATCGTCTTTGATTCTGTTATTGTTAATGAATATTTAGACGCTGTGTTCCCAAAAAATAAATTGATACCAGACGATCCTTACGCAGCTGCCAAGACAAAGATGTTTGCAGAAATTTGGTCAAGGGTAAAGTCACTTGATAAATTTAGTTAAGGCTCAACAATCAGACTCGATATTCTAATTCTAAAAATATATGAGCCGCGTCACGACAAAACCAACATAATGGGTTTGCGACCAGCATGGAATCAGACCAGCTTGCGCATCTGCGCAGTCTGATCAGGATCTATGCTGTTCGCTTACAAACCCTATAACAAGTAGAGAAACTGATAGCGAACAGCATGGATCCTGCGCGGATGCGCAAGCTGGTCTGGATCCATGCTGGTCGCAAACCCATTATGTTGGTTTTGTCATGGCACGGCTCAATTATTTTTTATTCCAGAATAGTAATTTTCAGACTATGCTGACTTTTGGACATATTGCTATTTGTAATTTGCAAAATTTAGGGTCAGAACTGTACCATTTAGAGTTATTTATGTACATGTATTTGAATGATTTTATTTATTTATTGTTAATCCTGATTTAAAATTCGGGTGATAATAATTATCATTATATATGTCAGCCGGTACATGTATTTCTAATTTTGTACAGTCTAACTGCAGACTCTTTAATGTTGGCTATTCAATTTAAGTATCAGTAAACTCACTTGAACTATTGACTGTTCTAATTTTCATGCACTTTTTGCAGGGAATGTATGGTGTGAAAAATAAGTTGAAATCCTTATAGAGCTATAGTTGTTATTTCACTTTAGGTACTGCGTGGTACTGGGAGAATATTTTCATGTTCCCCGGGAACTGAGGGGAATGTATTTCCTGATCTTTTAGCCAGCCTTGATGATATCGAAAATGAATTAAGACTTAAAGACACTCCTTTCTTCGGTGGTATGTACAAGTGTCTTGATTTATTTCTACTTATTAATCGAAATTTGGACTTCATTGGCTTTTGCTTCATGATATTTTAAAGTGTTTTTTTACGATCGAAGCATACATAATTAAATTCCTGACAGTATCAATTTTCGATCGCTTTAAATGTTTCATAATTATTCAAATAAAACAATATATACAAAACTAGCTGAGTGAAATTCATTTAGCATCCTTACTAATTAAAGTGTCATCATTTATGGTAATGTATAAACACCAAAGGTCCTCCAAGATACATATGCATGTACATTTATATATCCATAAATATGTCATCCCACTGGCCAGCAAGACTGTACAGGTGGAATGACAAGTTGTTGACCTTGAAAGTTGCAAATCATCTGTATTTACGATTTATTTCATCTTTTGCAGGACAAACACCTATGATGATAGATTTTCATATGTGGCCTCACATGGAGCGTATCGTTCATTATTCACAACTTTTTGAGGAATGCAAATTAGAAGACAGCAGATTTCATCATTTAAATGGTTGGGTTAAACGAATTACATCACTGCCCGCCGTTATAAAAACGAAAACACCGTTAGATTTGTTCCAATTATTTTATAAATCTTTGAAAGCTGGAAAGATCGACTATGACATTGGTCTGTCTAGATGAAAATAAAAGACAAAAGGATTAATTCCTTTAGCAATTTACTATTGAAACATTATTTGACCTCTGCAAATAAATGATTTATAAAAAAGAATTTATTTACTTTTACGTCTCCTGTTGGATCACTTTCCTGTTTGAAAAGAAAGCAATTAATGTTCAGCATTTTTCCTAGATGCCATCTTTGATACAGTAATTCTATGATCAAAGAGAATGGACGCTTCCTAAATATTAAAACATGGCACTCATATATTACTTGCTTGTGAGATCTTGCAATCGAGTGTGATACGCAGAGCCAGTAAATATTTAATATCTATCCTAATGAACTACAACGGGATAAAACGAATTCCATCATTTTTGGATCTTTATATTTTCTTGTTACAATCAATAATTACATAGGAGGGGTGATATTGTTTTTGGTAAAGTAAGGTGTCTTCATCTAGATGGAGATGTACCCAATGCAACATCTTCGGAGTATATGTATCCCAGTTACTAGCATTTAGATTCGCTTGGGCTTTTTGTAGCCATGTGAACAATTTTTATGAACGGAATATTTGCCTAACAAGTAAGATTCTCAAACAGGGCTACCGCTATCATAAATTACTGAAATATTCTACTAAATTTTATTATCGTAATTTCGATTTAATTTCAAAATTTTAGAGATTTGAAACTCTTCGTAAGATATTGGGTCATGGTTATTTTATGCTGTCTTTTATAAAACGTTTTATTAAAAAGAGGTTATATGATCCTACTATTTTAAGACATACCGAATGCTTAGTGTTCAAACCGTTTACAGTTGGACACTACGCTTTCCTCATTTGATTACAACTGACGGATCAAGTGGAAGACTATGACGGACAGTTCTTAAAGCCTATTGGGACTGAATTGTCATAATTTTCGTCTTCTGCCTTGCTTCGTCGGGTAATTGTAGGTGATATTCTTGCTGCTCTGTCTTCCTTTAAGACACCGAGTACTTGTGTTATGGTTATTGGGTTTCCTTTCCGTCCCCCATCACCGTTCATGCTTTGCCCTTGTGTCTTTTCCTGTTTTTATTTGGTGTCCTGCTGGGCTTTTTGTCGGTCGTCCAGTGTTACTGGGTTGTGTTGGGAGATATACGTTCATTGAATGCCGCCCTTCCTTTCATAAAGTTTACGGTTTGCTAGCAGTGGAACTAATCTGATTCACGTGTATTTTTTCCAGTTAAGTTCAGAAGTGATGTTAACACCAAAGTATTTTGCATCACCTATTGGTGTTAGTGTTTGACTATTACGTATGTAACTTGATTTATGGGTATGTTTTGAATACAATTTACGCATTAAGATATAGGCTTAATTCCATATCCAGTATGTTCTCCCACTGGTGTAACCTATTCAGATCCCCTTGTATTATGTGTTCTTGCGTGTTGCTTTTGATCGTGAAATCAACAGCAGTGTCATCAGCAAATAACACTTAATATGACGGATATCTCGTCAGACTTGCAGCTTGTCACCATTGACTTAAATAGATGGTGACCTATGAGAAAAGATTAAACCAGCTGCCAATTGTAGCGTGCAGTCTTGTATGTTATGTCGGTTTAACATGTATAGTAAAAATAAATGATTTTCTTAATTAATTAAATGCTCTGAGAAGGAGAGGAGTATAACATATGTTTTGTGAGCTAGAATTAAGTTCCTAGATAGATCCTTAACAAGTCCTAATAATTACATAGTCTGCTTGACTTTTTAAACCTGGATCCATGTTGGAGGTCAAACAAAATATTTTTTCCTGTTGGCTCCTTGTCGGTGGTCCTGTGTTTAATAAGCGTTCATTAAATGCTGTCCGTCCTTGTTGATTTTTTATATTTTAGCCTGGAAGTGCTTTATAATATTTTATGCCACAATACATGTATGTTCCATCACGTGCCAAGAGAATGGGTCTGTAGTTTGTAGAGTTGCTTAATCACCTTTCTTAAATATGAGGTGACGTCGCCTCGGACTATTCGGAGGGGATAGTGTCTGTATCTCGTGATTTTGGGAAAATTTTGGTAAAGGAAGCTGTCTGCACAGCTCGATTTTTTTTACCGTTGGTTTCAAATTGTATGTGTTGCAAGCTTTGAAATCTGCAAAAAGGTTAAAAGCTTTTGGACACCACTTTTACATTGTCTGTGAGTTCAGGCATCGTTGCATATAGGGGCTTAAAGGTGTTTCTAAGCAGGTTTTCTTTCCCCATTCTCCTTCCCCTGTGTATGTAGAAAGCCCAAAACAAATGATTATACCTACTGACCGGCTGCCGATGTCCTGACTGAAGCCGAGGGGGGTGGCTCTACAAAGTAGGCAGAGACGACTAGCTAGGAAGGGTACATGAACCCCTAGTACGCAGAGAAGGCTTTAATGGTGTCTTTGCGGACATCAACAGCTCTGTAAAGGCTACATGGCAGTTTCACATTGCCTCTATAAATGCTTATTAGCCGCTTTACTGCTAGTAACTTAGTTTAGGCTCAAAGTTCATACCTTTGGCTAACACTCTACAGAACCTGCATGGAGATAAATTATCAATGCTTTTTCACTTCAAACCCTTTAAGGACATGGCAGGTGACGGGCTTCTGTATTTCTTTTTCCTTTTGGCCTCCAGTGGGCCATTAAGGGTACCGACCATATTTGATAGATCTAGAGAGCCATCTCATGATCTTTCCCAGATACATGAGATTGTACACGTCTATTGGTCTGAACCATTCAACATGCGAAAAACAATGTACGGTGAATTATATGACAAGGATATGAAACTATTCATCTTTAGGTATGAACAAAAATATAATATTGAATTTTAAGAAAGTTGATAAAGAAAATAATGAAGCACTTTCTCTTTCCGTGATTAGCCTCTTAAATTTGAAGATTTACATTTATATAATATATATTATGCACATTCTTACAGCTACACCGACATTTTTCAAAGAAAGTAGTTCGACGAAATTCAAGCTAATATATATCATTATGTCAACAATTTGCGGCGCCTATTTGACAGCGATACATATTGATTTATGAATTATAGTTTTAACATTTAAATTAACCTGAAATGATGATGTTGTTGATTATAATTTGTTGAGTGACATAGCGCATTAATATTTTGTTTTCAGTCGTCCAAGATGGTGGCTGGCATTCGACGTGTCAAAGAAATTAAACATCCGGAAATGGTTTTCTCACATTTTATATTGTTTTATAGCATATTCTTTTGTGCAGTGTGTAAGGTAAATACCGCAAATTTACCTCCTTACGAAGTTAAGAACAATGCTGGTAATGTTCCAAATCCACAAATTCAGAATGTCAACATGCAGGCTCAACAAAATCTAGCCGGTGCAGCTGGAGGCGGTGCAAACCTTAATAACATACCAATCCATCAGGATATTAAGAAACCCTTTGGCATGGGTAATAATATGAATCTTGGACAACAACATGACAATCAGCCCAATATGGTACTAGGTGGGCAAGCTGGCCAGCAAAGACCCATTGGTGCACGTAAAAACATCATGTTGTCAACACACCCTGATTGCCAAGAAGATGTAGAAGCGCTGTGCAATACTGACAATTTAAGAAAGAACAACTTTGCAGTTTTGGATTGTTTGCAAGCTGATATTGATATCCAGGTACAGAGTCCTAAACTTTTTATCAGCCCTAGTCGCAGAGAAACATAATTTAATCACAATGATCTTTGTGGTAAGGAAGTGGCTAGCCGTACGGGCCCGTACGGCTAGCCAAAAGTTCTAGCCGTACGTGAGGCACTTTTCAAAAATATATGGAAGGCGAAAGTGCATATGTTAATTATGACTTTAAGCGAGGGTTTTAGTCAAGAATGTTTACTTTTTAGAGATTAATCGACGTGTTGGCTACGCAAACAGGACGTTTCGGCCCCAAACCAAATCGGCCCCAGTCGAAAAATCGGCCCCTGGACGTTTCAGTAAAGAATTTACTTTGTCATCTCAAGACGTCGAGAAAAAATAGCGTTTGGTTGCAGTTAAATAACATCTATTGAAATAGTTTACAAAATTTGATAATAATCCTTTTTTGTTTCATTAAGTTTAATTTTTAAACTGAAAAAAAAAAACCACCAAAAAAATTGTTGTTGGGCTCTGATAATTGCGTCAATTACCGACGGTATAGAAGTTTGTCCATCGTCCATCATTAAGAAAAGTTTGCATTATTAAATTATTTTTCCTTTTCACCGTTTTTTTTTTAAATATTCTTTTTATTTATTTATTTATTTATTCCCCTCCGATCATTATTTATTCGATCCATGTGCTTAATTAACAGATTTAACAATTCATCTTTCATACAAATCATAAGCATGAAAATTAAGGACGTTATAACATGCAACTTTGACACTCAATTTTATTAAGATAGATTATACAACGCTTACTCGTATTCATTTTTTGTGCAAAATTGCGGAGCATCTTTATTAAAGTGAACACACTAGGACAAATGCGGAGATTTGATTAAAATCGTTGTTTAAAGACACAAAATAACAAATGCATTTTCGACTTCCATATAATTTTGAAAAGTGCCGTACGGCTAGCCAATACAGTGTGTCCAGGCTAGTCGTACGTGACTCACGTACGGCTAGAACTTTTGGCTAGCCACTTCCTTGTGGTAAAGGGTCAACTTGGTCCTATTTACCAACTCGGCATGGGTCAACTCGGCCCTCTATTAAAAAGCTTGTAGGATAATATGAAAATAGGTGCTACCTATGCCACGAAAAGCTCTTATGAATTATGATTTTAGCATAACATGTTTAGTGTACATGTAAGCCAGATATTTCTTGCTGTTATTTTGTACCATAAACAAAACAAATAAATTGGTGGTCAGGTGTTTAAACTAATATCTGAGTGCTCGGAATATTTCGAAAATCTCCGTACGTAAAGAGGGGGCCACTGTGCATGCGTCGGCGCCTTGAAAATCCCCTCCATCATTTTTGTTAATCTCTAGGCACAGTTGTTGTTTTAACGTTATTTTTAATGTGCTAATTTATCAAAAAGGATATGTTAAAGTAACTTTCAGGGACTAGCTTGGACTGAAAATTAGGGAGACGTGACTTCTCCCTTCAGGAAAAATAGGGAGAAGTTTTGAAATAATCGTTGCTATAGTTCTTATCTATGAAATGCAAGTTGGGATTTTCTGATTTTGTACATCATTCTTTCACCGGAAGTGATACTAAGCATGCGTCTGCTAGCAATAGTCTGAATTGTGTAGACGCTCATTAAAAGAGCTCTGATATCTTTATTTAGCTAAAAGGATTTCAAAATGGCGGTGCCCAGTTAACTGAGGATTTTTCACAGCTTATTAGGTATAGGATATATGTTTTTTGAAATTTTCATTTAGTTTTAATTTCATTTGAATTGATACGCATCATGCATATTATCTCAGAGCGCTCAGGGCCCTCGATCAACCAAATCTGCGGTCGATATTCGGCCGCAGTCCCCCTACAAAATAGTATGTTTTTTCCCCCTAACAGAGGTAAAAATTCCCCCTCAAAACATATGAAGTGTTAAAGAGAAAAATGAAAACTAATGTTGATTTTGAAAATCAAAATCCATATACCGTAAAATTCCTATTAAACGCCCCCAGGGGCTAAACATTTTCCAAAAGGGGGGCTATTATTACAACACAGTTTTTCCTAAATCCAAAAATCATTGTAAATACATTTAGTGTTAGCAAGTGTTGGTAATAACATTAAAAAGTGTTAAGATTTTAAAGTTCATACTATAAAATAAAATGGATTCTATTTCTAAATGATTTGAATGAAATTATGGATTTATTCATGAGTTCAGCAGTGATGAGTAGATTGTTTTTCTTAGGGGGGCCTTTATTAGGGGAGGGGCCTTTAATAGGAATTTTACGGTATTTGACGTCTATTTTGTCAGGGCTTCCGTTAACGGGCGTACGGCCGTAAATTACGCCCGAAAATCGTATCTGTACGCCGAAAATTAAGATCAATGACGTACCGCTGACTTCCAAAAATTTAGGAATACGGCGAAAATCGTAAGCCGCGACGTACGCCACGACCATTTTCCGACCGTTTCTCACTTTCCTGGCGTACGATTGGATTATTTATTTAACTCCGCCCCCTTGACATGACAGCGATGGGTGAAATTATGCGAATGCACCTGGCGCGTGACGAATTAGCGAGTGTTGATTTATGACCTTGATAAGCGTGAAAACAAAGTGATTGGATTAATTGTTTGTTTTGTACGGATAATGGATAGTTAATTGACATAAACTGTGGTAGGTATCTGTTTTTACTTTAATTAGATAAAATGATTTATTCATTATTGTGTGCATCGGTAAGTTTTGAATGTATCCGAAAGTTTGCCGAGTCGGCGAAGCGTGTTTTTGTCTTTTGATTTTTTTCCTTTTTGAAGTTAAAGACGTTTTATTTTCACACATTCTATAGATGTTGATTTGATTTTATTTTTTTTTCACTCGCTAATTATGAGAAGCAAAGTTACATTTAAAAATCTTTTTCCCTACCCACTCTCAAAATGTCTCAACGCTCACTTCTGCAATTTGGCGTATCTCAAAAACGTAATTAAAAAAATTAATTTGGTCAAGAACGGTGTTCGAAATTATTTTCATAAAACTTTCAATTTACAAGCCTGATTAAATTTAACCATTTTGGGTTGTTATTGTGTTATGATTCATTTGATACACTGAAATTGTGTTCGGTACTGTAGTAAATAATTAGATATTTAAACAACAATTTTTATTTTACAAATAAGAAATATAACAATGCTAAAAGAAGTCATGTTTATTTTTATTTCAGGAAATCTACAGAGATCCACACTTTTAAAACACAATGAATAAATGCTGTGCAGGCTGATCACATGAGACAACAGCTGTATGGTACTGATCCAGAGGTAGAAAAAGAAGAACCCATCATACACATTTCAGAATCTATTGTACCATGATTGATTAAAGAATTAAAAGTTTTCTGGAAATATTATTTTTTTTTGTTATACCAATGAGCAATTATTTGAATGTTATCACTGAAGGGTTCTACACGGTTACCACTGTCCTTAAATAACAACAATACAGTCCTTTTCAGGGTAATGTTCTTACTTCTATTGAAAATATTTACCCAACAATCATGTAAAGATACTTTGAACTTAAAACATTAAAAGGAATGACATTTTCAGAATCTTGTGATTAAAATAATTGCTTTTACTTGTATCATCCCATACTATAAATCAAACATTGAAACATGAAAATTATACGCGTAAGAACAACTGACTTCCAGAAATTTACCTCATGACTTCCAAAATTCCTTGAAAGGAAGTCCTGACTTCCTAAAAAAAATTCCTAGTGGAAGCCCTGTTTTGTAAGCGGAATATCGTACAGTACATGTCTGCACGTTTCTGTTTGTTTTTCCCCCAAAATCTACTGTCACATATTGGCCTTTCATCCTGTAAAAATGCTAAAATTTCAACAGAAATATGCAGAAAAAATCACAATTCCCATCAACAATTTGATTTCAAATTGTTTCTTCATGAAATCATTTTTTTTGTCTTCAAAATGTTACATCAACCACGGTAAATTATGCCGTAAATTACAAACTTGTAAGTTTTGTTTTCATGATACTTTATTAAATAACTGATGAAAAACGATCTTATAATAAACAATCAATTTAATTATACCCCCAAAAACGAAGTTTGGGGGGGTATATAGGAGTCACCCGGTGGTCGGTCGGTTGGTTGGTCGGTCGGGCGGTCGGTCGATCGTCCAGACGTCCGTTGCATTTTCCTTGTCCGGAGCATAACTTGAAAACTAATGGTTGGAATTCAATATAACTACATACAATGGTCAAGCACATTGAGAGGAAGTGCAGTGCACAAGAACCATAACTCTATCTTGACTAATTACAGAGTTATTGCCCTTTGTTACTTTTCCTTGTCCGGGGCATAACTTGAAAACTACTAGTTGGAATTCAAAACAACTTCATACAATTGTCAAACACAATAAGAGGAAGTGCAGTGCACAAGAACCATAACTCTATCTAAAGTAATTACAGAGTTATTGCCCTTTGTTGCTTTTCCATTGCTTTTTTTTGTTCGTTGCATTTTCCTTGTCCGGAGCATAACTTGAAGACTAATGGTTGGAATTCAATATAACTACATACAATGGTCAAGCACATTGAGAGGAAGTGCAGTGCGTAAGAAACATAACTCTATCTTGACTAATTACAGAGTTATTGCCCTTTGTTACTTTTCCTTGTACGTGGCATAACTTGAAAACTACTGGTTGGAATTCAAAACAACTTCATACAATTGTCAAACACAATAAGGGGAAGTGCAGTGCACAAGAACCATAACTCTATCTAAAGTAATTACAGAGTTATTGCCCTTTGTTGCTTTTCCATTGCCTTCTTTTTTTTGTCCGGACCATAACTTGAAGACTAATGGTTGGAATTCAATATAACTACATACAATGGTCAAGCACATTGAGAGGAAGTGCAGTGCATAAGAACCATAACTCTATCTAAAGTAATTACAGAGTTATTGCCCTTTATTACTTTTCCATTGCTTTCTTTTATCCGGACCATAACTTGAAGACTAATTGTTGCAATTCATTATAACTTCATACAATGGTCCAGCACATTGAGAGGAAGTGCAGTGCACAAGAACCATAACTCCATTTTGACTTATTACAGAGTTACTGCCCTTTGTTTCTTTTCCTTGTCCAGAGCATGACTTTAAAACTACTAGTTGGAATTCAAAACAACTTCATACAATGGCCAAGCACAATAAGGGGAAGTGCAGTGCACAAGAACCATAACTCCATCTTGACTAATTACAGAGTTATTGCCCTTTGTTACTTTTCCATTGCTTTCTTTTGTCCGGACCGTAACTTGAAGACTTATTGTTGAAATTCATTATAACTTCATACAATGGTCAAGCACATTGAGAGGAAGTGCAGTGCATAAGAACCATAACTCCATCTTGACTAATTACAGAGTTACTGCCCTTTGTTACTTTTCCTTGTCCAGAGCATGACTTGAAAACTACTGGTTGGACTTCAAAACAACTTCATACAATGGTCAAGCACAATAAGGGGAAGTACAGTGCACAAGAACCATAACTCCATCTTGACTAATTACAGAGTTATTGCCCTTTGTTACTTTTCCTTGTCCAGAGCATAACTTGAAAACTACTGTTTGGAATTCAGTACAACTTCAGCATTAAAAGGAAGTGCAGTGCACAAGAGCCATAACTCCATTTTGACAAAATACAGAGTTACTGCCCTTTGATACTTTTCCTTGTCCGGAGCATAACTTAAAACGTACTGGTTGGAATTCAAAACAACTTCATACAATGGTCAAGCACAATAAGAGGAAGTGCAGTGCACAAGAACTATAACTCTATCTTCAGTATTTATAGAGTTATTGCCCTTTGTTCTTTTTCTTTGTCTTTCTGGACTTATTACAGAGTAATTCAATTAAACTTCATCAATGGCCAACAACATTGAAAGGAAATGCAACATACATGAACCACAATTATCTTTAATTGCCCACAACCATAACTCTATGTTTCAATTCTATTACAAGGTATTCTGTTACTAGTAACATCCTCATTTCCGAAGCAGACTTGTGGGGGTATTAATCACATTTAGTGATAGTTCTAGTTTTATATAATTTACATCAGAAACAACTAGAATTGTGGATGTGTAAACAGAAAACAAATTTTCATTTGTCACATATTTTCGCGATGCCGATTTTTACAAATGTTTTACAAAGTCAAGAAAAGGAAGTTTTGTCTTATTAAAAGGTGTGTTAGAACACTAGAAATGTAGTTTATGAATAGAATTTACTTTAGGTCCATGTATTGTTCATATCAGTGGAAATGGAGACATTTGTCTGAATGTGTTTCTCAATGCTTATTTTTTTGTGTGTGTGGGGGGGGGGGGAATCATAAAGAAAGCTAAGCAGCATAAAGATCTGATGGTGTAAGGTGTTAAAAACTTTTCTTCAATTCTTATCAATCACTTCTGAACAGTTAAGTGTTACCTATTTGGGATTTAAAAAAATAAATAATATGCATGTAAATAAAAAACAGCTGATATTTAAATAAGTTTATTTAATATTTGATCATAAAAGAAAAGAGGAAAATTCCCCCCATATACTAAAATTCCCCCTGCTGAGGGTAGCGACCCGCTTCCCCATAATTGGATTGAGGGCCCTGGCGCTACAGCCCTCGTGGGACCTTTGGCCCTGCTCGGACTTTCCGCATATAAATTGAGTTAATCATCTTTTTAAGGAGTAAATTACCATAAATGCAATTCAGAGGTATGATCACTATTAAAACAAATAGATATTGAAAAATGGGCAGCTTATTGTTTGAAATTATATTTGTTTAAATAAGAAGAGAATCAAAACAAGATGTTTTATGATTGATCCATAAAGTTTTTAGATTGAATTTTGTGACAATAAATGTTAATATGAAATTAGTCAAAGCCTAAAGATGGGGAAGTCGGTATAGGGCAGAGATGACTCTGGGGCTGAGTTAGTTTTATCATTTATGGCTAAGTTGACCCGGATTCGATCTTTGTCAGTATTTGAAATAACTCACTTGCCTGAAACCAGGACAAGTTAATTTACCAAATGGCAAGTTAAAATTTTAACCAATCTGCCTGATGGGGCAAGTTAAATATTTAGAGCTTAGATATTTAGCATGTAGCATTGTCTTATTAATCTTTACAAAAGTGAAAACTGATATAAATCATGCCCCTTCAGTATTAACCCTCACTCCAAATCGTTCGGGGTCACATGATTTATATAGATTTATAGAGGTAAAATACATCTGAGACTTTTTGTGTGAAAGAATTGTGTCCTTACTTCAAAGGTCAAGATCACACTTGGAGGTCAACAGTTATGACTCTGATGTTCGTGTCCCTATCAACAATTCTGACATTCTGGATTTAAAAACTGTTATGCTTAAATATGTGGGACAAAATGACAGTGTGTCTGGAGGATAATTCAGGTCATTACCTCAAAGGTCAAGGTCACTCTTGTAGATCAAGTCTTGATATGCATTTTTGTAAAAGCACACTGCTGTTCGAGTCAGGTCAACAGTTATGTCAACCCTGGATTGCCTTTAAAATTATTATGCATGAACATTTCTTTCAATGATGGATGGATTTTAAAATAATTCAGCATAAATGTGTAAGACATGATGATTTGTAGCTTTTCCAGTTTAAAGGTCAAGGTCACATTTCAAGGTTTGTATGTCAAACTTTACGATTGTGAATAGATTGTTTTCTTTTGTGCATAGCTTTTTCATTCATGGATGGACATAAGTATGCTGCTTATTAAGATGATACCTAATGAGCAAAAAAATTAATTAGCTCAAGAGCCGAAAGGTCAAGTTCATACTTGAATGTTAGAAGTCATGATATGACAGTGCATTGATAGTCATGTCCAGTCCATGTCTTTTTGTCATGCGGTTATAGATTTTGTAAGAACTTGGTTAAAAGATATGGTTCTTTAAAACAATTTCTGATGAGTGTGTAGCTAAACGATCAAGGTCTTGTTAAGACTTAAAGTTTATAGCAGGACTTCCATTTAATTCTAAATTCGTAAGTTAGAGACTGCAAATTCTCTGACATTGGAAGTCTCATTATATAGGTAAGATGGAAGTCACATTTTATTGGTAAAGAAGGAAAATTATTATGTTTTAGAATTCACAAGCCTGAAAATCACAGACTAAATAACTCCCAAACTTCCATTAGCAGAAGCTCTGGTTTATAGTTTTATAAAAGTACAGCGATGGTTATATCCAGTCATCAATTCTGTCATCCATGAAAAGATTTTGAATAATGGATTTTGAAATAACTAGGCATACTTCTGTGGCATGTTAGGAAAACATATTTATTATAGCAATGTATGTTAAAAGAATTACTTATTTTGTTTATTTGTTATTTTCAGTCAAAGGTGTCAGAAAAGTGCCAGAATGTAAGTACTTGATAATATATTTCAGTATATAACCTTTATAGAGCAAGTTATACACATATCTTGACTAATGTTAACTTTATGGTCACCGTCTGTTAATTAAATAGATTAATAACTTGAATTTCTCAAAGCTACAACTGAATTCTTTTAAGATATGAAACAAGTAAGTAAATTAATATAATTTACAGTTATATATACAATGTACTATTGTAAATATAATAGATACTGTATTATAATATTTTCATGGTTTCAGCTTATTTATCACTACAAGAAGAATCTTACCAAGGATGATAGATTTGAGTCTGGAGCGAGTGAAGTGTGTCGGACTGTATTTGAGCAAGTAAATATCTTACCTGTTTTTATCATTATAAAGGCAGCATGCCTACTCCAGCTATGGAGTTTTATTGAGTATCTTATGTATAATAGTTATTTTGAGATGGAAAAAAATAAATATGTCTGTTGAAATAAAAGTATTAAAGCCATATAAGACACATTTAAGTCTTGTCTGAAGGCTTTATTTTTGTATATGTGTGTTTTAATGGCACAACTTTACATAAACTTTACAAGTACTATAATTTTTTTTAAAAATGGAGCGTTTTCTTGAAATGATCTGTTCATATTCTATTCAGTCTGTTTTAAATCTGTTTTATTCTTCTACACAATTCTCATTTTAGTATCCTGAATGCAGAGATCTTCCATCAGGTAAGGGTATACGAATTCCATGCTTGATTGAACAGATGGACAACATTACAGACAGAAATTGCCGCAAGTTTCTCTCTAAGATGGCGAATATCGTGTTTGGCGATTATCAACTGGTCTGGCACTTCCACGAGAACTGTGCGGTGGATATTGAAAAAAATAAGTGCGGTAGACTTGACGATGGTGATGCTAATGTAAGGCATTTTCTTTTATTTTTAATATCTCTTATGAGTTCTTTTTTATTAGGGGAGGTGGGATGGGGGGATTGGGGGAGTTGGCAGGGTAAGGTGGATGGGTAACACAGTTAAAGTCATGTATCAATTGTCTTCCTTTTTATTGGGGGACACAAACTTGAAGCTGTCAACAACCTAATATTAGCTAGTTGCATAGGTCCTTTTACATGTATTCCTTACACAAATAAACATCTCAAAATTGGCAAGAGGTATGTTACAGGCAAAATTTTTGATGATGAGCCATTTCTTTGCAGATCTATTAATGTCTGTACCTTTAATTTAATTGTTCTTTTTTCGGAAGAGGAAATGAAAATTATTTTTTTAAAACTGAAGTTATCCTTAATGGTGGAGTGTAAAAATGAAACAGATAAATTATGTTAGTTTGCATCCACAGTTAAATAATACTTGATAACAGGAAGTGGACAAGATATTTTAAAGTACAATATATTACTTGCCTTCCTCTTATTAAAACAACAAAATTGAATTTAAATGTCAAACATGCATATCCCTTGTTTGCAAAAGTTATATTAGAGTGATTTTGCATAAAAATGTGGTTAAATGCTGAATTTTTTTTTTACATGTTTATAATTGTTGTATTACAGCAAAACATAAGTGTAAGTTGAGATAAGTCAAGATATTAATTAGTTATAAACTTTGTTATACACAGTTTTAAAGTTCAGTTCATTTGTTGAAATTGCATTATGAAATAACCGATGATTGATAAAACTTGATGTAGATGGAAAACTAGCAATATGATATAATTATACAGGTCTGTTTTTGCCTAGTTTCCTAGGGTGAAAATTCTGGTTACTATGGTATCAGAAATAGCAAAATTTAGATTTGTGCCCATACGGCATCGATCTCGCTCCAAATTCCACAGTTTTGTCAATCTATGGAATGATTGGGGGGGGGAAACTGACATACAATAACAAGTTTATATGCCTCAAGCCTCGTAAGTAGTTTGGGCATAAAGAACGTCCTACTATGTATGTTTTGGAATCAATGGCAATATATATTCATGTGCATGTAGATACCAAAGATTTTTTTTCAGGATGAAATACAATGTAGATGACAGTGTGTTGAAGAGGGATAAATATCTGGTTTATGTTATGTAAAAATTATGGTACCTTTAGGCTTTTATTATAGCAAATTCAGTTGATATGATTTTGCCAATAAATATAAGACTTGCAATCAAATTTAATGCAACTTAAGATTTGTTTAGATAAATCGAGTTATCTAAACATGTTTTATCACATAAGCTACATAACAAGAGTATAATAAAGCTTTTAAATAAAAACGATATTTCACTTGTATAGTAACAATTTGAGTTATATATATTATACACATAGCATCACTGCTGCGTGCTTATATTACTGTTACACTATAGCCATATCCATGAAAAATGACTCTTTTTAACTGGTAAAAATAATACCATATTCATGTAGAATCAAAACTAAATAAATTGAATTTATTGAAGAAAAAACAATATCCTGCTTGTTACAGGCTTGCAATTGTATAAAAAAAATTACCATTAATATCATTTACATATGTTAACCGCAAGCTGTTGTCTACATTTGTATAACATGAAATGTAAATTTTGTGAAACGTGTCCATATATTGTAAAATGAAAAACATCTAATGGTTAATTATATGAGCAGAAACCTCCATTATGCACAACAGATTTTTTTCCATATTCCATACTTTATAAATTTATTTGCTGCAACATTTGGTATTGTGAAGGTTATGAAGGAAATCATGTACTGACAGAATTATGGTGTAACATTTAGTTGAACTCAGTTTATAAATTTACAAGTTAATAAATGGTTTGATTTTTTGGTTATATTCAACAAAACGCTATGTGTCTCAGCTAAGTGTTATCTCTGACACATGATTTCTGGCACCTCATATATGCAGATTTAAATCCTGTAATATGATTTGACTCTTTTATAAAGGAGGCATTTAATCAGCTACCTTATAGCCCCCTTTGTGTGGCAGATAAATGGGGCATGTTGGATGTGCCTATGCAGGGCATTCAATCAAATTTGGGAGAAGTGGGTTGCTACCCTCAGCAGGGGGAATTTTGTGAAAGGTGGAATTTTTATAAAATTTCTTATAGATAACCAGTCATTATAGGAATTTGAGAGCTTAATAACAGGAAGCCATAACATTATTTAATTCTGTAATTTCCTGTAACTGTGTGTGTAATTTCCTGTAACTGCTTTGCTATGCCAGCTACATATTGAAGTATATATTTACAGAAATTTACAGGCTTTATACTGCTGAGAAATACATTGTTCTACTGTTGTTCTTTCATATCTTAGCTTTTATTTTGTCACTGGACATTATTGATGTATTCCAGTGCAGTGTGAGCTTAGCTTTAACTATGCTAACAGTTTAGCACTTTTTTCTTTAATTTAAACTAGAGTTTATTACCATAAAGCTAGCAAAGTTTTGGTATTTAGATTTCAATTTCCATAATTAATGCATGCATGACACATGTTTTATCTTGAAATATACTAATGGCCACCATTGTAACAATATTGAGTGAAATTAGTATTCAAGAAAATTGTCAAAACAAATTGAATGGGATAAATGCCATTGAAACACAGGCTATTTAAACCAGTTTTTAGCTCGACTTTTCTATGAAAAGGGGAGCTATCCTACTCGCCCCGGCGTCGGCGTCGGCGTCGGCGTTGGCGTCACACCTTGGTTAAGTTTTTCGTACCACCCCACTTTATTTCAGAAGTATTACAAGTATGGCTTTGAAACTTACCATACTTGTTCACCATCATAACCTCCATCTACAGACAAGAGTACATAACTCTGTCAAGGTTTTTGACAGAATTATGGCCCTTATTTGACTTAGAAAGTGTATTGAGCTTGGTTAAGTTTTTTGTACCACCTCACTTTATTTCAAAACCATTGGAGGTATTGCTCTGAAACTGACCATACTTGTTTACCATCACGACCTTCATCAACAGACAAGAGGACATAACTCTGTCAAGGTTTTTGACAGAATTATGCCCCTTTTTGACTTAGAAAATACATTGAATATGGGTAAAATCCACTTATTGCCTTAACCCTTTGAGATATTGCTTTGAAACTTTTAATGCTATTTCACATCATTACCCCCATCTGTACGCAAGAGAAGGTAACTCTGTCAAGGATTTGTTTTAAAAATTAAGGCCTTTTATCGACTTAGAATCTTGGTTAAGTTTTTAGTACCAGTCCACTTTTTGACTGAACTGTTTGAGATATTAATTTGAAAGTTGGAATACTTGTTTACAATCATGATTCCCAAACATGTCCAGGAGAAGGTAATTCTGTCAAAGATTTTATTTGAATTATGGCCCTTAACTAAAAAACTTAAAAAATCTAAAAAAATTCATTCCTATCCACTTGTTCACTTTACCATAAATTATGTCATATAAACATTGCTGTAATATTCAAGGGTATCAAACAACTAGTTATTTTTCTCTTTTTGTACTTTTTTTTGTGTGAAAGAGATCCACTTGTGACCAACTGACAACATCTAAAAAAGCTTGATAAAATTTATCTATTACTTGTATTATAAGGTAACTATAATACTTTCACATACAAAGTCAAATCTATATATTATGCTGATTGTACAAAAATATACTGCTTCCTTGGCATAGATTTCTTGAAAAATTATGTTATTATGTCATTTACCAAGGTGTTCTGAGTGACGTAAAAATACCTTATTCTCTCAAAGTGGGTTTAATACTATTAAATTTATTTAAGGCTCAACTCAGTTTTTTTTTCTTTCTTACCAGCCCTCTTTTGACTTAAACATTTCAAACTTTGCTGCAGTGTTCAAGGGTATCACACAATTCAGTAAAATAATTCTTCACTAAATATCTTAATGCTCATGGCCATTGTTCACTTTAAAAATACAGAGATTCTTGTATTGCCTTTTACTGCAAAAACTTTTTTTATTGGCAAGCAATAAAAAAGTCGAGCGCGCTGTCTTACGGACAGCTCTTGTTTCAGTTACTTTTATCAATTTTTGGGAACAATAGTTGTAAGTTTCAAAAATATGGTTCACACGTGATCATGGAATCAGTTTGAAATATTTTTTTTCAACAGAAACCTCACATGCAAGGGAAGACAATTCTTTGCTTATCAAAGAAATTACGGAGTTTAGATGACAAGTGTAAGAAGCAGGTTCTGCGTGTGGCCGAGCTCCAGTCAGATGATTATCACCTTGATAGACCATTGTACTACGCTTGCCGTGAAGCCAGGGAAACGTTTTGTGACATGGTTCATGCCGGTGGTGGAAAGGTGTTTGATTGTCTGTTCAAACATAAGAATGATCCTAGCATGCCAGATGAGGTATTGTTGTTATTGTATTTTACTTGTCATCGATTAACTGTATTTTCAGAGAGTTCTTGTTAAAACTTATCCTGTTTACACCATTGATATTTGATATCAAAATGGAAAAGAACTACTACAAAAACACTATTTAAATCCTTTATTTATTGACTAAAGTCTTGTATATTTAGTAGGAACATACTATAGGTGGTCCTCTTACTTTGGGTGGAGTTGCTCAAGGTCAATGGTTATGTATATTTGACTAACCTTTTTTGCTGAGTTAAATATTTTTCAACTTCATCATATAGCTATGACATGTGTATTTACTTAAGTTTTGACAATAACAAAACGTCCTGTAGTGTGGTGGTATGGCCTAGTGGTTAACATGTCAGACTAGTAATCTATTGATCACTAGCCGCATGAGTTCAAACCTTGTGAGGGGCAAGTCATTGTTTCCTTGGGCAAGAAGCTTTACACTCATTGCTCAGCACTTGTTGGTTCCAGGAACGGATTTGAAAGTGTGTCTATAAGCTTATTGCCCCATACACAATCAAATTAAAATAATTTTTGTATATAACTGAAAGGTCATATACTATGAAATAATCAAGCTATATCACTATGTTAACAATTTTATTTTGTGAATCACCCCTTCCATAATTGAATTGGTAAACCTTTTGGAAAAATTTGTTACTAACAAGAATCTGCATTGAGGGGGCATATATGTTAATGCTTTGTGGGTTCGGAACTGGAATATATTTGTGTTGATATTTTTTTTGGTTTTGTTGTTTGCCTGTCGGAGCCTGAACTGCTCGTCATATGACTTCCTGGCAGAACCACCCTGTTTAGATGCTGCTTCTCGTATGTTAAACATATATTGCAGCAGTTCGGCTGTTTCACTTACATGAACGCGCAAATAAATAGATAAAAATATTATGAACGCATCCGTCCATTTATCATTAGAGGAAATTACCTCCTTTTCTTTAGGCCTTGCTTCAATTCTGCCGTCAGCTGACAAATGCAAGATAGATGCACCAAAATCAATTGGTCTTTCAATACCCCCTCTGCATAGCAGTGAGAGGTTTATGAATTCCCCTCTGCAAATTTGCTCCTTCATCATTATTACACCTCATTAAAAGTTTGAATCTAGACTTGGACGAAGTAGAACCATTGGGGGAATTCATTTTACCACATGCTTGACACTCAGACGTAGAACCATTGGGGGGGGGATTAACAAGGCCACACCCTTTATCTTGACACGCGGGAGATATGATTTGAGATGCTCTAATAATCTCCTCAAAATCAATTATACCTGTACTTCTATCACTCTCGTCTTCCTCCAAACAAACCTTGATCTCCCGGCACCGTCGTTGACCTTCTTTTAACACCTCTATCACGACCCGGCATTGTTGATTCATTTGATTGTTGGGATTACAAAAAATACCCTGTGTTTCTTTCGGTTGTAAAAACGGAAAGGAAATGTACATCCAGTGACTGGTATTTATGCCCGACCCTGGGTATTAATTACAGAACCAATCCGATTATGTGCTATAAATAGCACGAAGAAAAACACAATTATTCACACCAAAATAAACTTGAGTTATTTCTATCTAGAAATAATCGGTATTATTTCAGTGCAAAGAATTGTTCAGATTATTTTTTATTTCAGTGCAAAGAATTGATAACTGTTAGGCAGCAGCTTATAGCAGAGGATGTACGAGTTAAGAAATCTTTCTTTGAGGCGTGCAGACTTGATATCAAACAGAATCATTGTCTACGAACAGTGCCCTCTGGTGATGAAAATACGGAGCGTTCTCATGTATTACTTTGTCTCGAAAGTGCACTTAAATCTGGTAAGCGTTGTGGAACTTGTTTTTTCATTATTTGTTTTACAATAGGGCAAAAAGTGACATAGTATACATAAGATAGTATTAAGAATTAACCGCACTTGTACTTCAGTATAATTAAAGTTTTAGATACTTTAGGAAAACACTCGACTATAATGCATTCACTTTTGTTAAATTAATTAAACAATATTTTTTCAAAAGGAAATTCATTATCGAAAAATGCACCATACACAGAAAGAGCATTGTATTAAATGCCTTAAAAAAGAGAACAAAAACTTGAAATTTATTTGAAAATTAAGAACTAGTAACCAAATATACAATCAGAGTTTATCATTGAAATGTTGTCATGCATTACAGATAGAAAATTATCGGGTCAGTGTGTTGCGGAGATGACTCAACTGAGGAGATCTTTGATGGAAGATTACCAGATTACACCTGAAATTGTCACAAGGTTCTTTTATGATATTGTATTATTTTGATGTTCTATAGGTGTTAGATAGCAGAGATATCACTATTTAGTCTTAATCCGTGCTGAAAGTTTTACGAAACTATGTTTCTGTCTTGCCAATCATTGAATGAAAGTACATAATGCTAATTTTTGGCGTTTTCAAGCATGAACATTTGTAAAAGATGCATTGGGAAATAATTGTTAACATTGTTACTTATTTATATGTGTTCAAGAGTACTGTCGGAATTTGTAAGATATAATTTTATAGACTAACAGGGTAAGATACATACTTAAATTATATATCTTATTTAAGAAATTGATCATTCATGCGATGTGGCTAAACTTTAGTATAAACATTAGATTTAGTTTGTGAATGAAGAAAGTCACCGTATGACCTTTATTACATTGCCATGACAGAAAACTCTTAAAGACCCAACCTAGGTATAAAAGGGAGGTAATGGCTGGTGGGTGGTTTTCCTTGAATTTTCAAACTGTATTCAGCTCAGGGAGAGATTTTAAATATATTTGCAGTAAAATGCCATTTTTTGCCAATGAAAAAATTCCTAAATGAAGCCAAATGATTGATCTATGACTCTAGATAAGAAATTTGAAAATGCATGAAGAAATATGTTCTTATAATTTAATATCAAATGATAACAGAATTCAAATTTGAACTAAGGGGAGGAGGTTATTATGTAAATAACCATGTGACCACATTGTTTGTAAACATAGCAATGTGATCACATGGGAATCCATACACATGCAATAAGTACATCAGTGTATTACTTACTTGATACAATGGTTTTTTCTAAGGTTTGTCAGAATAATCCACTTTGCATCACATGAATTGTAGTTTATATCAATAAAAGTGCATAAATCCAGTACATTTCACAATGAAAACATACAGAAATGGTAAAATTCTTGGCTTGTATTCCTCACTATTGTAAGTATATTAATTTTACAGACACATTATATTGAAGTTATAAATACTAGTAGTAATTTTCAATTTCATCAAATAAGGACAGAAATAGTGTCCAGTGTAGGATTTTACTAGTAAATTAGGATACAGTTTCCTTTCTTTATTTAACACAAAATTTTGAATTACATGTTCTCTAGTTGAACAAAAAGAGTGCTCAGAAGTTATCCTTTTTTCAATGGAGAAATACATTGGTTCTTAGTTACTTCCTTTTACACCAAGCATAGCGTCTTTACATAATTGAACAAAAGATTTTGTATCAGATTTTTATTAAAATTTATTATACCCCCACAAACGAAGTTTAGGGGGGGTATATAGGAGTCAGCTTGTCGGTCGGTCGGTCGGTCGGTTGGTCGGTCGGTCGGTCGGTCCGTCGGTCGGTCCACATCATGGTTTCCGGACGATAACTAGAGTTTGGAATGAGGTATTGTAATCAAACTTGGTATATAGCAACCTTATGTGGAAACTCCGGTTGGTATTGCATTTGGACCCCCTGGGGTCAAGGTCAAGGTCACCGTTACTAAAAATAGAAAAATGGTTTCCGGACAATAACTAGAGTTAGGAATGAGATATTGTTATCAAACTTTGCGTATAGCAAGCTTATATGAAGACCTGGGTTGGTATTGCATTTAGGCCCCCTGGGGTCAAGGTCAAGGTCATGGTTACTAAAAATAGAAAAATGGTTTCCGGACAATAACTTTAGTTAGGAATGAGATATTGTAATCAAACTTGGTGTATAGCAAGCTTATATGAAGACCTGGGTTGGTATTGTATTTGGATCCCCTGGGGTCAAGGTCAAGGTCACCGTTACTAAAAATAGAAAAATGGTTTCCGGACAATAACTAGAGTTAGGAATGAGATATTGTTATCAAACTTGGTGTATAGCAAGCTTATATGAAGACCTGGGTTGGTATTGCATTTGGACCCCCTGGGGTCAAGGTCAAGGTCACCGTTACTAAAAATAGAAAAATGGTTTCTGGACAATAACTTGAGTTAGGAATGAGATATTGTAATCAAACTTGGTGTATAGCAAGCTTATATGAAGACCTGGGTTGGTATTGTTTTTGGACCCCCTGGGGTCAAGGTCAAGGTCACCGTTACTAAAAATAGAAAAATGGTTTCCGGACAATAACTAGAGTTAGGAATGAGATATTGTTATTAAACTTGGTGTATAGCAAGCTTATATGAAGACCTGGGTTGGTATTGCATTTGGACCCCCTGGGGTCAAGGTCAAGGTCATTATTCCTTAAAATAGAAAAATGGTTTCCGGCCCCCTGGGGTCAAGGTCAAGGTCACCGTTACTAAAAATAGAAAAATGGTTTCCGGACAATAACTAGAGTTAGGAATGAGATATTGTTATTAAACTTGGTGTATAGCAAGCTTATATGAAGACCTGGGTTGGTATTGCATTTGGACCCCCTGGGGTCAAGGTCAAGGTCATTATTCCTTAAAATAGAAAAATGGTTTCCGGACAATAACTAGAGTTAGGAATGAGATATTGTAATCAAACTTTGTGAAAAGCAAGCTTATTTGGGATTACAATTAATTGAAATATTTCTTTGTACACAGTTGATAGTTTGTGTTGAATTTTTTCTTCAGACTACTTATTTTTCAAAAAGTTGCTGGTGGGGGTATTAATCACCTTCAGTGATAGGTCTAGTTTAGCTTTATTTCCTTGACCTTTTTTCCATTCAGGACTTTTCTTTCACATTTACACATGAGGAACAAAAATAATTTTCACATGAAATAGTAAAATCAGAATCAAAATCATTAGTTTCATTGCTCTTTGTCTTATAAAAAATAATACTATAGTTAGCTATCTCTTTGATGGCGTAAGCTATATTTCCAATTTCCTTTGACATGTGAGCATTGTCTATGACCTCATTTCTTTTCTCTAACATTAGTGACACACTTTTTCCAAATTCTAACAGAGATTCAATGGTTTGTTTCTGCTCTTAGTGACCAGTAAAAAAGACAAAATAAACTTATCCATTTATATTGAATAACACAAATCATTGAAAACACCAAACAAAATTACTATTTTCCTAGCACACAAAATCCCTCCTAAACTGATTTCAGACACAGGTCATCTAAATATAGAAGATGCAAAATATGTAAGGTATGGAAGGTATAAATTTGTAGTCACATTTATTGTTAAATATCATTATGTGAGTAATAAATTTGTATCAGCTTTAAAATGAGAAAACAATTTTTCACACTGTTTGTCTCAGAAAATCTGCACTAATTAGATAATATATTAAAAGCAAGACTTTACAAGCCCTGTCACCCGTTCTGTATTGTAGTGTTGTATGCCAATTAAACACAGAAATGTGATATTTTGTTTTATCTCTGCTGATAGCAGCATAACAATACACTTCCTAATTAAAATATACCTGAGGTATAAAATTATATACCAGAAATCATACCATATAGTAGTTGTTAATGGTCACAACAGGAAATATTACAAGAATAGATATATCTGAACATTTGGCATCAAGGGATAAACTTGAAAGGCCTCAAACTGGTGATCAGAAATTAGGCTAACTTTTCTTGTCAGATTTTTTTTGTGTAAAAACCCATCGTCTGCTTAAGCTATTTTTAGAAACAGTACACTTAGTCAGCTTTTGCTGGACGTCTATCACTGATAAAACAATGTAGAAAGAGGGTTCATTTGCATCCGATAGTCTGATCGGATGTTGGGGGTTTAACAAAAACCACTACGGTGACTTTTCTGTTTGTATGCTACATAGTTTTAACCTTGAAAAATGTGGCTGAAAATTATGCTAAGTCAATTATTATATAGTCTTCTGTTACAGATGTGAATTGGAGATAAACAAGTTTTGTAACCGCGGTAAAGACCGTGAAGGTAAAACATTACACTGTTTGATGGAACATGCCAACGCTAGAGAGAGACAGAGACTGAAAGGGAACAATCAAGCAGATACACCTGAATTTAGTACTCAGTGTAGAGCTGCGGTAATATTTCTGTTTTTTATTTTAACACTGAGAAGCGACTGTAGTAAAATATAGGTCATAGGTAATTTTCGGCAGAGGATATAGAAATAGTCTCCGTCTGTCCGACCTTCCGTCCGTCCTTCCCTCCGACATTTTTGTCCGGAGCATATCTCTAAAAGTATTTGAGTTATCAACTTGAAACTTCATAGGTGGATAGACCTCATTGAGGAGGAGTGCAGTGCACAAGAACGATAACTCTACCTTGCATGATTTTTGAGTTATTGCCCTTTGTTATTTTTCAAAATTGATTTTTGTCCAGAGCATAACTCCAAAAGCCTATGAGATATTTACATGAAACTTCATAGGTGCATAAATCTCACTCCGGAGGTGTGCAGTGCACAAGAATGATAACTCTACCTTTCATAATTTTTGAGTTATTGCCCTTTGTTATTTTTCATACCTAATTTTTCACCTGAGTGGAGCATAACTCAAAAAGTGTTTGAGATATCAACATGAAATGTCATAGGTGGATAGATCTTATTGAGGAGGAATGTTGTGCGCAAGAATGATAACTCTTCCCTATACAATTTTTGAGTTATTGCCCTTTGTTTTTTTTCATGAAATTTTGTCCAGAGCTTATCTCAAAAAGTATTTGAGGTATCAACTTGAAACTTCAAAGGTGGATGGATCTCATTGAGGAGGAGTGCAGTGCTTAAGAATGATAACTTTACCCTGCATTATTTTTGAGTTATTGCCCTTTGTTATTTTTCAAAATTAATTTTTGTACAGAGCATAACTCAAAAAGCCTTTGAGATATCAAAATGAAACTTCATAGGTGCATAGATCTCACTCAGGAGGTGTGCACTGCACAAGAATGATAACTCTACCTTTTATAATTTTTGAGTTATTGCCTTTTGTTCCTTTTCATACTTAATTTTTCAATTCAATTTTTTTCTCAAAAAGTATTTGAGGTATCAACTTGAAACTTCATAGGTGGATAGATTTTACTGAGGAGGGATGCAGCACACAAGAATGATAACCTACCCTGCATTATTTTTCAGTAATTGCCCTTTGTTATTTTCAGCCATCAGTATTCACATAGGTTTCAAATCTGTAATCACTATAGCCATCAGTTTTCATTACCAAGAGACCTCTTAAAATGGAATTATTCGGCTCTACTACATATACATTCTTCCAATGAGCAAACACAATCGGCAGGGGATGGCCATGTTGACATGGCTCTTGTATATTTTATGGTGAACATTACTAATTTCTCATTTATACCAATCTCGTGGTAATTGCTTATTTCCATTTGGTCATGTTTATAATGGTCAAAGTTGAAAAATATTCATACACCTGAAAAAAATTCTTAAATCTTTAAAGCAGCATGCCTCCAGATTCATGATATTTTCTTGAAAATTTGGAAAATGTATTTAAAAGCATAATATTGTGAAGTAACCAAAAGGAAGTTATTAACACATTATCAATGGCACATGCAACCCATGTAAATTACCAAAAAGAGGTTACTATATGCAAAAATAGACCTTCCTAGTTACAGAGTAGAATTATTGTTATAAAAACTGAAAAAATAGTCATTAATCACACAAAACATGTAAATTATTACTTGAATCTTTTAACTTTTTCTAAAATATTAGTACATTTTTCTCAAGCATACTTTGGCTCATCTGGAGGCATGCTGCCTTTAGTGAATTCGTGAAATAGAACAACATTTTGTGAAAGTCCTGAAATTTTGTTAGAATTGTGCCAAAAACAATTGTCAGTTTTAAATTGTTGTTGTAAGTAAAGAGAAATTTTTTTGAAGAGTAAATAGAAGTTTTATTTTACTAGAACATATAATATTCATAATAATACCCCAAAAATATGAAAACATTTTGACAGATAAGAAATTATGTGATGTTTTCAAACTGACTATGTCTGGGCTATTAAATGTGCTTTTATAAAATATGTTGTGTTCTTAAGTTGGTGCTAATAACAATTTTGCTTACAGCAAATTCATTGCAAGTTTTTTTTGTGCCATGTGACCTGAATTTCTGTGATTTTTTTTTAAAAAACGCTACATTTAACATATAACTCTAAAATTAGATAACTCCAAATTTCATTTCTTTAATTTTTATATAGCCATGATATTGTCATAGCATTGTATAATTTATTTTATAGCTTGAAAATTTGATGAAAGAGGCAGATATTGGCTCCGACTTCACTGTGGATAAAGTACTGGCAGAAGCTTGTGCTGAAGTGCTACAAAATGACTGTAAAGATGCTGGAAAAGAAGGGTAATCTAAAAGATATTCATAAATTTATTAAACAATATTTTCACTTGTAACTGCTAAGAGTAAAATCACATTGTGTGTTTCAGATTTAGCTATTCTACTTCGGAGAATAAGTCGAAGCTATTATGATAACTGTACCTCTGTCCTCAATGTCTTTGTTTTTGTGTAGGTCATTACTCAAACAGAACAACTTGCCCCTCACCGCTGTGGGTTTGAATCCCGACAGGGACTTTGGATTCTTTGATGTGAGGAAGCTATCCAGGTAGCTTACTCGATAGCTAGTCGATGTTTCTACTGAGGTGCCTGTTTGTACTTGAAATAATGCACGGAAGGTTACCTGCGGTCTTCCTCCACCAGTAAAGCTTGAATGTTGCCATATGACATATAATGTGTCAGTGTGACGTAAAACCCAATTAAACAAACAAACAAATATGAAACTTGGAATATTTGATTATCGTGACAAGAGGCTGAAGCTAGTCCTAGGAATGCTCTGTTCGATGTATGTGCAGAGACTTCTCAAGTGTTAAAATAAGTGTTAAGGCAAATAATTTCTGTATGTTTTACAGGGCTGTTAATTGTTTAATGGAGAAGGTGGACTCTGATCACATGACAGACGAGTGTGAAGACAGACTTCTGGAGATACAGTACTTTATTGTCAGAGATTTCAGGTAACCGTAGATCTTCGTTGTCAGCAATTTTAAGTTATTGGTTTTTGTGTCGCCTCTACGGAGTAGTGGCAACATATAGGGATCACTTCTCCGTCGTCTGTCTGTCTATCCGTACGAACCCAGAGGTACTTGTGTGATTTGGAGAACAATGGGTAACAGTAAATTCTCTTTGATCCTATTCATTCCGTTTTTACTTGTGTGTCTTTTTTTAAGCCTTGTGTGACTAAAAATGGCCAAAAAGATCAAAGGAAAAGTCACATAAGTACCATTTTGTGAGTATGTCTGTCTGTCCGTCTGTCCGTCCGTCACAAAACTTGTCCGGACTACTCCTCATAAACTACTGGTGCAATTTCATCCAAACTTTACAGGAATGATCAGTACTAAGTCTAGTTGTGAATATTGTCAGCATTTTCCGGTTCAATGATTTTTGTCAGAGTTATGGCCCTTTAATAATTTTTATTTTGAAAGTTTGTCTGGACTACTTCTCTTATACCGCTAATGCAATTTCAATGAAACTTTACAGGATTGATCTGTAGCTCAAGTCCTTGCGCAAATTGCACGGGTTTTCCGGTTGAATGATTTTCGGCCGAGTTATGGCCCTTTGATAAAAAGGTGTTTTTTTTCTGTGTGTTGCCAGATACACAAAAGCTTGTCCGGACTACTCATAAACTACTGGTGCAATTTTATCCAAACTTTACAGGAATGATCAGTACCAAGTCTAGTTGTGCACTGTTTGTCTGTCTGTCCATCTGTCACAAAACCTGTCCCAGCATGAAATTGGCCATCATGAGGCGACAAATGTGATCACTGATTGCTCTTGTTTATTGACTACAATTTCCAATTTCTAGGAAGAAGCATTTCATAAGCATTTAAAAGAATTTTGTGCATATTATGTTATACCCCCAGAGTTGACATTATGTTTATTGTTTTTATCTCCAGTTGAGTTTAATTAGTAAAATATTTCAAAAGATTGGCTAAAAAAAACCAAAATGGTGATCAATGACAAATCATTGATAATGTAAAATGTTAATGATACAATATAAAAATCACATAAATTAAAAAAAGACTATTTCACTTTTTTTAAGAATCAAACCTTACTGAAGCATTCTGAATGATATTTATAGAAATTACTGTTGCTCACATAGATTATTTAATACTTTTTTTCACAGTAAAATATATAATTTAACACCATTATCGCATAATGTCAAGTTACTTTGAGTTTTACCTATTCACTGACCATTTGGGTGCAAGTTTTCAGGCATATGCCTGAAGCTCGTTTTTTTTGTGTGACAAATTTCATCATGTTTAATTATTAAATTATGTTGGAAAATGATTATAAATTACAGTTTTCAGGTTTTTCCAAATTTTCAACTTGCACCCATGCATTTACACTTGTATGGGCATTTTATGGTCACTTTAATACAATGTGTCCCATGATTGATATAAAATTGTGTGGTTGTTTCAGGTTAGACGCAGATTTGTACAAGGCTTGCCATAGAGATGCCGTAGCCCATTGTAACGCGCCAGAAGAATGGAACACTAAAGACCCCACAGTAGATTTATCACCAATGGTTTTCCCATGTTTATATAGGCATATGAAAGATGAGGTAAGTGGAAATTTAAGACAAGTTTACAGCAACTGATTAGTATACAGTCATAGCTAGTGCTTTGTAGTGGCTGCATGGCTGAGCGGATAACATGTAGGCCTAGTACTCTAAGTTTGTTCAAACCTCATCAGGGGCAATCTGTTGTTTCCTTGATCAAGAAACTTTACACTTATTGCTAAGTACTGGTTGGTTCCAGGAATGGATTTGAGAGTGTTTCAATAAGCCTATAGCTTACAACGTAATTGAACTAAAACAAATTTGTATGAACTATACTTGTGTTCATAAGGGCCAAAATTCATTGTTATTTGTTTGCATCATGAGATTTCATATCATTCAGAATTGTAAATTTATTAATGGAAGTGTAGAATCTGTTGAAGACAAGCCTCCGACAAGCTAATAACATTTTTAGGACCATTTTAAAGTAAAAGAGTTGTTTTAATGTAAGATTTTTTTTAAATACATGACTGAAAATGCTAAAAGTAAACATGTTCTCAAGTCATACATGTGTTGTGAGCATTGTTTTTATTGAAAGAACTCGATAACCATTTATATCATCTCTGTCACAAAACATTGCAATTGGCTATCATGAGGCGACAAGTCATCACTGATGGCCCTTGTTTAGATTGTCTGTTTCTTGATTTTAATTTTGAGTATATTTTTAAAAAAATTATATAAAGACAAAGTCAGCTGTGTTTTTTTCCCCATAGTCTTGTGAATATTTTATTAACAAAGTTGTTATTGTATTTATACTCTTTATTTTAGGATATTAAAATGAGTAAAAAATGTGTGCATGAGATACATCGTGTAATGAGAAGACGGGCTAAGAGAATTGATTTGGAGCCAGAAATAGAGCAGGCGTGTCTTAAAGATCTTGGGGCGTATTGTTCTGACCTGGAACATTATGGCAAAGGAAAAGTACGTTAATTTTGTCACCTTAGGTTTTATTTCATTTATTACATAATCATTGGTGCGGACTAGTTTGTCCATTGTTTACTTACTTACTTCATATAAAGACTTTTTGGGGACACTTGTGTTATAGTGACTTGTGTTGGGAAACACGTCAAAAATCTCCTTTCGTGAAGTTACTTTCCCTCAAGCTTAGATATTTTGGGATGTCTGTAGTTATATAAATCATGTCGTCCCTGGGTCAAAAACTTGACATGGACTTGTATAGCTCAGTTTATTTGAAAAAAAAAAAACAAAAAAATTTAATGCACAGAGCTGTGGCAATACGATATGTAATATTGATTTTGTCCCTTATAAAGTCTTGATTTTCATGTGTCGAATTTTTCAATGTGTTGAAATTTTTTTATGTGGTCAGTAATGAATTATTTGAGAACATTTTACAATAAAGTCATAATCCATCGATTTATTTGACACCTTCAAATTAGAGAAATTTTCCAACCCCTTTCTGGTTGCAAAGATGATTGCTCATCAACCTATATGTCCAGTTTCAATTACACAGCTGTGTGTTTTAACAGCCTTTGTGTGCGTTCAGGTGTGAGAATATGCTCTTATTGTTATCAGTCTTATTGCTGGAATTGTATTTAAAAATAAAAACAGTACAACTTAGTTTTCATTGAGAACTTCCATGACCCAGTGTTGCTTGACAATCACACAGGATGGACATGTTCATGTAAGATATTTACGTGTCATTATTGACTATTCTAACACGACCCGCATTTTTCCCTATTGAATATAGAAGAACCAAAAGTGTGTGTTTTTATGCAATAAAATCACTGTTTATGTTCTATATTTAGACATATGACTTAATCATTATTCATGTGATGTAACCACTAAATATGCAACACACTGAAAATAAGTACGGAAACAAATCTCTCGCAATTTAGCTTAATATCACGGCAGCATGTATTTGTTGATGCTGTGTTAGAATCAAAATAAAATATCCAAATCGTTAATTTTATCGCTTGATAAAATCACTGTTTGTCGTGCCATGTTGTCGTGATATAATTCCTCGCATCAGAACTCCAAACAGTGATTTTATTGAGTGATGAAATCACTGTTTATGATATAATATTTCTTAAATAATATATTCACTTAGGAGATGGAATGCCTTCAAGACAATTTGGATTCTCTGGATGATGAGGAGTGTGTCAAGATGGTACGTGAGTTTACAGAAGATCAGGATGAAGACCTTGACCTTGACACGGTGCTTATGCGAGCATGTACGCCAATGATAAAAAAATTCTGCGAGGTTTGTAAATCATTATGATCTCATCAAATGGGTAAATTAAAGCAGCATGTCTCCAGATTCAAAAATGTATTTAGAAGTGAAGTATTGTGAAGTGAACAGAGAAAATAGTTGACACATTGCAAGTGGCACTTGTAACCCACATAAATAACCAGAATAAGTCCAAATAAGAAAAAACTAGCCTGTGTTGTGTTAGGCAATGGAAATATGGTGATAAATACTACTAAATCAGTCCTTAAGCCCTCATAAAATGCAAATTTTTACTTGAATCTTAAATATTCTATTCTTAAAAGCATAGTACAAGTTTAGTTTTCTTTGAAATATTTTGGCTCTTAAAGTTTAAAGTTAAAGATTTGATCTAAAATGATTACTGAAGAAGCATTATATCAATATCTTGTGTAGTAAAGGTATTGCAGATATGATTAGAAAAATAAAGACTTAAATTTACTGTTAATTAAGACAGTAGCCATTGATGGTTTCATGGCAATATGTATAGGTGTAGGAAAATGTTAAGTGCACAAATAAGTAAGCAGACATCTGAGTAGTAAGGTAAACTTCTTCACATGAAGAATACACCATTCCTGGCATGATTTTATGCAAGGGATACAATATTGGACACAGTTATTACTCGGCCATGAGTATACAAAAATATTGGTTTAGAATAATGAATTATATTAAAGTCATGAATCAAGGTTGTCAGTACCGATTAAGAATTTTTTGACTTGTAATAACATTTTCAGGAGCTTTTGAAACATGATGCCCAAGCTGGGGATGTTATGGACTGCCTTGTTGAAAACAAAAACCACCATGAAATGAATTCCAAATGTAAAGCTGGAATAGAACATCATCAAGTGGTAAGGAGATCTTCACAGTTAAAGGGACTCCCCTGAAATTTTTTTGATATGACATAACTGGAAATAATATATAGAGATTTATGTTCCCTTTGATGTAGGTCTAGACTAATAACTTGTGTGCCAAATTTCAGATCATTCACTTAGTCCATTTTTCCAGGGTAATTATTCTAATTTTTAGTGTGAAAAATGACCCGAAATTGGAAAGTGTTGGCACCACTTTTTACTCAAATCGGGCTAAGAAAAGCACAAAAATACATATTTTATTTTATTTCTGAGTGTATTTCTCAATTATCTTCTGCATATGAATCTAAGAGCTCCAGTTGATCTGTGTACATGGGTGAAAAATTTCAGGATTATTCCTGAAGTTCAGGATTTTCAGTCTTTTGAAAGCCTTCTATTTCCAATGTCAAACTATAGAAAAACTGCTAAATTCAAGATTTTCAGGATTTTAAAATTTCCAACTTCCTCCCATGTGTGTAAGATTTTCAAAATTTATGTTTTTTGACTTTTGGACCTCAGTGGAGTTCCTTTAAATGCTTGTGTTGACAGTGTAAAGCTAGGTCAGCTGGCACATTTTTGATTTGGCTTTACTTAATGTAAATAACAGAGAGTGCTACCATACTCAACAAGTCTTTTGTTTTCTGTACTCTTTTTAAGCAATTATATTTAGGCTATTGGATCAAGGTACGTTCCTCGCATTTTTAGTACTAGTACACTTGTCAATTTATTTCTTATAAACAAATAACATCGCTTGCAGGTTTTAAAAGTTTTAATATACAATCATGTCAATAAAATAAATAAATAGTTACACAACTTGCAGGGCATAATATCAACTCCTTAGTGCAGTAAGCTGTTTACTCCTATGAATAATGTTGTTGTTGCAGTGAGATGTCAATATATTTGATATTTTAAAAATCAGTTGTACAATACTTACATATGTTGTTGTTTTTATTATTTCAGATACAACTGAAGGACTATAGATTCTCACACAAGTTTAAGGAGGCCTGTAAGCGCGATGTAGAGGATAACTGTAAAGACAAACATAAAAAGTAAGAAGTGAGAGATAATTGAGCCCCATCATGACAAAACCAACATAATGGGTTTGCGACCAGCATGTATCCAGACCAGTCTGCGCATCTGCGCAGTCTTGCGCATCCGCGCAGTCTGATCACAAACCCTATAACAAGTAAAGAAACTGATAGCGAACAGCATGGATCCTGATCAGACTGCGCGGATGCGAAGGCTGGTCTGGATCCATGTTGGTTGCAAACCCATTATGTTGGTTTTGTCATGACGCAGCTCAATTATACTGTAAAACACTTATTATTCGCGAGAAATTTATTTTCGCTAATATTCGCGAGTTTTCTAAGACGCGAATTCGTATTTCTCGCGAATATTTCACTTTGTCTATACACTTGTCCGAAAATAAACACTATCCGAAAATGCGTACACATGGATATATATCTGCGGGAAAGTATCGAAACCAGTTCTAGTTACATCATGTAGCTATTCAAGTGTTGCAGCATATACATATCGTACAGATTACTAGTATGAACTATTTACCTGTAACAATTTGGTATTATTGAGGAATTGGAAAAAAAAATCTTCGCTGCATATTACCTGTGTCAAGGAAGGTAACTGTGACTTGCACTAAAATTAAGTACAAACAAATTAATGCGTCTCACAAAATTTTAATGGTATTTCTACAGATTGTTCTAATTGGTACAAATACTTTAGCACCTGCGAGTTGTTTGTAACATTTCTATTTATTGTATCCTATTGTATTGCACTACAGTTTAAGCCGGAGGGTAAACATAATCGTTTACTACAGGTTAGGCAAATTACAGTACCGTTTAATTGATTTTCGTCTGCTTGCCTTTGAATGGCTAATCAGTGAAACTTTAACACAGTGAACACATATCAAATAATTATCAAACTTTATTGTCATATTTTTAGACAGACGGTTTCACTTAACAAGAAGATTAGCAAGCTATCAGAAAAATCGATACAGATATAAATGCATTCGTCGCACAATAAACGATGCAAAGTTTAAGTGAACGGACAGGACAGAAAATATCCGAATGACATCGGGTTTCCGATTTCACATTTTTCGGGAAGACGCGAATTCATGTTGACGCGAAATAATTATTTTGGACATTTTGCCTCAAATTCGCGAAATAAGGTTCTCGCGAAAAATAAGTGTTTTACAGTATATAGGGGTCTATCAAGCAATGTGTTTCCCAACATTATTCCATGTGAATTGTTGAATATTTAATTTGTAGACATTAAACAGATACTATTGGGCACTGAGAAAAGTCGAGCACGCTGTCTTTAAGTTACCAATAGCTCTTGTTATAAGAGGAAATTGTAGCATATTTTCTCACAAGATAATGTAGTATATTTAATAATTGCCTGAAGATAAAAAATACTTTAAATGCAACAACATTCATGGTTTTATATCATAAAACCTTGTGAAAAGTTTTTTTGTAGCAATATATGTAATTATACCATTTTGAGGGGAAGAGGTCAAATAATGCCCTGAAATTGATGGGGAAAAACTGGAGATAAAGGTTTGATTCAAGCTCGAATTAACATTCTATTTTTAGAACAGAGATTGTATCGTGTCTGAGTGAGCTTGTAAGGGATGCTACGCTGAAAGAGGATAAACATGTAATTTCTGACGCTTGTAGAAATCAGCTTAGAGTGGAAGTTCTCTCAAGGGTATGTATTCTTATCATCAGAAATATTGTTTCACTAACAAGCCAATTTTACATCTTGCAAAAATGGGTATTTTGTCAAATTTTTATGTATGTATAAATTGTATCATTAATTAGAGTTTTTTTATCCTTAACTTAAATGTTTTTTGTTTATTTTAAAGGGTTTTTAGTCCCCTACTGGTTTACCGGAGGAGACTTTAGGTTTACCGTCTGTCTGTCCGTCCGTCTGTCTGTCCGAGCAAATATTTTGGGTTTAGGGGCTATATAACAGTAAAGAGAACAAAAGAGAACAATAAGTTCATTCCGTGATCAAAGGGTTTAGGGGCTAGTAGCCATTAAGGTAACAAAGAAAATAGCCCCTAAACCCAATATGTTGGAACGTCCGTCTGTCTGTCTGTCAGTCCGTCTGTCCGTCCACAAAACTGGATCCCGCGATAACTTAAAAAGGGCTGAAAATATTTTTATGAAACTTGATATATGGATAGATGGCAGTATGGAGATTATGCACATCTTTTTCTTTTCTTTCTATGTTGAAAATTCTGGTTGCTATGGCAACAAATAGACTGAAAATATGGCAAATTTTACACATAAACTGAATCCAGTGATAACTCAAAAAGTATTGGATATATTTTTATGAAACTTGACATATGGGTAGATGGCAGTCTGGAGATTATGCACGTCTTTTTCTTTTCTTCCTATGTTTGAAAATTCTGGTTGCTATGGCAACAAATAGGCTTAAAACATGGCAAATATAACATTATTTGTGATTAGTCAAAAAGAGCTGAAAATTTTTTATGAAATTGCATCTTTAATTCAAGAGTTATCTCCTCTTTAAGAATTTTGCTTTTAAAAATGTTATATTTTGGTAACAGGGATGTTTCAAATATTAACTTTAGAGTGTCCTTCAGTCCGTCTGTCTGTCTGTTCATAAAAACTGTTTCCTGTGATCACTTTTAAAGAACTTTTCCAACAAATTTACTTAAAATAGAGAAAAATTGAAACATTAGTGAATGGCCAATGGCCCTTCAGAATGTTGATGGGTTCTAACCGGTAGGGGACTTATTGATTGCTTGCAATACTATGATAATTGCTTGTTTCATTAGGTGAGACCAATATCTTTTTTGATTAATTATGTCATGGCCATGATTAAGAAAGATGATTTTAATGTGTTATTAATTTGTAATATTGAGCTATATTTAAATGGAGAGGAAGCATCATACACTTAGAATCTTTATCAACATGAAACTTGGAATACTTGCTTCTCATGACAAATTGCACTTGTTAGACAAGGGTCATAATTTTGAAAGCAATATATTTGGGGTTATGCCTCTTTTTTACTTAAGATTTTTTAACAGATGAACATTTATATCAAATAGGGTGCTCATGCATTTATCGAATTATCAATTAAATCATTTCTTGTACTGTTTTGACTTTAGATTGTTATAACGTTACAAAGGAGTTTATCTATGATGTGATTTATATTGCAGAGTGAGACTATAGAACTAGATCCAGAGTTGAAACTAATGTGTCAGCCATCTATAAATAAATATTGTCAGGGAAAGCATGCTGGGAATTCTGAGGTAAATAACTCATTGTTTGTACACATCTTGTGTTGCAGGGATTTGAATCTAGCCTTTTTTTAATTTGATTATACATGTAAATATTGTGTTGCAAAAAATTGATTCTAGTTTGTTCTCATTTAAATTATATACATTGTGTTGCCGGGATTTTTGTCAACTTTATTCTAGTATTGTCTTAGTTTCAAATGTGTAGAAAGAATGAACATAATTTTGTACAAAATGGTCATTAGGTAAATATTACTAAGTTGAGTTTATTATTATTTAAAGACCTATTTTTTGAGCATATGTACTACATGTTGCATCATACTTATGTGCTACATTATAAATCAAACATATGTGTTTCATGTAACAAATAAATTTATGTTATAGGTAATTGAGTGTTTGAAGAGACATGCAAAGGATTTAACTAAAGATTGTCATCAGAAGATCTTCCAAAGAGAGGTGAGTTGACAAGTAAAATTATTTCCAACCAAAGGGAACTGTTGGTAACAAAACTATTCTGTCATTTCAGAAAATCATTGCAATACACAAAAAAGAAAGCTCTTGTTAGCATGGCTTAGAGAGTTTGTTTATAGTCAACTAGTTTGGTTATGTTTGTAAATTAGCAAGACTGTAATTTTTTAATGCCAAACATTTCAAAGTAGTTTTGTTTTGATATTTTAATGAGTTCAAGATTGTGATTAGATGTATATACGAAAATGAGAAAGGATGAAAGTTTTGGGTTATTTGTTTATTTCTGTTCAGTTAGTGTACGAAAGTTCCTTTAAATACATATGTGTCACATAATATGGAACATTTCATCATGCCATTCAATAAGTTCTTAAGATGGAAACCGTTTAATTAGTTTCTTTTGGCAATTTTGATTATTTTGATGTTAAAGAATTTGAAATATGTAAAACTATGGACGTAATTTTCTTTTTTCTAGATTGATGAAGCTGTGCAAGGAGCAGATTATCTTTTGTTCAGGGAATGTAAACAAATGATAATGGTAATTTAATAAGATATTCATTTTATTAGCTCGACTATTCGAAGAATATGAGAGCTATTGTAGTCGCCCCGGCGATTATTACTTGAGATATTTAATTGAAACTCACAATACTTATTTATAGTAACAAGGTACATCAGATTGACAAGTTGGATAACTCTGCCTACAATATTGACAGAATTATGCCCCTTTTTAACTTAGAAATTTTGGTTAAAGTTTTTTGTAAAGTCAAATATCTCAATTATTGCTTGAGATATTCAATTGAAACTTACAATACTTATTTATAGTAACAAGGTACATCAGATTGACAAGTTGGATAACTCTGCCTACAATATTGACAGAATTATGCCCCTTTGGAACTTAGAAATTTTGGTTAAAGTTTTTTTGTAAAGTCAAATATCTCAATTATTGCTTGAGATATTCAATTGAAATTTAAAATACTTTTTTATAGTAACAATGTACATCAGTTTGCAAAATTGCATAACTCTGCCTGCAAGATTTGCAGAATTATTTGCCCCTTTGAAACTTAGAAATTTTGGTTAAAAGTTAAAGGTCTTCAAAGATATTTACTTGAAACTTTACACATGCACTTAAGGTCATAATTGGAGGGTCATAATTGTATGTCACTGACCAAGTTCCATAACTCTATCTTGCATTAAGGCTGATTCATATCTCCTTTTCTACCTAGTCTCTTGGTTAATGTTTACATGCAAGTTTTACATATCTCAATAACTATTAAAGATATTTATTTAAAACTTCACATATGCATTTAGGGTCATAATTGTAGGTCACTGACAAAGATCCATAATTCTATCTTGCATTTAGGCTGATTTTTCTCCCCTTTTTCAACTTAGAAATTCATGGTAGGGTTTTGCTTGTAAGCTGTTATCTCAATAACTACTGAAGGGTTTGTGCCTTTTTTGGGACACTTTTATGCATCCATAATAATAAATCAGTGAGTTACTTGATAAAACATCTTAATAACAAGCCTTTGTACCTTTTCTGTCAAATGTATGTGTTCATAGGTAATTAGTATTATTATACTCAATAAAACACCCTTGTGACATTACCTTCCGAATAGTCAAGCAAATACTGTATAATTAGACTCTCTCTAAGGCCTATAACATGAATTTATAAAAAAAAACTAGCCCTTTTGTGAACTTTAAAAATTTAACATTATCAAGGCTCCTTTACTATCAAGCACTAAGAATAGTCGAGCGTGCTGTCCTACCGACAGCTCTTGTTTTTAGAACAGTTATTTTTAGAACAGTTATTTTTAGATTGTCTATTTTGAAGAAAAAGTCAAGCTGTTATGGTCACTGCTTCATCATCATTATCATTATTGTGCAAAAACTTAAATGAAGCCCATTATTCAGAAATTTTATATAAGTTATCAACATGAACTTAGAATACTTGTATATCATTACAAGGTGCAGTTGTTAGACAAAGGGCATTATTTTCAGCTTAATTTCTAGAGTTATGCCCCTTTTTAACTTAGTGGCTGAGTTGGTGAATCCCTCACCTAAGTTGTGGATTTGAATTTGGATTATTTCATATGAGGAAGTTATTCAGCTTGTCAAATGAAAGACGATGGTTTTACTTGTATGCCAGTTTGTGCTATAATATGTACCTTGGGGCACATGAGGTGTTTCTTCAGCAGCAAAGCTGGAAAGTCACCATATGATTGTTAAAGTGAAACTGAACAAAACAAATCTGATTCATACAGTCCATGCAAAGTAATTTGTAGATAATGCCCTAGTTTATATCACTGATATAACACTAGCATTCACTGGTGATCTTTAATTCACCAAAAGATTTTGGAAGCAGACATGATATTTTAGACAATTCTGCTCTATAGCTTTATAGTAACTGTTCTCTGATCCTAGATTACAAGGATTAAACTTTATTGCAAGAGTAAATATCAAAGACAAAAAAGTATATGGATCTGATATTGTACTATTTTTGATAGTTTATACACATTAAATTTAGTTTGATTGTGTTGGAAGCTACAAGCTTATTGAAACATTTTCGAATCTGTTCCTGGAACCAACCAGTACTAAGCAATGAGTGTAAATTTTCTTGCTGAATGGCTTGTTCCTGACAAGGTTTGAACCCATGCTGTCAGCAATCTTAGATTACTAGTCTAACGCATTACCCACTTAGCCAGGCTGCCATTTAGATGTTGTTTTTTTTCTGTTAAGCGATGAGTCTCCTTTAATGTGAGTCACATGACTGTTTGCTGATGTCACATGACTGCCTGCTGATGTCACATGACTGTATGTTCTATAAATAGTTGCATAATCTATTGATAGTTTTATATATGTATTTGACAGACATATTGTAAGCACAAGGACCATGGTGATGTATTTGAATGTTTGAAGAATAGTATGAACAGTGATGGTTTTGATTCTAAATGTAGAGGAGTTGTTCTCAGAAGAGCTATGCAACAAACAAAAGGTGTTTTTATTGTGTATTTGTTTTAAATATTTTTTTGCCAATGTTCATAGGTTATAAAACAAACAGAAAACATTGTTTTGTATTGTTGAAAGTTAAGAAATGACTGATCATACTAAGCAGGGATTTTACCTGCTTGAATCTTTATTAAGCAAGTCTTGCTATATAAATTAAGATTACTGAATTTTTCCCTGTCATAGTTAGCACTTGAACCTTTTAACTGTAGAATTATCAATCACTTTCCTGAAAATATTCTAAATAACTGAAGTTTCTAATGGTTGTGTGGTTCCTGCTATAGAATGTAAGATAAAGAATTTATTATTAACCTTGTGTGTGAGTTCTTATTTATTCCTCTCCGAAATCTCATAGTTGACACGTCTGCAACAGATTCTGCCCTTGCAACCAGTGCAGACAAAGATCAGCTGGTCCATTTGTGCTGGCTGATCATGCACTGTACTGATTGCTATTCGGTCAGTGATTGAATTTGAAAAAAAAAATCCCGTAACATGACATGGTTTTGAAAGATGGACAAGTTGTTAAAAGATATTTTGCATGGTAAATGATGTTTCCTGTAAAGATCTCTTAAGAAGGAATTTGACAGTATGATTAGCAAAAGAGAATTTGGACTTTGATATTAAAATCCTGAAATCCTTTAACTTTGATGCACTTTTTTCCAAAATTTGAAACAGCACAAATCCATGACACAAAGTTTATAAATATGTTTTGTGCTGTAGATTACAGACTAAATTTAAACCTGGCGAAGTCTTGTCGACTGGATATACCCAAGTTCTGTAAGGATGTTGTTGCCGAGGCTAAAAGAGAGGAGTCAAATCTTGAATATGAAGGAAGGGTTATAAATTGTCTCAAAATACATTTTATCAAAAAGGTAAGAATATTTCCAAATAATAATATACATTTAAGCTTCCAAAATACTTTTTTTAATTTTCAAAAAGTTTTTATTTACAGAGCAACAGTTTCAGGAATGTTTTTATTTATTGGAAATATTTCTGAACCATGTTTTGCGTTTTTCTTATTTTACTGTAAGTTCAGTTGTAGTGTTTTAGTATGGCAGTCAAAAAACGACACTTAGTTGAATATTAAAATATTATAAAACACATGTTTGCCCTTTCTTGAGAGATAAAAAAATGAATAATTGTTGTCATTTCCCAGGTTTTTCTATGAAAGACATAGCATTTACATGAAGTGTTTTTCCATCAGAAACTATGTAGAAGAAAGCTGAATGATTAATTGTTGATAATCACTTAAACTTCATATTTTTGAATTAAACAAGATGTTTTATTTTGTATTTATATTGTAAATATTAAAATATTGTACTGTATTTTTTGTATTACAGGAGCTTTCAAAAGAATGTCATATAGAGATTAAGTCATTGATTAAAGACACAAAACTTGATATAAACATGGATCCTGTACTTATGCATGCTTGTGAATCACAGGTAAGTGTTTGAAAAAATTGTTAACTGTGGATTTTTATAGCTAAATAGATAATTGTTAGAAATATTCACATGGTAATATCTTAACTCAGCTAGTTGACCAGTGAATTAATTTTTTTACGGTAGTTGATTGACCAGTGAATATAATTTCTTACCTCATTTGGTTGACCAGTGAATGTAATTTCTTTCCTCAGCTGGTTGACCAGTGAATTTAATTTTTTACCGTAGTTGATTGACCAGTGAATATTATCTTTTACCTTAGTTGGTTGACCAGTGAAGGTAATCTCTTACCTCAGTTAGTTGACCAGTGAATGTTATCTCTTACCTCAGTTGGTTGACCAGTGAATGTTATCTCTTACCTCAGTTAGTTGACCAGTGAATATTATCTCTTACCTCAGTTAGTTGACCAGTGAATGTTATCTCTTACCTCAGTTAGTTGACCAGTGAATGTAATCTCTTACCTCAGTTGGTTGACCAGTGAATGTAATCTCTTACCTCAGTTGGTTGACCAGTGAATGTAATCTCTTACCTCAGTTGGTTGACCAGTGAATGTAATCTCTTACCTCAGTTGGTTGACCAGTGAATGTAATCTCTTACCCCAGTTGGTTGACCAGTGAATGTAATCTCTTACCTCAGTTGGTTGACCAGTGAATGTTATCTCTTACCTCAGTTAGTTGACCAGTGAATATTATCTCTTACCTCAGTTAGTTGACCAGTGAAGGTAATCTCTTACCTCAGTTGGTTGACCAGTGAATGTTATCTCTTACCTCAGTTGGTTGACCAGTGAATGTAATCTCTTACCTAAGTCAGTTGATCAGTGAATGTAATCTCTTACCTAAGTCAGTTGACCAGTGAATGTTATCTCTTACCTAAGCTGGTTGACCAGTGAATGTATTCTCTTACCTCAGCTGGTTGACCAGTGAATGTAATTTCTTACCCCAGTTGGTTGACAAGTGAATGTAATTTCTTACACCAGTTGGTTGACAAGTGAATGTAATCTCTTACCTCAGTTGGTTGACCAGTGAATGTTATCTCTTACCTCAGTTGGTTGACCAGTGAATGTAATCTCTTACCTCAGCTGGTTGACCAGTGAATGTAATCTCTTACCCCAGTTGGTTGACCAGTGAATGTAATCTCTTACCTCAGTTGGTTGACAAGTGAATGTAATCTCTTACCCCAATTGGTTGACCAGTGAATGTTATCTCTTACCTCATTTGATTGACCAATGAATGTAATCTCTTACCTCAGGATATTTTGAATCCTATTAAAATGTTGCTCTGAGACATATGACCCCCAACATGAGCATTATAAGGGGGTTGCGGTTTAATTTGATATGTGTCATATGCTTAAAAATATTCGGCTTTACGTTGAAGTGATTCTGATAATTAGCCATTGTGTGATTGGAGGACATAATATAAAGAAACTTATAACTTATTTATTGAATATCTATGTCATGTAATTAATTATTACTGAAGTATAAAGTTAAATGTGTTGAAATATAATTTTTTGTCAGATAAGAGCATACTGTCATCAAGAGATAGGTGACATGGAGGCAAACCAATTAAAGTTCTCTCCACATGATACTGGAGATAAAGTACAGATCTGCTTACAAGAGAAATACAAGGAAGGAAAAGTTTCACAAACATCTGTCTGTGGAAGGGTATGTTATAATGTTCATTTACTCACTTTTTCATACACAGTTTTTCACCAGTGAAGAGCTCAAGTGGTTCAGGTTTCAGACTTTTTTTACCAATTGCACCTTACAACTGTTGATTTAAATATTAAGACAAATGTTGATTTTTTGTTGTTGCAAAGTTGTTATTTTTCCTAGCTTGCAAAACGGATGTCAGCTGAACTTCCCCTGATGCATTTCTTCATAAGTAAAACATGACCTGTATACATAAAACTGTTGCATATTGGTTAGAACTTTTAACCAAATGTCTAAAATATTAGAAATCTTCGAATTATTTTGTTAATATTCATGGACAAAAAGTACTAGTTCTAGGTATGGTGAAATTTTGACATAATGTTTTTAGGACTTTATTCTGCTACTGAATGGTTAAAGTCACCAAACATGTATCAGTGATGTTTACATACCAAACTGACTTAGAAATGAAAAAATGGTTAAATGTTTTCAGGAGATAGCTAGAACAATTGAGGAGGCTCATGTTGACATTAATATAGATCCTCAGTTACATGTGGCTTGTCAGCAAGATCTAATGAGATGGTGTCATGACATTGACTCTGGAGAGGGAAAAAGTAAGTTTGAGAGATAAACTTAACATTGAAATGAAGGGATTCTAATGCATTATAGCACTTTTTATATCCTCACCATTTTTATATCCTCACCAATCACTGTGGTGGAGGCTGTACTGGAATTACTTTGTTGTGTTGGTCTGTCTGTTGGTCGAACTGGACATCTGTCTATCCATACCTCTACACTATATGTCCGCTCTGTAAATCCTATACCCCTTGAAGAATTATTTGCAATCTGGCTCATGTTCACCTGAAAAATATATGTGCAGAACCGATGCAATCACTGTGCAGACTAAAAGTCAAGGTCACCCTTGAAGGCCAAAATTCAGACAATTTTGTGTCTGCATTATAAATTTGATACTTTATGAAGGACTTTCTTCAAACTTTGCTCAAATGTTCTCCTTTAAAAATAATAATTAATTGCACTACATAAAGTTATGTGACATAGAAATGGTAGGTTCATTCTTCACCCCTGTGGCAGCTCTATTTTCTGGATTTTGAGTTCTTCTTTACTAAAATGCAACTAATATTTTGTCTGGAATATTTTGCTTAAAGCCAGTAAATCTTTCTTAGTTCTCAGGATTTTCACAAAAGTATTGCTCAGTTTTCTACAAGTTTTTTTTTATGATGATTAGCAATCTTTTTCTTTAAAATATTGGATGACGTGAGAAAATCTTAAAATTGCTTTTGAACAAACTCTCATATAACTTCCAGTATCAAAATTAAGAAATTTGTTATGATATTCAAATTTGTTAACTTTCAGAAATGTCTTGTCTGCTCACTGTATTAGAGGATTATCCAGATAAGATGAAAGCCAAGTGTAGTACACTTCTAGCACAGCGCAGAACTCTCTGGGAATATGCAGCAAAGGTAAAACTTGACATACAGAAATGGTTATTAAATCATTCTCAGTCAATAAGCTCCTTTTACATCGTGCTTTGGGTGTTGATTGAAACAGGTTGTTAAAAAGACTAGTAAAAAGTCAGTGGTTCTACTCCAATGCCCTCTGATACCTGTAATAATGTACACAGGTGTTAACGAGATCTTTCTGTCTCCCTGATGTCAGTGAATAGTTTTGAATAATTTTGAAGTGAGTGAAGGTGTGTCTCTGACCACTTGCCCCTCACAGCTGTGGGTATAAATCCCAACTGGGACTTTGGATTCTTTTATGTGAGGAAGCTATCCAGCTAGATTACTGAACATCAATGGTTCTACTCGGGTACCTGTTTGCGCCTGAAATAATGCATAAAAGGGCACCTGGGGTCTTCCTCCACCAGTAAAGCTAGAAAGTAGCTGTATGACCCATACTGGGTAGGTGTGATGTAAAACCCAACACACAAAAAAAAATTGTTGAAGTGAAAGGCAAATTTCGATGTATATATTTGTATATTTCAGTATGCTCCGGCAGAGTCCCTAAGTGACTTGAGTCAACAAGTGCTCTCATCTCCAGCGAAAAACTATTTGATGGGTGTTTTAATGACAATCATAGGAATTATATTTATAGTTGGAATTACATGTGGTAGAGTGACTAAACGTGTTACTAGGGAACAGAAAACTAAATAATTCTGATACAGCTTCTATTTATACTAGAGTGAATGATGAACATTTGTGACTAAACTACTGCAGAGATATAAAAATGGAATGAAAGTGCTATTAAATTTTATATAAACTTACAGCTAATGTGTTAACTTTTGATAATTGAGGTGATAATTTTATAACTATTCTTACAATGTCGTCATCATTCATAAAGAATTAGAATTTAGTTTTTGCAGAAATAATATTTCAGATTTTGAAGAAGAAATAAAAAGGCACTGATACATTAAATGAATGAATCTAGGTTAATTATTATACTTACAAAGTTATCATTTAAACATTTTCTCTGTGGGTGGGAACTATTATCAACCATACAACCAGTACAGCCCATTTGTGCTGCCTGATCATGGTCTGCACTTTTGGCTATACAGTCAGTGCTTTATTTTGAAAATTATACTAAATATGATGAATGGTTTTGTCCTGATTAAAAGATGGATTAGTCTATTTAGCATGGTAAGGGTTACCCGAGCATAGAACCTTTTATCACAATACATTCAACTCCTTATATATGGCAGAAATATTATAATAATTTAATTAAGCTACATAGATTGTTTAAAATGTCACAAATTATTGGCACATTGTCTTGGAAATGCATTGAGTTTCAGAATATCATTTAATCATTTTATGGACTTGTATATTTATGGATTAATTTCTAACTTTGTAAAATGTTAAAATCGAGTAGAAGTACAAGTTATATAACAATGTTCTGTTTATACCTTGAACTAACTTTCTTTAGTGTTTTAACGTTTAAACTGTGTTCATGCAATATGGAATGAGCCTTCAATAAGGAATCCCTTATTTAAATACCATACCATGTACAATGTTCTAAGTTTCTGCATGGAGCATTGATACAAAATATTACAGAAGGAATTAATATTGTCTGATACCTGTGTCAGAATATGATATGATATATGATATGTATACTCATCTACTATTCTCATCAGTAGTGTTATATTTCATGCATTTATTGACAGTTATAACACTGTTACGGCCTGTGAAAATGCTCTAAATTAATTACTGTATAAATGATATGATTACTTGATGGAATTGCAAGTGATTGAAATAAGAAATTAAT